CTGTTACAAATATACAAATTTAAGGCAAGATATAAAAACGAATAAAACAAGAACATGTAAAAAGTAACATTAATAAAATGTCCATTAACGATGCATTAGAATAAATTGTTTTGTAGTTAAGTGTAAAAATATATACTATTCCCGTCAAATCATATACATATACGCAATATGAATGGAATATACAACACTTCATTTGTGCTAATAATACTCAGAATCCATGCTTTATCGGTCACGTCGGGTATTGACACTAAAATGGTAAGGGGGCTTCTGACGCTCTTGAAAAATGGGACAGAAAATTACATTGCATGTTAGGTCTATTCTTATATCTCGTCTGTGATAATACTCAGAATTCATGCTTTATCGGTAACGTCGGATATTGACACTAAAATGGTACCAGGGCTACGTAGCCCTGCGAACGTTGGACAGAAAAAAGCATTGGATGATAGGTCTATTCTATACCTAGTCGGTGGTTTTAGTAACAATCGAAATACAACAAAATAGTTGCAATACTACATTCCTACACATATTATAATACTACACTGTATTTCCCGGTATTAAATTTCTTTTTACGATTATAATGGATCAATATTTGTAAAAAGAATGTATAAAATTTAGAAACAAGGGTTCGCCTTTCAAATGATACACTGTCCAACATGTGGCTCGCGGGTCAAAATTGAATCCATCGCAGATACATCACTGCGAGGCGATAGCGGTACTTTCTGTGGTAGGTATGTGAAGTATTGTGAAAGAATGTTAAGAGACTGAAAACTTGAATGTAGTACGGACGTGTTATTGTTTTGTGTATTATATTACTGTTTTTATTCGTTCATTTTATTCTACCTGTTACGCAGTGTTTAGTATAACTGTAACCTGTGTCATTGAGTACATATTTAGATAGGTAATAAGTGGCAAGTGGCAATATGAAGAACACAAGCAATAATTCAGAAAGCCCACATAAGATAAAAAATTGGCAGTCACATAAACAGTCTTCGAATAAAGAGAAAAATAATGCAACAGATTCGTATGTATAATTATATAGTAGTGTTACATGATTTTAACACGTTGACTGCCAGCTACGAGATAAATCGTAGTTGAAACATTGCAAACATGCTGGATTATTTAAATACCTCTACAAAATTTTGACATAAGATTAATGTCACAGTATAATTTAAAACAAGACAAGCAATCTCTATTAATCAAACGCATATATTTTCAAAGATTTATGACTTAAAAAACGAAATAAAGTGTGTCTGGCTACATACTGCCTTTTCCACTGTGGCAGTCAACGTGCTAAATTAAAAATATACGGTCGTAATAATAATTAAATATTTTTAAATATGTTTATATAGAAGTTGGTGGTTATTTTTTGGACTCATTGTAATACTCACAGCAGGAACAAGATTTTATAAAGTTACCGAACCACAACATGTTTGGTAAGCTATGCATAAAACATGTAGAATTAATTTATGATTCTTAATCAGTGTATACTTATCATTGACTTTTAATTGTTTAGTTGGGACGAGACTCACTTTGGTAAAATGGGAAGTTGGTACATAAACAGAACATTCTTTTTTGATGTTCACCCACCTCTTGGAAAGGTAATTATTTAGAGTATAAAATTCTTCTTAGCATGTTAAGAATCTACATTATTAGTTTTTAGATGTTAATAGGATTATCTGGATACTTGACTGGATACGATGGAACATTTGCCTTTGAAAAACCAGGCGATAAATATGAGAATGTTAAATATGTTGGTATGAGATTTGTAAGTTGAGACATTAATAGAGCTACAGTAACAAATTATTTATTATTAAAACAATGTAAATTAAATACATTGTATGTTTCAGTTTTGTACATTTTTAGGTGCAACTATAGTTCCTCTATCATATTTAATTGTATGGGATTTAACTAAATCTATTCAAGCAGCTATATTTTCAGCATTATTTATTCTATTTGGTATGTATGTATAGCTTTAACCCTTTGCACTCGAGGACTTTTTCGCTCGGGCGAACTAGCAACTCGAGACGATTTTGGTTATATTAGGCAAGTGTTTTACATGTACTTTAAAATGATTTATACTCAAACAAACGTATACAAATACTAAAATTTCAATAATTCATTTATTTCTACGTTTTACAAAACAAAATCTGTTAAATATTACACTCTGTAATTGTTTTTTGTATGATATTTTACGGTAATTTGGTCGTTCAACAACGAAAAATCGAATTCGCCTTCACTTGAACTAAGTTGATCGCTATCCATATTTAAAGGCCTCAACAACTTTGAAAATAATGTTCTCACTGCTATGACTGTAAAGTTCAGACTAACGCTAAGAACGCACGCCGAGGCGGGTCCATGACAAAAATTGAGATAAAAATATTTTATCGCCATTGTAAGAAGTACAATACCCGGAAAGAAAGACATAGAGCTCAAGAGCTTATCTACAAACAGGTACTGTTTTTATTTCTTGGAAGCCCACAAAACGTGCCGCTGCTTAGTCGTTATCAAAATTCTCGCATAAAATGCCAGGGCGCCGTAGCGATGCCTCTCGAGTGCAAAGGGCTAATTTTTTCATTTAACATAGGAATCATACAACATTTAGTAATTAATATATTGTAGATGTGGGATTGTTGACGTTAAACCAGTATATATTGTTGGATCCTATACTACTATGTTTTATGATGTGTGCAACATGGGGTATGACTCGTGTGGGTTCTCTCCGCGAAGAACCATTCACATGGAAATGGTGGGGTTGGCTGTCCTTTACAGGAACTTCACTCGCATGTACAATTAGTGTAAAATTTGTGGGTCTGTTTGTTGTCCTTTTGGTTGGCCTTTATACAGCCTTCGAATTATGGAGAGAATTAGGAGATCTTACAAAACCTATTGTAAGTATGTATTAAATTTTTTTTTCTTAATGTATGTTTATCTTTGCTGTAGTACTTTCTCCTTTACAGATTTATGTGGGTAAACACTTGGTAGCACGATGTGTTTGCCTTATACTTTTACCAATACTACTATACATGTTATTCTTCTATATTCACCTTTCTGTTTTAAACAAAAGGTAAAAGAGTTATTCAGAATAAATATTATACACTTTTCAAAAAGTATATAATTCGAATTATTTCAGTGGAAGTGGTGATGGATTTTATAGTTCTGAATTTCAATCTTTATTAGAGGGCAATTCTTTATACAATGCAACAATGCCACGGCAATTAGCCTACGGTGCTACTGTCACTTTGAAAAATCATCGCACAGGTGGAGGATATTTGCATTCGCATTGGCACCTTTATCCGGAAGGTGTTGGAGCTAGACAACAACAAGTAGGTATCAATTTAATTTTTTTTGTATACTTCCGTAATATATTCCTATAAAATATAAACATTTATCTCTTACTTAGGTCACGACATATTCGCATAAAGATGATAATAATGTGTGGTTAGTAAAGAAATTGGATACTGACGATATTCCGTCCGAGCCAACGTTTGTAAAACACGGCGATCTTATTCGATTAGAACACGTTGTTACACATCGAAATTTACATTCTCACAAAGAGTATGCACCTTTGTCCAAAAAGCATTATCAAGTTACTGGATACGGCGAAGTAAGTTTATCATTTTCTAATATATTTGATTATGTAATTACAGATACTTTAATTTTCTTAGAACGGTACTGGCGATGCTAACGATGTGTGGAAAGTTTTAATAGTAAACGGCAGGGATGGTGACATAATTGAAACAGTAACGAGTAAATTAAAATTTGTTCACTATCTACACCATTGTGTTTTAACGTGCAGCGGAAAAACATTGCCCAAATGGTTAGCTAAAATATTTAAGTATAAGGGAGTATTCTCTTTGAAAATATTATAATTTTTACATGTGGTATACAGGGCGTACAGAAACTATGCAAAATGTAGGTACACAAACGTTCATGAATTATGAAATATACCATTGATTATGTTAATCTTTATACTTTTGTTTTGTTTAATATTTTCTTTTTTACATAGTACCAAATGTCAGTTTCCAAGTGTATGCTCCAGGATTTATAGACAGATTTTTAGAATCACACGCGGTGATGTTACAAGGAAATTCAGATTTGAAAGTAAAAGAAGGCGAAGTATCGTCGCGTCCATGGCAATGGCCGATTAATTACAGAGTAAGTCTTATACTCAGATAAAATGAAGCATTTGAAACTGAATGGAATATTATCTTTCCAGGGTCAATTCTTTTCGGGAAACAATTTACGGATATATTTACTTGGAAATCCAATCATATGGTGGAGCAATATAGTATTCTTAATACTTTTTATTGTTTTATATATTCATGCCTGTGTACGGCAGCACCGTGGTTGTACGGACCAATCCGCTACGCTTGAACAACGGAACAAAATAATAAATGCGGGAAACTGGCTGTTTCTCGGCTGGACATTGCATTATGCTCCATTCTGGGCAATGAGCAGAGTTTTATATTTCCATCATTATTTCCCTGCTTTATTGTACAGTTCAATGTTAACCGGAATAACTTTGAACTATATAATTGAAAGTTTATTCATTTTAATTCCAAACAGAATTGGGCATGTGATTTATCATACAATATTAGCTGTTGTTGTTTCAAGTACCATGTATAGGTATGCAGATTCTAGACAAATAAATTATCATAAGTGCATGTTAAGGAAATTATATTTTGTTTCAGTTTCTACTTGTTCTCACCATTGGCATATGGCATGGTTGGTCCCTCTGCACAAGATCCTGAGAGTCCAATGCATTCTTTAAGGTGGATGGATACTTGGGAATTTTAATGGGAACTATTTAAACAAACTTAATCCTAGTTAGTTTCTACATATAATAAATTAATTGATCTGTATCTATGTTTTAAAAATGTTGGGAATACTTGTACATACAAACAAAGCTTTTATATGTTTATAAATGAAATATATTTACCAACTTAAAACTATTTCATAGTCCCAGCCCTCTGGCACAAAAGTGTATAATTGGTAAAAATATTTTCCGAACAGAAAACGAAATTAAGCTCTTCCATGTATACACCCGCAAGGCCAACACGCTTTAAAAGGCTTCGAACGGAACACGATTCGCTCAGCTGATCGACCCACGTGTTGGACTGCGCCTCGGCAGCGGCGCTTTGGCTTGATTCAATATTAAATAAGTGTCAACTTAAGAGGAAGTCTTGAATCACTGCGAATTCTCCCTCCCTTCTGTGGAGCTACTTGGCTGCGTGAGTTATCTGGTACAACGGATCGCGCAAGAGTTCCCTCGTCGTAACGCATTTGCTGGTGAATCGTGGCGCGAATATCTCTTTATGTAGAACGATCGATAAATACCTCCCGGGGATTTTCAGTCTGCCGAGCAGCCACGAATGCCCTCTCTCACGTGAGATCAGGAATAGCTGTCAAAGCGACCACGTGTTTCTACGAGTTCCCGGTACGTGTACGCGTGTGTACAGTGACAATAGAAAATTGGTAGAAACCTGACAAGTCACAGAATTGAATTCTGTAACATATTTCGAGCGAGAACGAGGGAATACCTGGAATCGTAACGTTGCGGATAAACGGCCAAATGCTGGATGTCATATCATGCAGGACTGTTAGTAAAGAGGGAATTAACGTTGTATTGCTCGGTCGTGTCAATAGTAAGTACATACTGTACGTGATGTTTGTACATTGTTATACGTAATTACGGTGTCAACCTGTTTTCAATAGGAACTGGGTAACGAGATACAATAGATCCAGGGGGAGGGGGGGGGGAAAAAAAGGACAGACATTGTTTTTGTAGAAATATAAACATGACTTTTGGTCATTTACTTCTGATAACAAATAGTCATGAAAATGTCGCGTGACTAATCTTATCAACGATTAGCCTGTACAGATACTGTAGCAAGCGGACCTAGAGTGTTTTTTCTTTAGATTCGCGTGTAGTGTACTACGTATACTTTAGTTTGAATTTTTTGTACGACTAGTTCGATTAATCAGCGTTTGTAAAATAATCAATACTGTAATATAGCAGTGTAATATACCTTCTGGGAACTCGGTCTATCAGCAGTGCGCTTGGCTCAGGTACACGACTAACATTATCGAAAATATTCGGCCAACGGGAAGAGGTGGCGTGGGTTGTGGGTTGGCCGAAATTCCCGCGTTAACTTCGATTGGCTGGAAAACTTTGCTGGGATAGTTGCAGCAACCTTTCCAACACTTGTTGCCGGGCTAATATTTAAAATATTCTTGAGTATTTGAACTCGATCTGTCTCGGGTTTCCAAGAGATATTGTCTCGACCCTTCTGAAACTTAATCTATCCACCGTATGTGTAACGGTCTCACAGGCGCAAGTTAATCGTGCGCATCCGTGCTTCGACACAACTATAGTTAATAGCGGGCACCATAAATCATCGCGTTATTCTTCAATTACCGACAGATATTTTAATCTATCGATAAGAAACAATTTACGAATCTCTGAAACGTTTCCATCCGTTACCATACACTCAAATATCGTCAACCTTTAAAACACGATAATTAATCTTTACTCCACTTTCGAAGTCAAGCTAAACGGTACTAATTGAAATACGACCCTCGAGTTGCCCGTTTGTTATACATTGCTCGCTAATAAGTACTCCGAATATACATACTTCAAAAGGGATCTTATAAGCGTTCGTTAAATAACTATTCAAATACCGTGGGCCTGCAGTCGTTTTATAGGAAATCGATTCTTCATGCATTATTAAATATCCTGCCCATCTACAGCTACTTATTTAAATCTTGCACAAGGATGCTGAACCCTTAAGAATATTCCCGGGACGTGATTCTTTCCTCACGAAGGCCTGCTATCCTATTTAAATAGCAAACGAAACTTAAGGGGTGTTCCTTTTACGTATACACACGAGATTAGAAACAGCATCTCTGTTACTACTGTTTTCTCCAATTATTTTGATAACACGTTAGTTCATAGTTCACGAGATATAAATAGAAATATTTTTCCTCCAGTTTTTTAACCGGGCGGTATTACGAAGAGATAGTGGGCGGCATCGAATTGTCCCTTAAAGAAAAAATTGTCACGTTGAATAGCAAATGACTTTCGTGTCAAAAGCCGTCAGATCAGATAAGCTATTTCTTCCAACGCAGGAAGCACGAATTAGCAGTGGAATCTGACCTACTTCAGTTCGCGTATCGCTTGAATCTTGTTCCATGTCTGAAACAAATCCGGGAAGACCAAACGCGAAGAGGTGTAGCTCTGCTCTTACCTAATTTCCTCCATACGAATTATCGCGAATTGGGATATTTCCTCATTGTCGACGTCCCCGTCTGTTTTATCTCCAGTCCGATTACCATTGTTCGGTTTTCGTTACGGTTCATCGAATCTAAACGGAACATTTATCCCAGAAACTTCGTCTTTTCAAATCTACGATTCCAAGATGGCCGCCATCGATCTATGCCACGATCTACACCGGTTTTTATTTATTTTTCTGTACAGGATAGCAAAGTAGAATAATTCATCCAACGGGAACAGGGAACGATACTTTGTTATGTGGCGGATCGCAGGATCTATAATATGCGAGACAGTGTATTAGTCTTCTCATTGGCATGGATTCTTGCGATACACCGAGGATTGGACGGAAAACTCGAAAGAGTCGCTCAAAGGCCGAATGTCGTTCTAGACGATTACTACGCCTATCGTCACATTTCGATCATACACTTCCACGTACCGGAGTGCACTGTCGCCGCGGCTTTCAAGTAAATATTTCAAACAAAATAGGGAAATACTTGAAACGAATAACGGTATATTGACCTGTGCTCGACGGAATTTCAGGTTCACTGTACAAGAAGAGAAAACTGGCGGAATAGGTAGATGCGCAGCTCGAAACGTCTCTCTGTTCTTGAAGTCCGGCAGTTTACCGTTCGTGCGTCCGGATGGATCGAAAATCACCGCGAAGCTGATGAAAGGAAGACGTCGGTATTATTCATTGAACATGGAGAGCAACGGGGACGAGTATATGATTAGAATAGACGCACCAGCGCCGGGCGATTGGTACGCGATTGCCTTCCGATCTTGGAGTGATCCTGACGACGGGAAGATTACGCAACAGGGTAACTGTTACTCACAGGAACCGAGTAAAGTCTATATTCAGAGATGGGCAAAATTTTTATCTAAAGAAGAAAAGATAAAAAAATTCGTATCGTTACTCAAAGCTTGAACAAAAAAGTAACTTCATCGACGAGCATCGATTAACTCGTTCGCTACCAGCACATTATTCTTAAAATGTTCGTCACAGACTTCGCTAGATTTTCAGCAATCTATTCAATGGAATATCCTTATCTTTTTCGACAGAAATTAAAAATGCACAAAGCAGAGATAACGACTGGCACAAAATATAGGTGAAGATTGCAAAACCCATTCCACTTTCATCTAAGAAAGTGTACTGATATAGAAATTGGAGTGTAAGAAACGATTGAAAATTAAGGAGCCAAGAAAACTCGCGCATCTAGTAACTTTTACTCATCGGATAATTCGCGTTGAATAAATTTATTTAATCGACGCTCGTCGATAAAGTTACTTTTTTGTTCAAGCTTTGAGTAACGATAAAAGATAAAGTATCTTTTATTCAAATAGTTATTTAAATAATTTTTTATCTAGATAATGCCCATCTCGGGTCTATATGAACTAATATGCAAATGTTTCTAGGTCTTGGAGCGTCATGTGACACCGTGATGAACGCAGAATTACTCCTGGAATCGGCGTCATTGGTGTCCTTAATGGACTCGAGGCTAGAATACGAGGTGCACATGAACGAAAGCGCCGATTCCGCGATGATGCTGGTGCTCATTCCCGATGAGTTCGTAGAATCTAGCCTCTCTTTAAAGTCCACCTGCGGCGAGGAATGCAAAGTTGCTGTTCACGTCACCGCGGATGATCATCTCGCGGCGACCATAATGAACACCACCAACACGACTTTGTTCTTCAAGCCATACTCGGACCGATTTCATTACGTGACCCTACGCCTGCTGTCCGGCGAATCGTCGAACGTGTCCTTACAATTACTGGACAGCTCCACTACCGATCCCAGCCAGGTGAAGTCGGTGGATCTGTGGAGAAAGTCGTTGCCCGACTTTTTCCTGTTCGATTACGAGCATCTGTTAGCGAACGGCACGAAACCGTCGGCCTTCAACCTCTCCGCAGACAGCTTGTCCGTCCTTAGCTTTGGAATCGGTCGAATATACGATGTAGGCGGAACGTTGACTTTGGGCCTGAAGCTGGTCGACCTTGATAAGAAAGAGAAGAAAAATATCGTCGTTGTAGCTTGCATTTCTTTAGGTTAGCAGTCTGTTGATAAGGCATTTATAAAACGTGAATTATTATCTATTAACCCCTTCGCGCTGATGGACGAGATATCTCGTCCACCGGTGCGAAGGGGTTAATCGAATGATATTTCTGTAGGTTATTACGCGAACATCACTGCCGGTGGAGGTTGCGCCCGGTTGGACAACGTGACCGCAGCGGATATCTACGTGAACTCGACAGTACCAGCGATTCTTCACATTCCGTTCCCAGAGCCGGGTACATGGCACGTGAGCTTGAAGTCTTTCTGCGTGGAGGAAAATTGTCACTGCATATCAACATGCCTGAACGGCACCGCCTGCGAGGATTGCGACTGCATCACTCCCTGCGACGCCAGAGTGGAGAGCCGTATTTCCTCTCTGCCCTGCATCGAGGGCCGTTGCAATGCCCGTGGAAAATGTATGCATTACATGAGCGGTGGTTTCGTTTTCGCTGCGTGCCATTGTTCAGGCGCCTACAGAGGGTTCGATTGCGCAGACGACACATACGTTCTCAGCAATAGCGACGTGATCGTTCGAGTGTTGCTGTTAACCTGCAGCAATCTGGCGTTCATCGGTTCGGTTTACGTGGCGGTGCGCAGAGAATACTTCACAGAGGCGATCGTCTACGCGGCCGTTATGTTCTTCTCGACGTTCTACCACGCCTGCGAAGCTGGGGAAGACGTGTACAGCGTGTGCATCATGAGACTGGGTGTCTTGCAGTTCTGCGACTTCTTCAACGCTCTGTTGTCCATCTGGGTGACTTTAGTCGCGATGGCCTCGTTCGGGCCGAAGCTCACCGCTTTCTGTCAAATCGCAGGAGCTGTTATTTTAGCGATGAGCGCTGAAATGGATCGCACGGCCCTCTGGGTGTTTCTTTTACCTGCTATCACGGGTTCCGCCTTGATCGGCCTATCTTGGGGTATGAGGTGTAAGAGGAGAGGCACTGTACGTTATCCTTCTCGTCCTTATAGGTTTGTTAATTCCTCTTCGAATATCAAAAGAACATTTTATATTAATTGCATGCACTAAGAATCGTGTTTGTTTCGGTTCGCAGAAGCATTTACTTCCCGGCTGGTCTCCTTCTAGTCTCCATGGGGCTGGTCTGCTACGCATTCCTACAAACACGGAGAAATTATTACATCGTTCACAGCCTTTGGCACGTGTGCGTCGCCATAGGGGTGGTTTTGCTCCTACCGAAGCGACAGTACATGAAGTGATTAGCATAGCGAATGATAGTTGCTGCAAGATGCAACGTTGCCAATGTAAGAAACGGGTACAAGTACGTTTAAGATTGTTGGTGTTCAAGAGCGGATTGTACATCGAAGTGTGTACATTGTAGATATCAGAGATCTTATTCTTGTAAAAATCGAGTAACGTTTATAGATAGGAAGGAAAGTTGGCAATTCGATGCGTTTCAAGAGCAATATAAATTTGAAGGCAGTATTAATCACTCGAAGGGTTTAATGCACCTCGGTACATAGTTAGAGAACATTAAGTATGTTGTTGGATTGCAATCAAGATAGGTTCGTTACGATACAAGAACAAACTAGAGCGAAAATTTCACCCAAAACTGCTTGTTGACTTGCGTTTATTCAGTTTATTAATGTTAGTTCAATTATACCATTTAACAATCCGTTTGAAGTATCTCGCTAAGGACCAAAGAACTTCTAGAATACATTGTATAGAGAATATTCACTATTTTTCCATGTAACACCATAAAGCTTTACAATCTAATTACCATAAGTCTCTCCAGAGATTCGTGAGATTTTTCAGTTCGAAATCGAGTATCGGTAATTCGATGATGGTGTTCGATATTGATTTTCGAATATTCGTTTAACTTCTCCATAGGAATGGACACCTCGCACGTGGATTATAGATTTTAAAGGATCAATATATTTATATACGCTCTTAAAGATTGTTGTGTCGGTGTATATCGAGGGTTGTAGTAACGTTCATCTAGACTGTGCCTATTTTCTTCAGACATTTAAATTACGAAGTACAGTCGGTGGAAAAGATACAGTAGAGCGTGTCGAAGTAAATAGAACGTGAAAACGTAAGAACTTAAAAAGAGTCAGAGCCGCAAGAACAATGTTCTAGAGTTACTATTTTTCTCTTGTCGTCTGTACCAAGCACAGGTACTAGAAACAAGACTACAGTCGTTATGCTATGTAATTGTCTCACACAGATTATCTCTGTGCCTCGCTCAAGATTCATAAAAGAACGGCGTCTATGTTGAGAGAACATTGTCACAACTATACGCAGATCTACGCAGAGTAACGACTTTGCGATTTCACTTTTCAAAGTGCACACGTGTATAAAACGACGAAATAAACGAAAACAATATACAAAGGCTACACTGTGAATCTTACTTTTAAATCGTCGAGGTTATCGAACAGTTGCCCGCAACTACATTTCGCCTACGAATCTAAGCTGGATGATTCCATCAGGAACTGGTCAATCCCTACGAACTACGAAGTATGTATTTAAATGGGATCCTAGGTAAATCGGCGTTAATGCATTCATCATCACAATATACTGTATATACAAGTTCAATCAAAGTAGCAAGGAAGATACTTTCGGTCATTCCCAGAAGCTCGCTTAAGGAGTCATGCTCAGTCGGAAATTTAAAAAAAAAAAACGATTTTTCACTTTTATAATATAGAAACTGCAATCTTTGAAACACAAACACATTTTTTGAAAAAGGTCTTATAGTTTTTGAGAAAAAAATTCTTGAGCATGACCCCTTAAGTGTACAACTTCTAAATATAATTAATGATCATTTATAGATGGACATCATTTACAACGATCCAGGTCCGGTGTGTGCAGTTGTCGATCCTGGAGCGACCGTGGCAGCTGCAGTGAACACGTTCGATAGCAGGGACAGCATAGTCTCCATGGAGAAACCACAGTGAGGATAAGTTCGCGAGCAACTTCGTCCCGATCTGCCAGCTTCTACCGCTTCCTGGATCGCTGTCCCTTCCATGGCCGTGCGAAATATCTGATTCGTTGTTACCGTGTCGATCATTCGATCGAACGACGAGACTTGTTCGTCATCGTTCAGCCTGTTCGCATCTCTCATGGAGGACGCCGCCTGTTGCGAATAAGTGCACATGGCCCGTTGCATGCAGGACGTAGTGTCTATCCCGTGGCGAGCCAGGACATCATCTAATTTCGTTACTATTTGAGAGACACCGTTTTCGTCACCTGGAATCAGTTTGTCGCGTCATTAGACCGAGCAAGGTAAAATATATTATAGTTAGTACCGTGATCAAGAGAAGAAATGATCTGTCATCTTACTTCTTGCATAGTGGCCGTAACTACCGGAGAGGACGTAGAGCAGTTTGGGGATGATCAAGATAGAACCCACCCCTATGATGGCGCCCAGAAGTAGTCCACCAAGATCAATTTTCGCGGGCGCGTACGTTGATACCCCGTAACCCTACATAATAATAATGCGTTTGTTTCAGTTATAACGAATAAAATTTTGTTATCTTTTATTCATTATACAAACTTGTTATTTAGATACAAATTTTGCCCATCTCTGGTTTGTTTCAGTTAAAAGTAAAGGTTTCTAAGAAGATTAGGAAGAGTGACTTACGCTCCCTGTGCTGCCAATATTTGTGAAACCGAATCGAGGCTCCTGACTACGGTCCGTGATATCGTTGGTCTCCGTTTCGCTGCGTCTAGTCGCCGACTCACTTCGTGGTTCCATCTGGGACGGCATAGCTATCTGATCCTGAGACTTCGGACCCTTCTCCAAATAGATCATGGAACTCGGTATAAACCTGCGTTGGAATAATTTTCCCACATATTTGAAAAGTCTCTGGGATCTCCTTAAGTAAATCTTGATGCACTATCTTACCCTCCATCGTCAAACTTTGGACTACCCTCGACAACCGCTGCCGCGAACATCAACAGAATGATCAGCTTTCGAATGTTGAACGACATCTATGGGAAAAAGAAAGTGAAATTGATTTATTACTAAACTAAGTACAGTCATTGTGCTGTGTGTCTGAATCTTTCGTGAGGAAGCTGTACCTTGAAGGGTACTACTGGACAAGGTGCTCGAAACTTTTACGGCGCGTCGGTTTTGGGGACACTGAACGGACGTCAACGTGATTTCTGAAATATATAGCCGTCCACCTACTACTCCGGGTCGTCACGACACGACGCACCATGGACATAATTGGACCCGACGGTTTCGCTTTCGTTGTTAGATTTTCAACGGGATGCTATCACGGTGCGTGACCCGTCCGTCTCTCATGAAGAAGCAGGAGAACGTCCATTGTCGCCACGATCCACTCGGCATTGTTGTCGCGAACATCTGTAAACTAATTTGTCTTTCGTAAGAATAATGACTGCCACCTCTGCCTCGATTCACAAGCGATTCGTAGACTATATGAAAATGAAACTAAAAACCTGTTGGGCTATTTACAACAGGTGATTCTCTATCAAGCTCATTAGATTCATATTCTGTAATTAATACCAGCGCCTTTGCTTTGCTTTTAGCGTCACAATTTCCTTTCAATCATTCAATTTCTATATTTAGAAAGGGAAGAAAAATTAGTTTCCCTTCCAATAGAACAGACGGGCATAATTCTTGCGAAACTAGAATACTTTACTATGTCTTCGCCTGATGCCAAGAACGAGAAATTCGTTCTGCAGGTTGCCCCGGAAAATTCACGAAAGTCGGGCCCTCGGTATGCGTGCACTAACAAACTTCTTATATGAATGCACACAGAAGTTAAAAGGATGCTTTTACAGTGTCCCCTCGGTCGCACTCGAACTATCTCTTTGTTGATTTAACGAGCACCGTGAATGGGCCTTTGAAAATTGCGTTTCGGCTTATGGAAGATCCACGGGAGCCACTCAGACGTAAACACGGATGGTTCTCTCTTTTTTTTTCTCTGACGGAGAGTGGCGAACAAGTACAATTACGAAACGTAGAATTCTAGGCGCGAGACACCCGCGAAATTTTACGCCGTGACGACGTAACGAGACCGGCAACTCGCATTTTCAGCGACGGTAATTTGACCAGAAATCGTTCGTGGGTTCGTTAATTCCGATTGTGGAGGTTTCCTGGGTGTCTAGGTAGGCTGGCTGGTGTACAAAAAGTGCTGGCAGAATGAGGGATTTGTCACACGTGTCTCCGCGCTCGCGTACAATTAGTCGACGGTCAATAGGCGATAGACGGAGTATAAAATATAATAACACCAATGAAGAGCTCGATAATATATGCAGCTACGTGGCTGCTTTGCGTGGCTTTAGATATGTCTGAAGCGATAGAATCTAAGGACGATGGAGCGCAGAAGACGCCCAGGGCTCAGAATAAAATATTTAATCATCGTCCAAATGGAGGATTGATCTCTTTCAATTCAGAACAAGAGAAACTACGTGTAAGTTCTATCTATACAAAGTGGGGCAATAACTATGTCCACATTGAATATTGCCCTTATTTGTAATAATATGAAAAAATGTTATGTACAAAACTTACTATAATGTTATATTACAAACTTATATTCTATATAAGATTATTTTACTGTTTGTTCCATATACGGTAGCTGGATTGGGCCGTGACTATTCCCTTCATCTCTATACCGATCGATTATAAAATCGGCGAGCACGGAGAGGTTCCGCCTCTGCTTGACGTGAACACGAAGACCCTAGGAATCGTTGGAGTTCTGACTACGCTCGCCAGTGTGTTCCCGCCGTTGTTCTCGAAGAGCCACCACCACATGAATTATCGTGAGTGAATGAAACTCGTTCTAGTAGTCTGTAATTACACGTATGTATTTCGGTTCTTCTCTATTTTACAATAACGCCAGGCTCGGGGGACAATACGCAATGGTTCGAAATGGGGAACACGATCAACGATATGATTTTCGGTAACAATTACGTGGCACCGTGTATACAACGCATCGTATGCTCGATCGTCTCGATGGCTACCCACTCGGAGAGCCCGACGAACACCGAGAAAATAATCGACGGTCTATCGAGGTGCTGTCACGAAACGTTTCTAATCAGATCTGTCTTTTTATCGTTTATAATGTTCGATTTTATAATAGCTACAAGTGGTTCAAGGACGTCACGAACGGCACTATCATACAAGACGCGGTGAACGCGGGACGAAAGGGAAATCACGATTGCGAACGGATTTACAAAGATTGCCTGATCACGCCCAAGCTGTTTAAGGCCATGATGAGCGAGTTTGGTATAGTGTAACGAATTTAATGTAACCTATACCTTATCGATAACGGTACAGATATTCAAAGGATACAATATATTTTTCTACATAAATGTTATACATTTCGTTTTCGATTCGGCTCACCCGATTCTATTCGTTCCGCCGCCTGAAGTCCTTTCGGATTCGTCGAAAGAACTTAATCGGGGAAGGAGATAAAGAGTTCACGGAAACACGTTATCATTTTAACGCGCACAGCGCGAAACGTCGTCGCGTGATCCGAGCCGTAATAATCAGTCAGTTTCGACTTTCACTTTTAGCGAATACCATTGTCCATTATGTTAATGACACACGCTGGAGATGTACGTATATAGCCGCTATTGTGTGGTTCCTTAGTCTTTAGTTGTCATTAAGAAACGCGAAAACAATCATTAAGTTGTTCAAACACACAATGCAAGGACAGCCGCTTGTTATACCGAGCACGAGTAAACGGTTTTATTTTCTCCCTAATGTGTCGTCCAGCAACCATTGTAACAGCGTAAGAGACCGTGGCATTACGTTATATCGTGCTGCACATATAAACCCTCGTTTCACTTTCATCTGCTCGTTTTCACCGCAACGATCGGTGTTGTGGTGGTGTCGTCGGATATCGGTTCAGGGGGCGAGAGCAACGACATGGCTTCCATCGAATCCGCGGCCTTAGCGAGATCCAACGGTGTTAGACCCGCTTTGTCCTTGCAATCGGTCTCCACCCCTTGCTCCAACAAGAATTTTAGCACTTGCGTCTTGTTGTGCAACGCTGCGAAGTGCAACGGTGTTCGACCGGAAAAGTCCTTCTGACTCAGATCAGCGTTCGCTAAATGATACGACTCGAGCCGTCTCAAGTTCCCCAACGCCACTGCGGCACACATCTTCTCGCCTATTAAGTACGCCCTTCCATGCAGATGGGCGCCGCATTGAAGCAGCACTTTGATAATCTAGAAATATAAGATCATTCCTGTTTATATATTTTATAAAACTATCGGGTCTTTGCCGTTGACGGGACTAATCAAATGAGCTAAGTGTAATAATATTGAATTGATGTAGCGAGGTATTACGTCATGCTGATCATATTCCACTGCGTCCGTAAGCGGTGTACGGTCAAACCGATCTTTGATATGCACGTTCGCCCCCATCCTCAAAAGGCACCGCGTGACGTTCAAGTCCCCTTCGCAACAGGCGATATGCAGCGCGGTCCGGCCGTCTGCGTTCGTCTGCGAAATATCTGCACCCTGACGTAACGAATCAATTAAGTCTTGTAGGTAAAACAGAAACACCTTGGTCACAGATAAACGGGATACAGTTTCGTCTACTTACGTAATCCTTTAACGATTCAAGCTTGATCGTATCTCTTGCGAGTACAGCAGCGTTCAGCATCGCTGGGAACAGGATCGTTCCCAATTCTTGGCGTTCGACGGTCGACGAAAGCCTCAGAGATCTAGCGACCGCCTCGACGAGGTCTAGATCCTGAAGGAACGGCGGTCGACCAGCGGTCAACTCGCCCCGTAGATTGGTCTGCATCATTTGCCGTTTGGTTTCCGTGTCCCATTCCTTTTTCGACAACACATAAGCGAGTTTGGTCAGGGCGGCCTCGGGGGTCATATCGAAACCCGATATCACACCTGCACTTGAAAGATATTATTTTCACCTGGAAGTGTCATGCTCAGTTTCTCGAAATCGTAATTTGAAAGGTGAACAGTGTGTACCGGCTTCCTCCAAGAATTTTCCAGGCTCGTACATCCCGGAAACGTAGCCGGTCGAGCATTGCGTGATGTTCACTATGATGATCCCGCGTTTCGCCGCCTTGCTCAGCTCTTTGATCATGTCCTCGCGGTTCGTCGGCACGTTGCCCGCCCCGTACGTCTGCAACACGACGCCCTCGATCGGTGGTTGCATGAACGCCTTCACGAGATCGGTGGTGATGCTCGGGAATATACGGAGCAAGCCCACGTTACGATTTATGTTCGCGTGCACGTTGAATTTCTCCAGTGTGCAGGAGCGAAAAATCGCCCGGTAATCCACTGGAATATGAACATTGTATTTTTACACGCTATTCACAGAACCGATCAGACGACCAGATGCCATATGGTCATCCATATGCTGTTTTGCTCGGAATACCATCAATTAGTATGTGACGTTTAAATATTTTCAAGTGACACGGAAAATGCTAATGCATCGCGTCGAAATAACAGTCAACAGCGAAATGTGACACGCGCACGGCAGCGCGATCTATCAATAAATATGCTTTTTTTCCGGGAGGAAAACCTTGAAAAAGGTTCACCCACTGAATCAATGAATACGCCTACGTTAACGCACACGGTTGTCGATTAGATTAATTTAACCTAGCTTAACACTCCAGACGGAGATCTCTGATACATAACAGGCCGTTTATATATTCGCTAGAGAATGATCTTTGATCAGCATCTCGTCGAACATAGCAAATGCCGATACGGTCATGATACGATTACGCACGACGACTCGTTAGAGCGAATCAAACAAATGCGTATTTCCTGATAACACGACTGACCTTCGATCTTGATATTGGCCTTTGCTAATGGCGGGAAATTCGGGGAATTGAACGCCTCGAACGCCGTCGCTGAGATTTTGCTGGTCCTGTTCCCACGCATCAGATTCTTCGCGAAGTAGACGCACACTTCCGGTATGTTGTAATTCGCGGCTATAACGAGAGACGTGAGGAAGTTGTCCAGGCCGTCGGTTCTGGTGTCGAAAATCGGCACCTGGGACCCGGTCAATATGACTATCTTGCCGAGAGCTTCGAGCATAAACGAGAGGGCCGATGCTGTGTAGCTTAACGTGTCCGTTCCGTGGAGAACAACGAAACCGTCGAAATACTCGTATGATTCCTACAATGGCAGAGAAATGTTCGAAATTACGAGGATATTCCTTTTATTTAAATTACATTATAAACCCGTGTATCTCAAGAAATCTACGTTTGACTAAAAAGGGAAGACTTCCTACAGCATTCCTCTGTTCTTGACTAATACACGGAACAGGTTTCACGAATAAATACATCTTATAAGACCATTACTTTATTTTAACGACAATCTGCGCGCTAATTAGGTTTTAATGCCGTTGGTTTTAAAGTACCTTAATGTCGTTGGCAATACGGATCCAGTCGGCTACCGTCATGTTGCTAGAATCGCAGAGAGGCGAGTATTCCATCACGTTATAAATAACGCGTCTCCTGTCTGTCGCGGTCACTCTGTGGAAAATAAAAACAAGGATATTCCATGGATAGGATAAATTCGGTGTACGTATTCGGTCATCGAAATCGTTCCCAACCCGTCCGGATCGAGAGTCCTTGTGAACTACACTTACGGAAGTACTAGCGGTCCCATGGAACCGAATCGTTCATCCGCGTATTCCTTATCGTGCATGTGAGGGTAGTTTCGGATCTTTTTGACGAAAGAATTTTCCTTGGGCACCAGGACTAGAATGTAAACATATTTGCAATTAGAATTATACGTATCGGAATGTTAACATATTTAAAGTGTAATGTTAACACGTTGACTGCCGCAGAATTTTCGTACATTTCAGCCACATCGTGGAAGTGACATTTTCGTTACACAAAGTGTATAAGAATAAAATGTCATATAAAATTATTAAAGTCAACTATGTTATCATGCTTTTGGCATTTAGTTTGTAAAAGTTTACCGATTTATGGTCCAATATTAATAATATCGAAAAGTATACTCCCTAGAGTGGGGGTCACCGGTGACCCCCATGGCAGTCAACGTGTTAATATTCGATGTTAGACGGCTCGCGGTACCTCCGTTCTTGTTCCTGATCATTCCGATCGTTCCACCGGTGTAGAGGACCAATACACGGCCATCGCGTACGCTTTCGATGGCCAGACGACCGGAACTATGATTCCTCAGCTGCTCCATGCTTCGTCCCCCGTCGATCGTTAGACGTGTCTCGCTGTTCTGTCTGTTTACAGGTGTTCGTGACATGCTAGCTACTCCACGTGTCCGCGCTGTAGAATGTTATCCCCGCGAGCTCTCTATCGGGAATGATTTCTGTTATGCAATTTCTTCTGGTCGAGAGCGTGTCCACACAACGCAATCCGCGATCGTGCCCGTTGAGACGCGCGTGCTTTCCAGACCGACGACTCATGTGTATATTCAGACAGAAGTCGGCGGGGAACCAGCTACACTTCAAGGTACATACGGATCACACGGACAAAGGCGTAGAGTTCTAGAGATCGATAGGCGACTCTCTTTCTCTGACCAGGCGCGTCAAAAACGTTAGATTAGATTTCCTCGAAATGCCGTCTAGCGCGCTGAGGTTCGCACGGCGCTCGACGGAAGCAATCGCCTTTTTGGAAAACGAACAAACGCCGCTTGCGACACCGTGTTTCACTTTCTACTCGTTCGCATTCCGATTGAGGAGTAATTATTTTTACATAAATTAGGACGATTAGAAGCAGCAGACGCTCGAGTGATTTCGTTACTGGTATACACGTTCACCGTTCGTCCGATTTTTTGAAATCTTCGAGTTTTCGACGGAACCTTTGAACAGAACGGAGTTTTACGAGAAATCGATCGTGTGTAATTTAATTTGAAATCGTAAACAATGTACCTTTTACTTTTGTATTTCTTGTAATGGTCTGTGATTAAGTCATACGTGACTAGAATGAGGGATCCACACACTGTCGTCAATAGTTTCGCGAACATGCCTCTGTAAAGACCGAACACACCGTCGTTCCGCGTGATCCGACCGACCTGTAACAAGAAAATTTTCATCGCAATCAATTCAGACGAAATCGCGATCCGCATTGAATATTTTTACGGAACTCCACTGACCATATGTCTGTACGACTCGTAACTTTGCAAGCCACGTCCGCTAAGAAGCATTTTTTGTCTGGCTATTGTCTCCATAGGATAGGTGATAAGTGTCGCTATGACAGATGCTAATTGAGCGAAGAACAGAGACACTAATAACGGCGTCTGTACAGAGTGAATCTCAGGCGTGCCTTGACTTAAGTATGTGAGCTTGCCGAATGTGTACACGCCAAAGTAAGTGGACCTAGATTTCGTACGAAATTCCTAATTTAGGTATACAGTAATCGAATTTACTTCTTTTCACTTATTGAGGATTGAGAACGTCCGAGTGACTTTACTGGATAGCGATTAACTTTTTACAGATCTCATTTCCGGTTTAGAGTCACTCGTGACAAGCTTTAAGATTACAAATTTATGAGTACTCTGTATATGTATTTCGAAGCGTTATAGTATTAAAATTAATTGGTACCACTAAATTAATTTCAGATATTATGATGATTATGGTTACGTAAACCTGTACAGAAACATCCCGCAGGCCGAGAAGGCTAGTCCCTGATAGAGGCCCCTATAGCCATCGGATTTGTAGACTTTTCGTATGCAGTCGTTCAAGCCGTAATATTCCCGCTTAATACTTTTATTATCACCGACGTCTACCGATATTCGGGTGTTGCAGAACGTGAACGGATACAAAATCGTGCAGGAAGTGACGCCAACGCTTCCGCCCGCCAAAAATGGAAGGAGATGATGGCTGTAGGCAGTCTCCGGTCGAATCATCTGTGCAATACTGTTCAATGCTTACAGAAAAATCTACCTACGGAATCTCAGAACTATTGTTTTTAAGTTTAACATAAAATGCAAAATCATGATTATCGAAAATATACAAATGTGATATGTCAAAGTGAACGTGTTAAAATTGAATGTCTTCGATGGACGTACATAACGATAAGCGTCGTAATACAAATCGTAGCAGGAAAAGTTGATCGCCTGAGCTGGAAAGTATCGGCAAATGTTGAGAAAGTTACCGCGCCACAGAGACCAAAACCCCTGCTCCTGAGGTACTCTAATCATTGCGTCTAGGAAGCCAGAGTAGGAGGACCTCTTCGACGTTCCAAGTTGAGAACTGCTCGCCTGGGTCTGTAGAATCAATTTGATTCTCTCTAATGGAGCCGTCATTGTCTTGAATATGATCGACAAAATCCCGGAAATTAGGAGAGAAGCTCCAAAGTCGGTAACCACGTTTATATGAACGCATTGTCCGTTCAATCTTGGATCAATCGCGGAATCGTCTGCAATCGTCTGTCTCTTTCTTTTCATCGTTCGTGCAATTTTCTTCGTGACATTTTTCGAATTATTTGATCCCGTATTAGGTTCATAAGAAAATTTAACGAAAGAGACGCGTCATTCGTCTTTGTTAGACACACCACACACCTTATTGACGGGATGAACGTTACCGCTCTAGTGGAAACATGTTAGTGATTTAGCGTGAAGATACACGTTCCTGTAAACGACCAATCGTTTTGCTAGATAAATGTGTTGGATTTTAAAACAAATCACCGCTTATAGGGGACCCTGAACATAGCAGCGTGACCATTGACAGCTGGGAAGGTAAACGTCATTCACAACGTCATCATTCGTCATGAATGCAAGCGATATAAAAGAGAAACTTGATGTTTATAGACGTCGGAAACGCAGAGAAGAGATGACAGAAACCATTAAGAATGTGATACAGAATGTTTTACCGTGGAACGAAAATCAAACAATGAAAGAACCGTTGCTGGTAGTGTCGCCAAATAATGTCGAGGTAAGGTTATGACTTTTAATACACGGTGTCTTGCAGTCAACTAAGAATGACAGTAGTCTGACAGGCGGGTTTTGCACATATCTGAAAGAAACGTTGAAGCAACCCAGATTTTGAGGTCTTATCATGCAATGAATGTGTCTTCCATAAAAGAAACCGAGGCAATATTTATTTTAAAATGTACACAAAACAACGGTGTGGTTAAGAATTATAAGCTTACAGGATGACCAAGATACAGAGAGCACCAATACAGATGATAGCATAGACCAAACTCAATGTACAATGTTGAAAAAAGTAATGTACGCACTCTACTTCCTCCTATGGGCTACCTTATATGTAATTGCAATCGAATTCGAGTTTGGAGCAGTATATTTTGTCTTATCTACGTTAATATTTATTTGGGTGAATACTCACTCCAGACCAAAGAAACCAGGCGAACTTAGTGCTTATTCAGTTTTCAATCCAGAGTGTAAAGCAATCGAAGGAACACTTGATGCTTCACAATTTGAAAGAGAAATACGGTATGGTATAGGAAGCGTACGTTAATGTAAATTATAGAACTCTCGTGTTTATCTTATTTATCACAGGCAATGTAATACATGCTTTATACTTACTTGTATGTGTATGAATGAATATCTGTGCAATTTACAATAATACACAAATGGAAAATAGGAACTCCCGAATGTAAAGTTAAGCTAAGTACATGGCAAGTGTTAAAAACAATTTGTCGGTGTGCAAGAAATTTCAGTGGTAACAAATTGCAGTTACCACAGTCATTTGAAAAGAAAACTTTATATCTAGATTTCTCTTGTAATTTTGCTATTTTTCTATCGATTTTGTAACAGTTTAATCGCAGTTTCATAACACTTTACCATTTCATTAAAATACATTATGTTATCAGACTCATGACTTAGTCTAAGAACCTCCGACCAATTAGTTTTGGATTGTGATTTTGTATCAGAACATAGAAGAGCTCTATCCAAGTCCATCATCAAGTCATTTGATATCCTTGTATCAAGTGTACTGTAACATAAAAAGAGGATAGATTCTTCATGTTTCTGAAACATTGATATAATTATGTAAATATAATAACTCTGTGTAAACTTTACATATTACATACTTGGTGCTATCAATTGTGTTAATCCTTCCATTTAAAATCTCAATGTTATTTAACAATTTGATCGAAGTATCCTGTATTTTTTCTAAAAAAGGAATATAATCTTATTTAATATTCTTAAACTTAAGTTCTCTAAATATGCCAAATACCTTTCATTTCTAAAAGTTCAGTACTATTTATAGATGCCAATGCTTTGGAAACAGTTTCATTAAAATAAGTCGGATTCCATGTCATGATTAAACATTCAGATAGCCTCCAAATAGTTTGACTAAGTATTTGGGCTAAAATTATTTTACGTAACTCTCTTTGATGATCATTATCATTGAACGTAAAGTTGTTGTTCTACAGTAGCACGGAAATAATTTCCAACATTACAAAAGGAATGAGGCTTCATTATTGCAGTAGCACACGTACTCATTCCTATTACTCACCATAAATGATAAGACTGCATGAGGTATATCCAAAGCTAAGCGGGTAATTGTTGAATTATAAGGTACATTAAATAAAGGTATCACCTGATCATTATAAGAGTACAGATTCCTTACAATATTAGCAGCTTCTAAAACAGCAGATTTTACTGCATCAGATCCTGACACAATTAAGGGACCTCTACCTATAATCAAATTGGAAATATATAACAAATTACAAACCACAAGCTTATAAAATAAATTAATGTTGTTAAACCTTGCAAGGCTTGATGATGTACAGCAACATAAGCAAGAACTCTATGTCGCATGAAACTGGACAATGTCTCGGTGCAAGGATTCGTGGGACCAAAAAATAGACAAAAAATAAGAGATCTGCGAGGTTTCCAGCCATGTTCCCTTTGAATGTCATTTAAAATCTTCGCCAATTTCAACGCAATGCCAACACCTTCGTCGCTTACTGACAGAACCACATACCTGTCTAAATATTTAACGTTAAATAAAACATTATCATTAAAAGACTACAGGCCAACATGCAGAATTTAAATCACCAGGTTCTCTTGATCCTTGAACAGTTGCCACGATGTACGATTGATAGTCGACGACACTGTGAACGAGCGACAAGTTTGACAAGATTCCGTTTGCTCGACGTATGTCATCTTCCCTCAATGTGAATGACTTCCAGTTCCTAGTTTTTTTTTAAAAATACTTGAATACAATTCTCATTTCCGTATGAAAAGCGAAGGATGAACGTACACTTCGAAATCGAGATCGAGAGGTGCCCTTTTCAGTTGTTCGAGTACCAAACGTTGAAGGTACTCCGTACTCTCGAGACCATTTCCTGCTAATTCGAAACGTTTCTTTTCCGCGCGAAACTCGATGGCCCTTTGCGTGGCGAAACGGCCGAGCAAGAAACCGCATAGAAGGCAGAGAAACCCAACAGAGAGTAGAAACGAGAAGCACATACGTTTTGTCACGAACTCGCTGGACTCACTGAGTCCGCGAGCCATTTGAAAGCTGAGAACCCGCTGCATATCCAACACCCTATTGTAAGGAGCTCAACAGTTGATAACGGTCATCACTTGTCTCGAAACCAGTACCTTTAGAAGAAAACAATTATAGAATAGAAAGATGCTGTGTCAACGAACAACGTTCGTTAAACAATGTTTTCTAAAAATTACCAATTGAGAACACTAACTTCAATCAATAATTCTTGTCTAGATAGGTAGGCTGTAACGAACGAAACACGTGCAGTTTTAATATAAAGTACTCAAACGGAATTCTTTCAACAAACTCGCGATTCCCGCAATGCGAATTCCCATGAGCGTGTTCCCCGCGGTTGTCTCCGGTCAGCTACTCGCTTTAAAACTGCGTGGGACAAGACTGATATATTTGTCAGTCCGTCTCGTCGTCGTCGTCGGTTTTCCACCACTCTGCCGACGCGTCGATTATTATAAACCCCGATAGACATGTTCGAATAAAATCCTCCACGAAATCCAGAAGTTATAACAATTATAGAACACCTTGTATACATATTTATACTTTTATGTCGCGTGTAATCGTCGGCATTCAGTGCCGATGGAACATAATCTTGAATTGCAATGAAACTCTGCTTAAAAAAAAAAAATTGATATAACATTTCTATTAAGTTCTGAAAGTGCAGCAACTGACTGCACACGACTGCACGAATTTGTAATTCTCAGCATCGCAACTCGTCATTCTTTTGCTAAACGAAGTCTCGTTATATTGTTAGTGTTTTCTTTTAATTGACAGAGTAATGAAAAATGGGTATCACATGAAATGATATTTTTAATCGTAACACCATCTTCGCTGTGTTCGCGTCAAGCAACTTATTTCGAGCAATAATACCGTGACGATGTTTCACTTATAAATAGTTTTCGATGTATTACGTACACGTGCAAGGTTGTTTCAACTATAGATTAGTGCTGTTTCAATCTTGAAATAGTCAACAACCACTTATCCAGATATATAATGTACTTGTATTCGAGTACTGTTTAAAAAAAAAATATTTTAATAGACTTGCATTTACTCTTTAAATTTATTTGCGTAATTTTGTTGTGTTTTTTTTTTTAGTATTTCATTGCGTATGAAATATGATCGCGACTGATGTTCTTCTGTAATTTAAAGCAGATGTTTCTCAACAACGATATTTCTACTTATACGGAGAAACAGCAGGCATGGAAGAAATTCTGCATAGTCTATTTGTGGATACTTTATTATCAGAACGAATAGTAAAACAAACGCTGGTAAAGCAATGAAATAAGTTACTGTTACGGATCTTGGAACGGAACAAAGCTCCGTGGGTTTAAGCAGGGGAAGTAAAAATAAATTTCTAAATGAAAGATTTCCTCCTCTGCAAGAACGCCGGCACACGGTGTCTGTAGCGGCCATAAAAATACATTTATTTTTTTAAGCATTTCATCTCGACGAGAGCAATGAATGTATAAAAGAAACGCCTATAAATTTTTCCTCTTTAAAAAAAATCGAACAGTACGTCTCATCACATAATATACTGTTTCTGTCTAGCTTATACAGATTATTAAAAACAAACCAAAATCCCGATGTTTTTCAGGAAATCAAAGTTAACAATGCAAAGTAAATATTATTTGTCAACAAATTTGTTTGAATTCAAGCGTCTTGTTTCTTGCGGAAACTAGTCCCACTTACCGGAAGGCCTTGAATCGTTCATAAAGCAGTCCTTTGTTTAGTCAGTTGAACTTCAGCCGCAACACGTGGTCGTTGCCGGCGTCTACAATTCGAAGATCAGTCGGTATTCATTGTTTTTCATTTTAATCGACACGTCTGCTACTTCTTATTTTATCTATTAACTGTGAATTTAGTGCGTTTTGTTTGCGACGTATTAGATTACAAATATGGATCCAATAGTCACGTGCCCGTACGATGAAGTGCATCGCATTCGTAAGAGTGTGATACCCTACCATATAATACGATGTGGTAAACATTATTCTTCGGCGGGGAAAATACGTTGTCCGTTCGATGCGTTTCACATAATTGACGAAGCTTACTTTCAGGTAAAAAAAGTTTGTTACGGCTAATGTAATCAGACCGTTTCAGATTAAGCGGGTGACTCCAGGTTTGCCGCCCTCTCCATATTACTTAATGTGCTAATGTTTAAATGTATTATTTAAAAATGATATATAGTCCTGTCTGGTTACATTAGTTGATACATTGTAATAATTAAAAAATAGCTTAATACTAATGCAAAGTGAACTGGCAGCATCATGTTGAAAACTGTGCAAGCAGTGGGAATGTGAGAAGACACATATATGATTTAGAACCACCACTTCAATTAGGCACAATACCATTGGAAGCAGTTAAATATTTATCAGTGCCTATAATGAAAGATTGGAACAAGGTTTAAAGAATATCTCAGTTATTATATTAATTTTAAATATATAGGTATCATATGTTAATATTTAAGGAACCTGTTGAGACATATGATCCTTGGAAACATACTGAAACAAGAAGTATCATACGTTCTATGCCAGGAGGGTCAAAATCAAAGAAAAAGGAGTTTAAAGTCGCAGAGCGTAAAAGATTACAAGCTTTAGAAACAGTGAATACATTTAAACCAACTCTGACAACTCAGTTTGTAAGTTTGTCTCTGATCTCATAGTCATATGACAATAATGTAATAATTTTATAAACATGTTAGTATTACTTTTTACTTTCAGAAACATAAGGAAGTAAGAAAAAGTACAAACATTCTAGAACTGATTAAAAAAATGAGAAGATTATCTTTGGATGAGTTTGATATATTGTTACAAAGTATTGACATCAGTAAGTTATTGATTAGTGATATTGAAGACAGTAAAGAAAGATGCATGTCAGAAGTTGTTGAAAAGGTAATGATAATCATGTTACGTCTAAAAAAAAATATTGCATTAAAATAATAACGTATAAAATTTGACAGATGCTGGTGCAGAAACTTAAAGAACTAATGTTGCATTGTTTGAAGAAAGAAAGTTTTTGAGAACAAGAAAAAAAAAGTATATTAATATTAAGTAATTATATTATATAATTATATATTACCATTAAGTGTCTTTCTACAACTACCAAACAGAATGTAGTTGTAGGTACCATTAGCATGTATTGTTAATTTTGACATTTTTTATAATATGGACAAACATATATTTATATTTTTTTTTATACATATTCTTGTTATCATTACTCAATTTGAGTAAAAGTATTATTTCTATAAGGAACATGGAGAAACTGATACATTATCAGCATGTAACTGTTGAAACATGTGAGACATAACTGTTTTGTTTATATTTTTGTTGAATGTTTCTACTGTTGGTTTCGTAATTAAACAATGCATATCTATTGCGCGTTCGTTTTATTCATCAAATAAATCCAAGACAACTATATGTAGGAACAACAAAACAGGTTTGTATTTAAAGAAACACTACGATGCAATTTAATTGAATTTACTTTTTCTCTGTTATCATACAAAAATCACATAACAAAAAAGAGTACATATATCCGACTGCACACACCATTCTACATAATATTCATACAAATCCACCCAAATAATATTGAACGACACGCGATTTAGGTATTATTTCCCAGTAGCTCTTCCAGCAACCAAGAAGATGCCTCTTTGTGATGCTGTTTTATATGATTTCTCAGATACCTCTTCTGGCTAAATTTCATACCACACTTGCAATCAAACGGTTTCTCTTCGTTGTGTATCGCACGATGTCGTACAACCTCTCCTTTGACCGAGAATGTTTTACCACAGATCTCGCAGGCATAGGCTTTGATGCCGGTGTGCGTGGTCTCGTGATGGGTCAACCTTTGCCTGCTTCGAAAATGTTTGCCGCAGTACGAGCATTTGTGAGGTTTGTAATCCGTGTGGACACGATTATGTATGTAAATGGAATTCAGTGTCCGAAACATTTTCGGACAGTGCTCGCACGCGTACGGACGTTCACCCGTATGGATCCTACGATGGTCATCTTTTGCTCCTTTACTGGCGAACGCGCGACCGCATATGTCGCATGCGTACTTCTTCAATCCCTCGTGAACGTCCCTTATATGTCTAGCCAGATCTTGCTCGATTCGATAAGATTTCCCGCACAAATCGCACGTGCAGGGTCGTTTATCCGAATGAACCCTAATATGACGCAAGAAACCACGTTTCGTGAACATAACCTTCGTACACGTGTCGCATTTGAAAGATACGCGATCGTTGACGACCTGCTTAGCTTTATTTACAAGCTCCGTCTCGTCTGGGTTGTGGTCTCGATTCATGTCGGAATGTCTCTTGATGTGCTTCTTTAATTCGGACTTCTTCGTGAAATTTCTCCCGCATAGATTGCAAATGAAACACAACGGTTCCCCTACGTTCTCCGTAGCGGGCGTTTCTTCGTTGGGTGCTTCCCCTTTCTTCTCGTAGTCTTCAACGGGATCGTACGGATGTTTGTAGTCCTCGTTGTGCCGTCCACAAGCGAACGTGTGCTCGTCGAAATCTTTCTCCTGTCCGTGGTATATTAGCTTACAATACTGACAATAATGCATCTGAGCCTCGTGCACGGCGTTCATATGCTCTATACAATACTTCATGTTCATAAAGATGATATCACAGTGGGCGCACTGGACGTACTCAACCTCCTCGCTGTTCGTACATGCGATTTCGGCCATAACGCCCTCGGACTCGTTCTTCCACCTGTAAAACAAACATATTCCGACATCATTCCAGCGAAACCAAATCCTTGTGGTGTTTCTTCATATGGTACTTCATGTAACGTTCTTGACTGAATCTCGTACTGCATATGGAACAAATGTACACCGTTTGGGGGCTATCGTGGACACGTTTGTGTCGGCTGAAAGCGCTGCTACTACCGAACTGTTTGTCGCACACGCTGCAATAATACGGTTTCTGCGGCTCAGCGGTATGAACGCAAACGTGCTTGTGTAATTCCAGCTCTCGCCGAAACGATTGGCCGCACAAGGAACACTGATGGGGAAAACGTTTCGTGTGCACCAGTTTGTGCGCGTTCAGGCATGACTTCTGTTTAAACGAATCCCCGCAAGTCTCGCACACGTGGGGTCTTTCGCCCGTGTGGATGCGTCTGTGCTCGTCTCGCGACGCTGCCGTGGCTTGGCGACGACCGCATATGTCGCACGCAAATTTCTTGATTCCTATGTGAACTTCGCGCACGTGTCTGTTCAGACCGGACGCCGTACGAAATTTTTTCCCGCAAACTTGACAGGTGCATGGTTTTTCGCCGGTGTGGGTGTATCGATGGATAAGAAAATTGTACGACGTGGACAATGTTCTCCCGCACTCGCTGCATTGGTAACGCGTGACTCCGTTCAGATTAACTTTCGAACGGTTTAGCACTTCGCGTACTTCCTTGGTGCGTTTGCCCCTGAAACGGCCTGCACGTACCATGGGGGAGATTACCACATTTTCTGTCGGTTCGATACCGGTTCCAATCTTATCTATCACCGATGCACACTTCTCCAGATCGGTTTTCGAACAAGTTACCTCGTCGCTTTCGGACGTGACACGGCTTGCAGATACATTGAGGGTGATTACCGTATTTTCTGTCGGTTCGATAATAGTTTCAACTTTATCGATCACTGGTACACAGTTCACCGGATCGGTTATTAAACCAGCTACCTCGTCGCGTTCTTCCGCTACATGGCTTGCACCTACGTCGTGGGTGATTACCGTATTTTCTGTCGGTTCGTTCTGTCGACGTTCGATACTAGTTCCAACGTTGTCTATCATCGGTGCACAGTTCTCCAGATCGGTTATAGAACGCACTCGTATTCGTGTATTGCTCGACTCGTTCGATCTCTCGTCGAGCCCGACTCCTCGATTTATACATCTGAAAAGAGAGAGAGTTTTCTCCGTTACTTGATTGCAACCGCGAACGAACCAGCGCTATGATTAATTCTTTTATGATTAACTAAGTAACGTTTCTGTCGGAACGAGAGATCGCAATCCGTGCACTGCCATGGTTTCTCGTCGAAATGGATCAACCGATGACGCTTCAGTTCCTGCTTGATGCGGAAACAACGGCCGCATATGTCGCACGCGTGCGGTTTCTCGCCCGTGTGTTTGGTTATGTGAACCGCGAGCGGCGGCCGCGTGCGGAACCTTTGCTCGCAGTAATTGCACTTGAACGGGAACACGTCCGAGTGCGTTCGATTGTGCACGAACAGGGATGCTTTTTGCTTGAATGATTTTCCGCAAATGTTGCAAACGTACGGCCGTTCGCCGGTGTGTATCCGTCTATGGTCCTCCACGTTGCGTTTCGTGGTGAACATACGGCCGCAAATATCGCAGGGGAAGTTTTTTATGCCAGCGTGCGTGTCCTTCAGATGCCTAGCCAGACCTTGCTTCACGCGGAACTGTTTGCCGCACAGGTGACACGTGTAAGACCGTTCACCAGTGTGTATTCGCACGTGCCAGAAGAACGTGTACGGTGAATAAAGGTTTTTCCCACACTCGTCGCAATGATAGTACACTTTTCCATCGATCTCCATCTTGGCTCGCATCACCGACTCTCGATCAACGCACCTCAATTTCCTGTTCTTCTGTCCGGTGAACTCTGAATGGGACTCCGTTAAGTGGACATCGAGCAGCTTCTTTTTTTTGGAGGTGTAGTCGCAATACATGCACGGATGCGTTCCGTGTCGTTTTCTCTGAAACTTTTCGTAACGTTTCCAATTATTTCGGTCGTCATTGGTCGCAGTTTCATCCACTTTTTCACTTGACTCCTTCGACGAGATGCTTTCGTCTTTTATGTCGATACTGTCCGTTACGTTATTTTTACATTTAGACGAGTGTCGCGAAAGATGGCATTCCCTTTTGAAAGTACTCCGACATGTTTTGCAAGTATAGAGGCTGTTCGGTGAATTTGTACATGCGTGCGTTAATGACATAGCCTTTTCGGAAGAGTCTTTAGAAGGAAGCATTGTTTCTACCATTTTCGGTACATTAAAGTCCGTGCTATTAGAATTGCTAAATGAGTCTGAGGTTTCTTCAGCAGTTACATCAACGAATCTCTGACGAACTGTACATTTGTTATTGGTTCGACTTATACTATTTGGGTGCATCGTTGTCATATGCCACGAGCAGTATGCCGCGAAGGATTTCTTCTGAGGTAGACCAAACCTGGAAAAATAATAAATGTACCAGATTTGATTGCTTTCGCTCGATGCGGAATTATCGGGATTATCGGTGTCACGTATCTTAGAACTCATTTTTATTAGCATGCCCGTAATGTTTCGACGTGTCTGCTTTTAATGTGATTGTTCAAATATCGTTTTTGTCGGAAAGCAAGCCCGCATTTCACGCAAACGAATGGTTTGATCTCGGAGTGGATCAGCTTATGCCTAGCGAGTTCCGACTTCACCCTGAACCGTTTCGAACAGACATCGCAACCATAGTTTTTCTCTCCTGTGTGAGTAGTTACGTGGGCCAGCATTTCCTGTTTTCTGCGAAATTTTTTATTACAATAGGAACATGGATGCGGAAATTCATCTGTGTGTAGTTTACTGTGAATATACAGAGAAGCCTTTGATTTGAAGGTCTTGCCACAGGAGTCGCAAATATATGGCCTTTCTCCTGTATGCGTTCTACGATGATCGTCTTTGGTAGCTTTCGAGGCAAAGGATTTGCCGCAAATATCGCATGCGAAATTTTTCACTTTTGCGTGCACGTCCTTCAGGTGCCTGGAAAGGCCACCCGAGTCTCGGAACTGTTTACCGCATACGTGACAAGTAAATGGTCTTTCATCTCTGTGAATCCTCATATGTCTCAGATACGAATCCTTCAACTTGAAACACCTGCCACATTCAACGCACTGATAAGTTTCCTGAATCTCGACCGTATCTTTTTGTTTCGCATGCTCGCAAGGATCTCTAGAGTATCTAATGTCACTGGCACAGAGCTTACATTCTCCTCTCATTCTTTTGTCGCTATTTCCCATGTTCGAAGGATCCGGAGTACTTCTGTCATCTTCTGGTTTCCGTTTCCTTAAACTGTTTGATTCATACAGATGGGAAATATCTTCTTTCACATCGACATCATTATTTTGTAGTTGCTCAGACATGACGGAATGATCGAGTGGTGAATTTATATCGCTGATCCACACCGAATCGCAATCTCCGTTGTCTGTAGGTTTTCTTTCTCGTAACTGGCATTTTATTCTTTTGGGCTTCCGAAATACTTTCTGCATGCCTAAGAACACCTTAAATGGTGTCCGCATACTACTGGACCTGCAAAACAGTCAAAACTTGACTCTAGATTTTGCAGCTGTGATATAACAATGCAGAAGATTGTTCTTGTTCAACCCAATTATCAATGGTGCTTGGGAAGGTTTACCATTCTTGATCATCTTTAAATATCTAATTCCCGTTATCTTAGAGTCGTATCTATGCAGAGTTCCGTTTTCTCTGTCTTCTTCCATATTTCATATTCAAACAGATATAATTATCCATATTTTAATTAAGGATAGTCAATGCGTAAAGTTTTCTTTAAGTGTATTTGGCTCTCTGTTTCGTATAGTATGTGTTTTTATACGAATGAAAAAACTTTAGTTTATTGTTATGTGTGGATATATTAATATGTCTATTATATTATGTTCAGATTTATTTATAAAAGGCATATTTTCTGCACATTCAATTGTACATATTTTTGCCCCCATATATATATTATCAGTTTTTGTGTTTACTTTGAATAAAAAGAATCGTTACCTGTCTGAATCATTAACAGCAATTTCCTCACACTCTTCATCCTTTACAATTTCCTGCTGCTGATGCTACAATTGAAAGTATTTTTAATTGAAGTACTGAAAATATACATAAAAACGTATGAATTTTAAGTACATATCATCTTTATACTTACATGAGATTCGGATACATTAGAGATAATCATGTCCTCCGTTGTTACTTCTAAGCTTTCTAAACCCTGTAAAATTAACATAAGTATTAAAAACACAAATTATCACCATGATGAAAATTTGATGTAAACAGCTATATTTGGTTTTATATGCACCTTTTTTTCCTGTAGAACATCCTGCATTTCTAATAACCTTCTTTCTGCATTTAGACATCCTTCTAAAAGCTCATGCCATGCTAATAATGTAGCAGCACAATGATAACACAACTGTAATGGAAGTGTGTCTGCTTCAGATAACTATAAAAAAAATCAATCGATTGAAGGCAATATTTGATGCACATAAACCTAAAGCAGTTACAAAATTGTTTGAACACATACATGTATGGGTAAATACTTGTGTATTTTACTGCACAAGTCATGTTGCAGGCCTTCTTCTTCAAAAATTGGAATTACATGATCATTGGTATTAGCACATACTCTACATAAATTGGACCAAGACACTTGCTCATTGTTTTGAGTCACAGCTGATTCTTGAGTAGACACTTCTATCATATTCTGTTGTCCATCCTCCTCATCTGTCGCAACAAAAAATCCTTCTTCCTCACTTTCTAATTCAGCATGAGCATTCTCTGAGACAATGTTCTTTACAGTCTGGATTAAAATTGAATCATCTCCAGATGATTCTAACACAATAGTACTTTCAGACTCCATTCTATCTATAATATTCAATGGAACATTGTTTTTGTTATAATTTCACTAGAGAATATTCTATAGACTTTATTACATTTTTATGAAAGCAGACTTACTACAACAAGTACCACTAACAATCGAAAAACTTTTCTTGGTAAAAATATGTATAAACGAAAAAAGAGTTCGTCACTTTACATCCATACACTTGTCGGAGGAAGAACTCCTAATTATATTTCCTTGTTGTTAGTATTTCATTTCCTAATGAACATTATAAAACACTATACTTTTTAAATACCGATTATTCGATACGATATTTCTCTGGAACACGACACGCCATTTTTGCGCACGTTTCTTCATGAATCATTCTGAATGAGAGGAAACCAACACTTTTGAAATTCCCAACAATTGTCATGAATGTTTACAAATCTTAAATTGCTCGAATATCATCTTCAAGCCGCCCATGTTTATTATATAATCGAAGAAGTAAAAAATTAAGTATCGCTACGTGTTTGCAACGCACGCTCTTCTTTTATGGCAGTTTATGGATGAACCAGGATGAACCAATTTCAGCTGATTCGGTTAAATGTTATTCTTGGTTATTCTTCTTTCACCGCACAGCAGCGCTTTTCAAACGAATCGGAAATTTCCCTAAGGGGGGTCCTAGAACCCCCGGAGCATGCATGAGACCGAAGAATAGTTGGCGCGGAATATTAGTACTTCTTAACAATTTTGATCTTAAAAAATTGCTCCTAATTTGCTCCGTCGGAACTATTGTGTTTAATGAGATATTCACAAATGAAAAAGCAAAAATTTGTCTGCAAAATACATAGTAAATAGTCTTTTTACACAAATGTTATAGTATCAAAAAATAAAAATTAAAAGTAATGTACACTTACTGATGAATCTCTTTCTATAAATATACCAGTAACTATTAAAAACAAAGTCCAGTATCATAATTTAAGAATGGAAAATACCAAGAAAAATTAAATATTTATTATCAAGAAATGAATATATTGATAGGTTTACTAAAAATTTTGCATAAAGCGCGGTTCTATTTATTAGAGCAAGTCTATACAAATTCACGATTCTTTATTATTGATAACAAACGACAGGATTAAATCAACTTTTTACAATCTCTCTTTCTTCTCGCTCACGCACTCATTTTCTCACTCTCTCTCTCTCTCTCATACGTTATTCATATACATAAGTATACGTTGAAAGAATTTCAAAAATTTACTGCCCGAATTAATTGAGATCTCAAAATAATCGAGTATTCGATTCCAGCGATTTTTTAACATGATCTATCAGATCGGTAAAAATTTCTTGAAAGTACCTAGAAGAGGAAGAAAATCTCTTATTGATAACCAGTTTTCTTTTACTAGAGAATATGCGATATATGTTCACTGAACAACAAATACCTTAAATAATAATATGTACATTTAAATCGAATCAACGAGACGTTCGATCGAAACTCAAAATTACATTAACGATCAACCGCGTTTAATATTTATCATTTTGTCAAGTAAATTCCTTTTAGAATTATGTTATGGACCAATCTTGATGACTTTTGCTGTCTGACGGAAAACTTAAAAGGGTTCTTAATTACAGAACATTATACGTTGGCGAAATATAATGTTCGCTTTCCTGTGATACGTTTAAGTTGTAGCTACGTCAAAATTTACACATTCTTTTAAAATGTTATTGTAACAAAATTCTAAATACAAATAGGTAATCCATTTGACTGATTATTTAATTACAAAGTTAAATGATCAGACTTCTGACACTCCCTATTAGTTACTTAATGGCATTGCAATATTTTGTCTGTTTCCTTAAATGTATATTCCTATTTCGCCAATTGATATTTAATAAGGAAAACATATATTTAGTTATAACACATCGTTTAGCCTCATGGTTGGCCAAAAATGAAATAAACCCTCTTGTAAAATGCATTTAAACTGTTTAAAACGAACATTCATCATCTATTTGTTCCTATTTTTAGAACATTTATGGAAATAGAATTTCAAGATCAGAGAAATCAGATAGAGAGATATCGGGAGAACCGGGAGACCGGCTGTAATCTGTCGTATTTTCCCTGAAATCATCGCTGTCGGCTGCGTCCTCATTATCGTCATCGTTGTTTTCGAGATCGTTTCGCTCATTTTCATCGCCATTTTCCTCTGCACTTGCATCTGGATTGTCTGCATCTATTCAGAAACGAATTCGATTTTACGCTTGAGATATATTTACAAATATAAGAAATGCGTTTACAAATTAAAGAAGTAAAAGTTATGCTTCAATCAGTGGCTATTAGTGGCATTATCATCATTCATAATTAGAGTATGTAATTTCTATGACGTAGAGTATTAAATATTTAAGAGAAATTCGAAGTGAGAATTATAAATGACCTGAAAAAAATATAAAAACTAAATTAAGATACAATTTTAGATTATTTTTGCTAGAAATTTATCACTACTTTTCTATTGTAAGTCAAAATTAAATGAATACAATTAAATTGATGATTAAAATTATGTGATTTATCGAGAAGTATAACTTTTTAGATTGAGATGTCTGAACAAATTAAATATCTATAAAAAAGCAATTTTGAAACTGATGTGTTTTCAAGGAAATGTTAAATATATTAAATTATGAAACATGTACCATCGGCGTCATTATCATCAGAGCCAGAATTAGAACCATCATCGTCGCTTGCATCAGGATCTTGAAGAAGCAATTATGAAATTGATATTTCCAAGGAAATATTGAAATACAAAGTGTCTTTGAATTAGTGGTACAACCCAAAAGCAGGGAATTCCACGTCAAAAAATAAGCCGAAAATTTAGAATAACATTTTTCTCACATTTGTCGATACGATTTTTCAATTTCTACCACGCTGTTGTCGATCTAGCTACGTACAGTAATCGAACAGCTAAAACGGAAAATTATTCTTATATTTGAACAATTGCAAAGAAAAATACTCTGGAAAGCGTTTATAAGAGTGTAATCTGCAAAGCAGATTATGGTGCCAGAAGAACGGGAGTAATTTCCAATAATGTTTACATTAATAAAGGAAACATAATTCTTGAGCAAAAAACACTTTTGTTTCATTCTTCATCTTTCAGTAACTGATAATATGAGAAATTCGAACAGCAATACAGATACTTCGCAGTGATATGTGTTGGACCTAGGAAACGAAGCTTCGTGTGAGAAAAATGTTACTCTATATTTTCGACTTATTCTTTCACGTAGAATTATCTGCTTTTGGATTGTACCACCAATTCGGAGAGACCCTGTATATTAAAGTATCAAAAATGTACCATCAGCGTTATTATCATCAGAACCAGAATTTGAACCATCATCGTCGCTTGCATCAAGATCTTCTTCATCGTCATCTTCGTCGGCTTCATCCTCGTCGTCTCTTCTTCGGCCAACATCGTACAACCTAACGCAAGACTCCTGGATACTATCAAATTCACCCTGATTTTCAACGATTGCTATCTGCGTGTCGTATTTATTACAAGCCAGCCCGTAAATTCCTCTTTTGACGTCACAAGTTGCTAAAATTAGAATTATTGTAATTACAACTGTCGCTTTCACGCTAAATTCAATTGTGATTTATTGAAATTTTACGAAAACAAATTACCAATGTTACTGTAGTCCAAAGCATCTAGTGTTTTAAAAGAAGTAACGTAATGTGATTCATCTCGGTTTTCCTGATCCAACGGTACAGCATATATAATATTATTAACAGGCGAAAATATAACTTCCATTTGATCGAGCGTTGGCACGGTTTTTAACAAATGGAAAGTTCTTAAATCCCATACTTCTGTGTTTGATACCACCTCTGTGCCTGTTGAATCGAGATTAATATTAATATTACTCGATTTTAAACTTTCTGTGTTATTAATTGTATCAGAACATCGATTGGTATAAATACCATTTGGATGGAAAACTCCATTAAGTGTTTGATTTAATTTATCGAACTTGTGAACTTTTCTTGCGGTATTTACATCCCACAGAATCCCGTCACTCAGGACCAGTTCGTCGTTCATGCTGAATGTAGCACGATTTTTAGTGTACTGATTAGAAATCGTAGGTGAGAGGGTGAGTTCTAATTCTCCTGTGGCTATATCATAAATCTGCAATCAAGTATTACAGACATTTATTCCTTACTTTATTAAAAAATTCCATAATAGCAATTTGTCTCTCATAAAATTCTTTATAAATATTCGTATCCCTAACTTTTTATAAGAATATTAAGTGAAGAATATTCATACCGTAGCACTTTCCCCTTGAGTTCCAATAATTTTATCCTGAAGTTTACTAAACTCAACGTAATCTTCATTTTCCAACGACAATTTCATATCAAAGAATGTTCCTATACTCCAAAGTGCAGACATGGGACTTCGCCATACAGTAGAGCATAACAATAAATTTCCACGTTGGTTACATTCCATATGATAAACATAAGACTCGTGACATGGATAGGTTGCTTCCTCCAATCCTGTGTGTGCATTTACCATTTTCACATCCCCCGCGTAAGTACCTAGCATCAGATAATCCTGAGAAGGCTGCGTGAAAATATTCCAAATTAACTTCATTATACTACTCCAGTTCATGAGAGAAATTTCATGGGTCTGAACTTTCTTTCCTTTGAACAATAATAAATTACGGTACCAAGAAGATGCAACAGGTGAAACTGCCAACATCCGTAGGCCGGAAAGTTTTTACAGGACAAAACCGACTATAAATATGTCTTCTATCCAATATACTACCGCCTATGCCTAATGCTCTTCGCGCTAATCTTACAGTTGCATTTGTCGATGTCGAAGTCTTTGTACGAGGATCTGGACATTTATGTGGTCTGTAACGTTATTTTTTTTTTGTTTTCAAATAAAATATAATGAATACGAATGGCATGAAATTCAAAAGAAAAATTGTCTTATCATTCGACTTTGATGAAACTTACTCGAAGAGATCAAATTGCGGACATGTGACCATAGGATTTTTACAGAGTGCGTGTTGATTAGTTAAATACGCTGTAATAATAGAGTCCAATGTTATAGTGGACGGATTAATAGCAGCTACTCCGGTCGTTGCGACGCTTCCGGGATCTCGTGAAATTTGTTTCTGTAACGATCTACACATAGTCGTCTGACCAATCGACTGACAATTCATAGAATTGACTAGAGGCTGTTTGTCAGCTTGATTTTTCCTGAAAATCATTCGTAGCGTCGTTTAACGTGTTACCCTTTGATATTTAACCCCATTTGCATCATTCGAAAAAAAAAGAAAATTGGCCCATATCACAAAAATTTTTTTTTATAAAGATAGAAATGTTGCAAAATGCATAAAAAGGGGGGAAACCGCATATCTGCGTTTCGGTGATAATGGCCAGGAACATTCCGCGCATATATGAACTTATGGTGCAAATGGGTTAAATGATTCGTCGAACGAAAAATGAAGAAAGATTTACACTCACTTTGTATTAATTTGTAGTTTAAGAGGTTGATTTGTGCTAGGTGGAACGATATTTTGATTAAGACAATCGGAAAGTTTCAAGCGCACACTGTTTCCGCCTGACAGGGACGATGTGCCTGAACTGTGTGCATTCGAGTGAGATATATACCTAGACGATGACGTGGGCGTGGTGTTACTCCGAGAAGACACTTCTCTTTGGTTACCTCTACTCGTATTGTATAAATTAACAGGTGCTCCCGGAGAAAAACCACTTCTCGTCTGAAAAACGTAATCAACCGAAATTACAGTTTACATATGTTTGATTAATTCACAATCATTCGATCGCTAGAACTTACTCCACTGATCGCTGGGCTGCGGTAAGTAAAATGATGATATGTGGTCACAGGTTTCATTATTGCAGAAGAAACCAGGCTTGCTTCTTTTTGCAAAGTTGATGCAGTTTCTGTTAAACCTTTTGACATTAAGTGTTGGTAGATTAATTGATTCAACTGCTGTTCGTTGTATTGTATTCTTGTCTGTGCTACCACGTTTGCCTGTAGAACATAATAAAATTCGAGAAAATTGTATCAATAGAAATTAATGTTATTATGTATATTTATGTAAAACATCGTTATTCGATATTGTAGTTGATACTGTATTCAACAAATACAATACACTGGACACACTTGTTAAAAATGACTTACCCTGTGTAGGCTGGCTAAAGAAATTTCATATTCTGCTCCAGTAGGTTTAGCTTTTCCTGAAACTCTTTCCATCAACTCTAAAGCATACTTCTGAAACATGACGTGTTCCTGTCTCTTCTCTTGTAGTATAGGGTCTTTCATGAGAGCTTGAATTTGTCCATCGGTGAACATCGGCAGCTTGCTAATGATTTGTCTAACTTTCTCGCTACGTGCCAAACCCGCTAAGGCACGACAGGCTAACGCCCTTATACTATCCGCATCTGTGATCGGTGTTTTCACCATCATTAATTGTAATAAAACCTGTAAGACGAATGAAGATTATTAAATCAAATATTTGATAACATATTTGATAACATATAATTATATAACACACACCATTATGCCGTTATTGGATCTTACGCTCTCCCAGACTTTGCGAATCAATTCTTCGCTGTTATAAATATCTATTGTCTTCTTATTAGAGACAGACGCCGATTGCCATGGGTAAGTACCACCGATCTAGAACGAAGAAAGTAAAATAAATATATAAATTATCGATAAGTTTCGAAGTGAGATTTATCGAGAAACGTGTAAGTTTCAAAATTAAGTTTAACCGTTTTACCCTGTGTATTGGAGCACAAACACAATTGATTACAACTCTCAACGCAGCTCTCTGCACGTCAGCATCCGCGATGATTTCACACTCCGCCGCAGCCAGAATTAAATTAATCGCCATTGTCATCGACATGTCTGGCATGTCCACTCTTTGGCAGAGCTGGATCGTCACTTTCGGCACCAGGCAACAAATAGCTATTACATCTAGACAGGAACGAACTGTCTCCGCGCTAGACGTTGTATGAACACGACCGCTGTAATTCCATTCCCTGGCAAAAGCAATGATCTGAAGTAAAAGCGGTATGCCCCCAAGACGATGCAGTTCTTCTACCGGTAGCCATATTGCCAGTACATTAAATAATTTATGAAGTACTTCCACCTGTAATAACGAAACTAATGTTACTTTTCTTGGTTCAGTTGTAAGTTAATTATTCTGTCGGTGGCAGACGAAAACTTTCCGTTTAGGCTATCGACAATTTTCGCTGTCGACACAACGCACCGTAATATCGATTGATTCTATTTATTTAATATAAATATTCGTCTTTACATTTAAAAACAAAAAATGGAAATTTTTTTTAATAGCATTACCTTTTCCTGCACTTCCTCGCTGCTCAATTTGCAAGCTTTATAAGGAGGTAGAAACGGTTTTAATGCCGCAGTTTCCGCTACAATATTTTGTGCTTTCCGTAACCTATGTGCTCTGTCTAATAGTTCTGCCTCTACATATAAATGGGCTTCCATATATCGCTTTAAGGCTACAGCGACGTGCCTAACTATCTGTCTAGAAGCACATTCTTCATCGTCGTTCAATGTTGGTTCCTCTTCAAGGTTCAGGATCGGTAATGTGGATATCTTGAGATATAATCGATTAGTTACTTTTGGGACGATTGTACGTGGTCACTATTGTATACAAAACGAAAGCCATAATACAAAAAGACATTTACCACGTTGAAAAGTTTTCGTAATCCATCCTGCGCATCAAATTCTACTAGTATTGCTTTAAATGGAAAGGAGAATCCAAAGAACATTGTTGCGTGACACCTCCCCGAATCATGACTTCGTTCCAGCAGCCACAATGCGTAGGTAACAAGATTCGATATAACACGTTTCGGCAACATACACACCCGTTCCATTGCATCTTCGCAATAGGCTAGGTAATATAAACATATAGAAACACCAGTAGCAGCAACACTGGGCCTTGGAACGTCCAGTAATTTTTGCAAGCCTCCAACATTTAGGAATTCAATGGAGAATTTTTTATGACAAAGAAGAGAAGCCAAATATTTTAAAGCTTCAAAGGCCAGACGACTATCCTTGGTTTCTCTAACATTAATATACTTCAGAATTAGTTTCAGAGCATCTTGTTCGAAAACATGACCTAAGAATTCTTGATATTCACCCATTGGTGTAAGATACCTGTCGTATAATGAAATGAATTCCTTTAATTAGCATAGTGCTAATACTAAAAGCATCAGTGGTAATAATAAAATTACGCAGGTAAATAACGTCGTATCAAATAATCTACTGTATTAGCATATTATCTTTTACACCTAATAATGTCAATATTTACCTAAGTATCAACATTTGCCTCGTAGACAAGGTCGGAGGATGTATTTGCATGTTTCCAATGACATACGACTCCATTTCTGCCCACGAAGAATTAGAATTTCCTTCCAGCAACGTAGACGGGGTACTAGAACTTTGCGACAAAGATGCAGAGCTCTTGGACAGATTGCATCGCGCTGAAGAAGCATTCTGTGGTCTGCCATGAGTACTTTGCGCCTTGGAGGGTGTCATATGATTATTGGAATTGAAGTTCTTTGGCACTGACAAAGGCGGGGACATTATTTCCGGATACAAGACGTCATTCTTTACAGGAGTTTCACATTCTGTATCGTTCTTCTTCTTTTTAGGTAATGGGGCAGAATCATCGGGTGATTGAAGGTAATCGTCTTCTTCCTCCGAGAAACATTCGTTATGGTTAGGGCTCTTAAGAACTCCATTCTCTTTTCTTTTTTCCCGTACCTTTAAATAGAAAATAAAAATATGTAAAACTGAGATACAATTGATACTTAAATACGCTTAATTCTGTTAGAACACAGACTTTTTTACAAGATTCGGAATTAATATGGTGTAGGAGAAAATTATGTTCTCTTTTTGCACGAAATCGTTTGATCTTTTAAGAACCTGATTTGACTTTTCAAAAACCTTCTCTTAATTGCAATTCCAAGTGAAAATATTCCTACTTATGTTTTTAAGAAATTGCTTTCAATTAAAAATTCTTAAATAGTTTATCGCATTATTTTTACTGGTTTTGTGGTTTGGAGACAATTCCCCATTTTTTTTCATATTGTTTTGCATGTTTTTTACACGAATTTTTCGGGAACGTATCTATCGCGTAGAAACAGAACCAAGGGTACAAAACAATTGAGATCTGCGAATGCTAGAATGTCTTTTTTAAAAATTCTTTTAAAGAATCACTCTCATAGCGACACATTAAACTACTCTTACTTTTCTTTTTCCAGGTACACCTTTGTTTTCTCCATCTCCTCCACTATTCCTATCTTGGCCGAAATGTGCAAACGGTCTATTATTAGCTGCGAGTTGTCTATCTTCATGTGCCTTCTCTTGTAATTTATGAAGCCTCTGTAACATCAGAGGCACCATTTTTCCATTTTGTTCTCTGAAACCTACAACAAGATTGTTAATATTTATTTTCCTATTAACATGTAACCATTTCCATTGCTGTGTACTTTAACAATTTTCTTTCAGAAAATCTTCAAGAAATTTAAACAAGTACCTGTAGCAATCTCTTGCACCTCCATAGCTGCAGCTACAAGACCAGTTGCATAACTTTGCAAAGGTTCTACACTCCTCTCCGCCCATGAAAAAAGACGATGAATAAGTCCTTCCATGTCTGGTTGAAATACTGCTGATGTTTCTAAGCCAGGAAGAATATCAAGCATAAGACGACATGCTGCAATATTCAATTTCCCAACGTCACGACCTGTGATTCCTGCACGAGACCAGTAGGTGTCTCTCAAATAATCATTTATAAGCTGTGAAATACAATATTAGAAGATAAACTCAAGTGTTATAATAATATAAAGCAAATCGAATCAAAAGTAAAAAAATTTCACTTAATATTGTATATTAATTTACCTTGGTCATAAAATTATCTTTTCTAAACAAAACTTTCAATATATGCCCGAAATTACAGTCTGGATCAGTACGTGATGGATGTCTTTCATCAAATGGATCTGGATCCATTTTCAAATAATTCTCTGTCTCTAATTCTATAATTTCTGCCAGTCTTTGAAGCGTTGGAATAGGGTCGTATGTAGATGAGAGATGCTCTTCTTCCCATTGTCTGAGAATTTGAACTACATCTGTTACTTCTGCTAAAGACTCTGCGCTTGACATCTTTCTTCCTATTGTCCTACACATATGAATTTAATCCATTATACTTAATATGTACAGATATTCACCGTTACAATTCAAATAATTAGAGTTAAAATGTTGCTCTTATCGTCTTAAATTATTTATTTCATAATTATTATGTATTTAAAATCTATGAAATTATTTTAACAAAATTTTTAACACTTTCATAATATTAAACGATAACATATCTTTCTTTGGATATCTAATAACAAAATTCTTTTAGTCATAAAATCTTTCAATTAAATGTACACTTATGACAATCAAATGAAAGTATTGATAATATTATAATAAACATGAAAAAATCTTTAAATTACAATGCATAGTTTATGTAATTCTTTGTTGTTATTTATACACTGAGGAAGTTGTTGCATTAAACTTTAAGAAATATGGAATTTTAATGACTGTTGTAAGACAAAACAATACATTATAATGTAGCTTATCCATTCCAACAATCAGTTGTCAATCATTTTAATTATGAATATAATTCTATTGTGAACTGATATTTTCAAAAACAAACTCTAATGATATTAAAAGGAAGGCAGAAGATTATGATCAAAATAATTATACATTGCACAACAGGATTTTACGAAGCAATTACATCCGGAAATTTTCGCATGATGTGTCGCAAAAAATGGATAGAATGCGCGTAATTCTTGACGATTGAGTCAACTATTGTTCTAACTGAATTTAATATTTATTCGTGATCACAACATTATTAAATAATTGCTCATTAAATCTAATATCAACTAATAACTTAACCTTAAAACTTAATGTACAATAAACAAAGATCAATCTTTCGGAAAAAATATGTAAGCAATCGATAAAAGATATCAATTATCGAAAACAATTGAAGTAATTGCGAGGAAAAAAAGGAGTAAACGTTGTACCGAAGAAGACAGTCTGTTTGTGCTTCGACGGTATCAGACGACGAGAGGTAGCGCGTGTCCTTTTAGGTTAGAGTCAACGAAACGTTACATACATACTTGAAATTTCTTTGACAGTTAACCCATCTGACAGTTATTACAGTCTAACTTACCTTTTCGAGCTAGTAAGATGGTATTAATTCGTGAAAATACTCGCAATTCCAATCAAGAACACTGTTTTCTTATAAAAGTACGAAATGCAACCACCGACACGCACGCTGAAGACGAGCTAGTTAAATTCAAGTTTAGAACCGAAATGAAATGTCACAATAAAGTGGGATTTTTTTATTGTACACCCCCGAGCAAACTCGGCTTCCACTAGGGAAAAAAGTAACGAATTAAGGAAAAGGCCTCTTACCACTTGGTATTTGGAATTATAGAAATTTTTGTCAAATTAACATTCGATTTAACATTTATTTCAGTACCTGGAATAAATTCACAAAGTGGTAGGAGACTTTTCTTCTATGACGCTTTTTCCCCTAGTGGAAGCCGAGTTTGCTCGTGGGCAGAGGTGGGTACGTATTTTACACCATATACGTTTATATGTATGATAATATGTCGTTTCTGAGTCCATTTTATACGTGTATTTGGCGCAGAGTTATTATTTCAATGTTTAAACAATTAAAGTAGAAAAACTTCAAAAATTGTAAAAACAATAAATATCTCCTTTTTGTATATAATGTTAAAAATGTAATATTGTAGGTGTAATAGTAAACACGAAATATAACCTCAAATTAATTTTTATTATACAGATATATAAATTCTTTGTTATTGTCAAAAAATAGGTGGTAGAAAAGAACGTAATCAATATGAACCTTTGGGGTCAGTAGGAGAAAGAATGAAAAAGGCGAAAATGTAGCATTTTGCAGTGTGCAACTGTGATATTGGAAATACAGCTGTGAAGAGATTAGATCCGCATAAATGAGTCTGCAATAAAAAAAATGAAAATTTTTCAATCAAGTAAATAAATATGTATATGATAAGATTAATATCAATAAATGTAAAGCTATCAGTAGTAATGAAATTAATTATTTTACAACTTTACTCAGAACCTCTCCAGCTTCTCTTATTGTACTAAAGTACAAAGAGTCTAGAAAATGTCTTTGGCCACTTGTACGCGCGGGTACACGACGTGTACAGCGTGTACTACACGTAAGTTTCGTTGATTCAACGCGCGAGTACCTTTTCAAAACAATTTCACGGAATATACCAGAATATACTACGCCTACAACCAGTGATGGGTATATCCCCATGAAAGAAAGTTATTTACGTTTAGTGATGGGCACCATCGACTAATGACTATTTAGTCACAACATACTATCGACTAAATAGTCGATAGTTTTTAGTCGACTGAAATTTTGCTTCATAGGTTATATATAGATCATGTCGTCAACTTTTCAGCATCATTGGTGTATTTACCTTTTAGAAATGTATTAGTTCATAGATAGAATTTCAAAAATATAAGTGGTAAACAAGTTTTTTTAAACAATTACTAATATTCGATTTTTTGTAAGCTATTTAATATTGGCACTAAAAAATTAACTGCTGTAAATTTTCTATGTAAATCAATTAGGTTATAAGCAATAATTTGCACAGTTCTTGGTAATGCATAAAAATATATATCAAAAAATTTCAATTGGTTTGCATCACGAAGAAAATAATCAAGATCCAGTCAATAGAATTAGATAGATATAGATTAGTCGCCTGAAAGTAATCGCTCCAAGCGACTAATATTACTCGCCTGAAAGTAGTCGACGATTGAAAAAATTAGTCAACTGAAAATAGTCGTTGGTTACTATCGACTTAGTCGATAGTTATTAGTCGATGGTGCCCATCACTATTTACGTTACATGTAAATTACATAAGTAACGTAATTTTAACATAAACAAAGTCATAAAATAAATTTATTTTATCTTAATCTAAATAAAGTATTATAACATAAAAAAATAAATATAAAAAGAATTATTTAAAGTGAAATTGTGGGTGGTTTTTTTTACCCTTGATTGGTTTTAAGTTGTTTTCTGTATCCTCATTAGAAAGAGAGCAGCTGTTCCAGATATTTCTCTCTTTCTCTCTCCCTCTCTCTTGTGTTTACTTCAGCCCTATCATAAAACCGCGATGTCTATTATATATAATATATGCTATGGAAATACTGTATACCAATTCCATTTCAGATGTGTGGACCTGAAATAAACCATTTTTGCCTATTAATTGAAGAAACAGCTAACAACAATTATTATTCAATACCGAACATACATTATATGTATACTACTGAATATCAGAGCATTACAACATAAGGGCTTGAGTTGGAACCGGATTATAGTTGTCCAATAAGATTGGTAAGTGCGGTGGACAACTATTTTAAATGACAATGTACGAAAATTGTTTTAAACCATTTCAGAAAATATGTCCTCGTATTTATTTAAAAAATTACAATTAAATGATTTATACCTGTATGTATAGTAAATTTTTAAATAATGTATTTTTTACTACTGTATAATCTTCTTTACTACTGTATATGATATGTACATATATTTTGTAATCGTTATATAAATACTTTTATTTAATTTTACGAAATGATTGTGTAAGGTAAATTTTCATACACTTTCAGAACACGCGGTCTTCTCTCCCCCAAATACATACAATAAAGATCAGTTTTACGAACGCGCTGTTCGTGTCATATGATCGTCATTAAACGGAGACACTTTCGTCAGTAGGCGTTGACTCCTTGAAAAATTTGATTCGGGAGTGCAGAATCCGAATATAATTACGAAAGTCTTGATTGTAAAGAAAGCAGGAAATACTAAAACTTCAAAATGGCACTAAGCGACGCGGATGTACAGAAACAGGTACAAAACCAATAAAATCGATTCGCTCGCAGAAATCCCATTGAGCATTGATTTTAAGCTATTTTTGCATTTTCTTCTATATATTGTTGCTTTACTGGAGCACTCGTTTTTACCATTTTCTTTTGTCAAAACTACTGTTTCTCATTTTTAATGAAGAACAATTAAGAATCTCAGTTTCTTTCTGAGAAGAACATTGAAGTATTTTTAATTCAACTTTACATTTAAACGTCTAGATTCCGGATTATATTAATAACATATTACGTTTTAAACGAAAAATGATTTATTAAATGTTTTTTAAGAATTAGGTATTTTTAACGTTGTTTTGTCTTAAAAGATAATATTCATATTTGCGACTTAAGAATTTTTAAATAGCTTATAATTAAGTATAATCATAATGTTTTTATAATATATCAACTGGTAATTATATTCAACGTAATTGTTCATAATTCAACTATTAATTTGCTGAAGAAAGTTTTAGTTGTAATTTTTTCTTATTAAAATTTTGTTTAATTAATAAAGATTAATTATGATTCTAATTTTTACAACCTACATTTCTTAGATCAAACATATGATGGCCTTCATTGAACAAGAGGCCAATGAAAAAGCAGAAGAGATCGATGCAAAAGCAGAAGAAGAATTCAATATTGAAAAAGGCCGTTTGGTTCAGCAACAGAGACTAAAGATCATGGAATACTATGAGAAGAAAGAAAAGCAAGTTGAGCTACAAAAGAAGATGTATGTATAACATAAACAATAGCTTTGAATACTTCAAAAATTTATACATATTTTGATGTCTACAATATGTCTTCCATTCTTAATGAAAATTTTCTTATGCAGTCAATCATCGAATATGCTAAACCAGGCTCGCCTAAAAGTCCTGAAAGTCAGAGAAGATCATGTACGAAATGTACTTGATGACGCTAGGAAGAAATTAGGAGAAATAACTAAAGATCCTGCCCATTATAGAGAAATTTTGAAGTTATTAATTATACAAGGCCTATATCATGTAAATATTTGCACAAATTTTCAGTTAATTACTTGTTATCTAACTTGGGATAGATATATGTATATAAATATTTTTGATTTTTAGCTGACAGAAAGTCATGTTACCGTTCGTGTGCGTCAAGTAGATATTTCGGTCGTAGAATCGCTTATTGATACTGTCCAAGATACTTACAAGCAGAAATCAGGAAAAGATGTAATAATTAAAATTGATCAAGATAATTTTCTCGCACCTGACAGTTGTGGTGGTGTTGATTTATATGCGGCGAGAGGTATTTTCTGAATAAACTTGTTTTATTTCTTTCTTACATTTACTCGTAACTTTCTAAAAACGTGATTGATCAAAATTAATATTTTTCAGGACGTATAAAAGTGAGCAATTCTCTGGAATCACGATTAGAATTAATAGCACAGCAACTGGTACCGGAAATACGCGGTGCTCTCTTTGGAAGCAACCCCAATCGCAAGTTCACCGATTAAACAAAATGCCTTCCTCATTTTCTCTTTTCTCTTCTTTTCATTCTGTTTTCCTTCCTAACAAAAACATTCCCTTCTTTAGAATGCTAAAATGACTACAGAATTCGTTGTGTAGAATGTAGAGTTTGTTGTTGACATTGTTGAAAAAAGAGAGAAAGTGAAATTGTAAATTATATAAAAATATTTGCGCGTGCGAGCGCGCGCAGGCACATATATATCTATATAAATATAATATACATATACCTATAAAGTATTTTAATGTGAACGAACTTGTAAATTTTTTAAGATATTCCTTTAAAAGAAATTTCCTTCGCGACAATTAACTTTATTTTTATAATTTAGAAACGTTACAATTGTTAACTGTTGTGGTGAGTATAATTGCTTGCAGAAATATTTAAACCTTGTAAAAATATATATAAACACCGAATTGTTATTTTATGTTTTATTTCTTTTAACAAATCTCTTCCATAATTTAAAAACTCAATTTTTATAAGCAACTATAAATTATTCAAAGAGCTTCAATTTTTTTTTGAAAAAGAAGAACAAAAATATTTATTCAAATATTTATTAGAAACAAAAATTAGGTTTAACATAGCAAATTGTATACAAATTTAACAGTACAATACATAAACTATTACACTATTGTTATTAAAATTATCTATCACGAGATACAGCATAAATATACGAGTACTGCATGTAACATTAAACGTCTCGTTTACTACACCCTCAAAAAACCGGTCACTCGTGTTTATTTAAAATATGTATAAGCATACAATTTCAGTCATTTGAAAAGTCAGGTTAATTGTTCCTTTTGTGATTATTTAAAAATTTTAATTTCGTTCATAATGATTAATTGCTTCTGGTAGATATTTCCCCCTTTCTCTTCTTAAAATGAGTTATATTTGAAGATAATTCTTGTATTTTTTACAGTAATTAACGAATATGCAAAAGATAGCGACATATATAAAAATTAAAGCAATTAGGAATTTTATATATTATAATCTTTACCAATTACGGTATGTTTCGTATTTTCATATGCACATGACAGTTTTTGAAAAATTGATAAATAAGGTATCAGCTTTTTAAAATAGATCGTAAATGTCTACACATCGTGTGTAACATTTTCAGTCATTTTTAAACTTCCATCGTTTTCTTTAGTATTCTTCCAGTGGTTTTCCATAGTGGAAGGCTTCTCTTGAGCTAGAGAATTTATTTCGTTTTCCTTCCGTTTTCTCAACTGTCCTATAACTTTAATATAATTGTAGGGAATAAAGCCAACATTTACATTGTCAGTGGCTTTACACCATCCTGGCAGGTGTTTTGGTTGCAGAGCTTGAGGTGCAAGATAAAGTTTCTGACCAGCTCCTACGCTTAATTCTTCGTTGTTCGAGGCATTAAAATCATACAGCACTGTTGCAACAAATACTGGTTGATCGTACTGATACCAATCCTTCGGATCCTTTCCTGAAATATGCACATAGTTGCTTAGTAAACTAACTTAATATTGTATACGTCAACTTAGCATTTTAATGGTTAAATAATAAGAAAAAATCATTTTCATTGTAATACCTTTTACTTGAGCGTTTCTTATGTTATCTGTGATTTTATGAATCATGTAAGGTACCACAAAAAATACACTAAACAGTAAAAATCCTGACCAAAAGGAAGAATTGTTAATATTTTCATTTCCAATTTTTGCTAAGGATTTTTCCCATAATTCTTCATTCGTGGTACGTTCATGCGGAAAACCTAATAGGAAGAGTTCAGAATACATAATGAACTAATATATTGAAACATTTTAAATTTATGTAATTAACTTCCACTGATCTTACCAGCTGTGCGCATGATTTTCCTATACAACCATTTTAAAAATCTAATCAGAGCAAAAGTACTGAACAACTGTCCTACAGTTGAACGCAATTTACCAACATTTTCTGCAACAGTTAAAATTGCCTTAAATGAATTTGTTAAAGTGAAATATGTTGATTCCAGGAGCATTGTCATAGAGGAAAATGTTTGTAGGACTGTTTCAATCAACTGAAATGTAGGCCTAGTACTTTCTTCAACGTACTGAAAAAACCTGCAAAAAAAATATTAAATATGAAAATGTATATAATGTTATTCTTATGTATGATAAATATATTTCTTATGTTATGAATATTTGAAAGTAGGTCTAATATTAGAAAAACATTTTTATAGTCCATAAATTTTGATGATGATCCAAGTGACAGACATAATTTAAATAATTGAATATATCTAGTATTTCAATCTCAACAAAAACTAAACATTGTTAACTACCTATTACATTACATTTAAAGTAACATGTAGAGAAAACACCGAAAAAATAATATTTTAACTTAATGTTAGTAATTTACATAAATATCTATATTCTAGAAATACTTTACCTATTTTCAACATCACCACTGTGCCCACCAAATGTACCATAATTATTATAAGTAGAATATGGAGCATAGCCGTAAGAACTATATCCTCCATAACCATTTAATCCTCTATATTGATTACCCAACCCATATCCGAATCCACCATACGAATTAGACCCAAATGGCCTATAATCATTGAATCCAGAATAACTTTGAACCGGTTGACGTGGTGGTATCGGAGGTGGAATTCCCGATTGTATATTTGTAGAAGGAAATGGAGCTGATGTACTTGGTGAACTAAAAATCATTTTATTATTATTAATGAACTGTAGATTTTATACGTTTATAATACATCTGAATATACAAAACTTAAATAAGAGACTTTAAAGATTTTTAATAAAATCTTTAGTCTATTTTCAACGTAATAGCTGCTGATGAAGAAAATCATCATCATAGTAGAATGTATCATTTTTTAACAAAAAATATCACCTTTGTCATTGTACATTCCCGTTATCATTCTAATCATATTAAATCATGTTTTGTTAATTAATTACAGGAAAAGGTAGTAGGTACCTGGTTATACTTTGAGGGACATTTCTTAATTGATTTACAGGAACGCTGTTCGATCTTTCAGGCGCCATGATTCACGGTAACTTCTATGTCGTTCCTTTAATCAAATCTCCTGTACAAAGTTCATAACCCCTCTACAGTAGCGGAAGAAGCTTCGTCCGCATTTCGTGCAAACTGTAAATACATACGCAACTTTTGACAACTGTGAACATCATTGTTCATTGTGAATGATTGTAAAATCGAAACAGGTTGGCAAACTTAAAGATATTTTCCCGTCTCACTAAACAAACAAATGAGATTCCATTTAACCGTCAAACAAAAGCATATACATAAATGAACTATAGTTGTTCACTTTTGCGGTTAGAGCAGGTGAGAATTTTTCTTTCCAGGAGACGTTACGTGACATTAAAAAAGACACCATTCCAATTGTTCACATAAGTAACAATTTGTTCCACTCACAGAATCTGAACAATTTTGGGAATTCTATAACGATATTTTAATTAGAATCATAAATAAATTTAAAACTATTTCCTTTCATACACATCGTCTGTCGCGTTTAAGGCTGCCATCCGGCCGGGGTTTCCCTGGATTTGTCCTCTTTTTTTTTTTTGGGGCGTCCGGGGGGTTTTCTGTAATGATCCAGGTTTTTCGATCAGTTAACTTTGCGTATTTTATAAGTTATTTTAAATCACAAATAAATTCCCACTTTATACAACTATATTTTATCTTTATTTCTTTATTGCGGTTATTGTCTATAATTTACAGAAACTTTTGCTTGGGATATCGTACTTAATATAAGAAATAGTTGGTAGTGCCGGTTTCAAGTGTAAATGTCCGGGGTTTTGATGCTGTCTATCCTAGATTAATAATTTTACGGATGGTAGCCCTACTAGGCCTACCTACCCTCCTAGATGCCAGAATCGTGGGTCGCTTTCCCCCACTCTTTTCTAAATATAGCTCACCGTCTCTCGAACGGCCTGCGCACATGGCACTGTGCCATGATGGCAGGGCTGGGATATACTTGTGTGTGTGTGCCAGCACGGTGGACGTAAAGTGGGGGTAGTCAGGACGTCAGCACACGAAATGATTTCTGCGCACGCGCTCTGGTTGTTGGGAGTCGCGTTGGTAACATAGATCTTACGGAAACACCCGAACGGGCCAGCCACACGGATAGAAGCAAAGTATGCTTGTGTGGCAGAAACTGTGGAATAAAGTGGGGGTAGCCAGGACGTCGTGGTGGTGGAACCAAGTTCCACGATTCTGGCATCACTGCAGCCCTAGTCGCGTTACCATGCAAATGATTCTTTCCACTGCTTTCCACATAAAGTTCTCATTCGGCTGCACACCATAAATTAATTTACTTATTACAAGTCAGTCACGCCGTTAATAACTGTTATATATACGTATATGCACATACATACATCATACACATATATTAGGTACATTTGATTTTACTGACTGAACTTAAGCTTTTTAGAACAAGCTGTTCGCCACGGTGGGATATCGGTATTAAGATTTTTCTATCTATTAAGTCTTAATATAATGCCGAATTTTTTTCAATTGGTCGAAGATAATATACTTTACGAGATTTTGGCATTAATATGGCTGCTCTTTTTGTGGAAGTTGTATTTGAACATTCGCCAGGTAAATTACTAACCAAAATTTACTCGTTTAATCGTTTTACAAATTTATAGCATTGTATATAATTGTTTCTGTTACATTATATATTTTCAGCGGGCTTTGATGAATCGTTTGGTAGAATTGCCCACCTCCGTTGAAGGTTTTATGACAAAAGATGTTTATGACAAGGCACGCAGTTACGATTTAGATAAACTAAACTTTAGCACGTTTAAGAATATTTACTCTGAACTTCTTGCTACGGTATATACTTTTAATTTACTATCACAGTGTGTACAATTTCCTATAAATAGTCTATGTAATTGTCTATGAAATATGCAGTTTACTTATAAGTAAAGTTTGTAATTTAAAAATTGCAATATGATATGAAACAGTTGAATTTACTTTGGAGTATTTTAAATATTCAAAAATTTACAGGGAGTTTTGTTAGCTTTATGTTATTCTCATTTCTGGCAATGGAGTATTTATTTAGGAAAATACTTTGGTCTTACTCATGAAAATGAGATTCTGTTGAGTGGTATCTATATACTCATTACAAATGTGATACACGATGTTGTTGGTTTACCATTAACAATTTATAACACATTCGTTATAGAAGAAAAACATGGGTTTAATAAAGAGGTAAAGTAATTTACTATAATTTATTTATAAATTGTTTATTATACATCTTTTCATGAAATGTATTATTTTCAGACACCATTGTTCTTTATTAAGGACCAACTTCTCAAGTTTTTAGTTGCACAAATTATTGTTTTACCCCTTGGTTTTGGTATTATATGGATTATAGAAAATGGAGGAGATTATTTCTTCCTTTACCTTTGGGTCTTCTTAGTTGTTGTTACTGTTTTCATGATGATTCTTTACCCAGAAGTGATTGCACCACTCTTTGATAAATACATACCACTACCGGATGGAGACTTAAAGACAAAGATCGAAGCACTAGCAGCTTCGGTTGATTTTCCACTCTACAAATTATTTATTGTTGAAGGATCAAAGAGATCTTCGCATAGCAATGCATACTTATACGGATTCCACAAACATAAGAGGATTGTACTATTTGATACTTTAGTGAAAGAATATTATAAACCTGCAGAAGGTGAGACAGAAGCAAAAGGATGTGAAACAGACGAAGTATTAGCAGTATTAGCACATGAACTAGGACATTGGAAATATAATCATACACTGAAAGGATTTATGTTTGGTCAGGTAAAGTTTGTAATTACATAATCTACTAATTTCCTTATTTTACTTTACTTTGTAATTTTATAGGTGAGCTTTTTGGCGAATGTCCTTCTATACGCAAAACTTCTTAATTATAAGCCAATGTATCTTGCCTTTGGCTTTACTGACGCGCAACCTACAATTATAGGACTTACCATTGTAACAATGTATATTTTAATACCAATCACAACAGTAAGTGCAACATTAATCCTTTTGCGCATATAAAATCGTTTCAGTTGTTTACTTTAACAAGAAGTTGTATTTTGAATATTCTCTTGTACAGTGCTATTTCTAATAATTTTTTTTTCAGTTAATGCAGTTTTTCTCAGTGGTAATAGGAAGAAGATTTGAATTTGAAGCAGACAGATTTGCAAAGATTTTGGGACACGGAGAAGAGTTAAAGAGAGCACTGATTAAATTACAGAAAGATAATCTTGGTTACCCTCTTTATGATAGATTATATTCCAGCTGGCACCATTCCCACCCTCCATTATTGGAAAGACTCGAAGCTATTGACAAAGACAAGTAACTGTAAAATTAATTTAAAAAATATGTTAATTATGTTGTAAGAATGAACAACATAATGGTATGATTAGTTTAAAACGTAATCATGATACTTACTTACTTTGGTTTATCAACAAAAGATTATGTTTCGAAGTATGTGAAACTACTACAGAAAGAAAGTTGAATCGGTAAATGTTAAATTAACTTGTAGAGGTTTTTCTTTATTTGAAGTGGAATCATGAAAGTGAAACCATAAAGTCAATTAGATAATGAATGAAAATTCTTTGGAATAATTACTTTAATACGATTAAATTTCTACGTACTCAATTGAAATAGATAATGATCACTAACAAACAGGTTTTAAGCCTTTCCGACCGTAGGATTCCATTTCCATATTATGAACCTGAACATTCACTATGGCATCGTATCATATAGTTTAGTTTCTTTCCGTTAGAGTGATACATTCTCGAAAATAATATTTAGTAACTGTTTAATGAATAATTTCTTTTAGCTTTCCTTTCTTTCTGACATCCAAGAAATAACTATATGCAAAGAATATTTCTTGTTTGAAAGAAATAATTCAGGTCGGGAAGGGTTAAATTTTACAATCTAGATGTCTTGTAGAATTTAGGTACTATTAGGTACGTATTTATAATAATGTGTAGAGACTTGCAGCATTTTTCGTAGGTATTAACAGTACAGAAATTATGTTAATCGTTACAACTTTAAAATAAGTTACGAATTTATTTCGTGATCTCTTGTAAACAAAGATTTTTTCCTTCCATCTTCTACTTTTATACTTCTTAATGATACTGTCTGTAATAAAATATTGTGTCTTACATGTGATGAAAAATTCGTTGTACATATTATCTATAAATTACCTATTCATAAAACCAAATGTATGGATTCAGTGTTAAATATACATATATCATTCAATAATTTTTATTATTTTATTTATAGTATTTAAAAATTTTCTAATTATTGTGTAAAGATAATTTTTACCAATACAATATTTAATTTCATTAAATTTAATATGTAGGATTTTTATTAAGTATTTAATTTTCTAATTCATTCGAAACATAAGGATTGTATAAAATGTTGTGTATATATTTTTCATATCGATGTAACCTTTTATAATAATAGAGTAATACATGTATACATAAATAATGACCAATATGTCAGTCATCTAAAATCTAAACCAACTTTTTGTCACTTTTTGCATTTAATTTTCTAAATGAAAATTACAAAAACTGTTCCATTGATAGAAAAGTAGAATTGTAATGTATGTGACATTTAACTTATTTTTATATGTTGTATAATTTAAAAAAAGTATTAGTTATTTTCACGAAGAAAAATATAAAATATATGTAGCTTTAATGTACATGAAAATACAAAGAAAAATTGCACTTTATATGATTTTCATATTGTAATATTCATATCTCAATTTTATTAAAATGCTCATGTTTACAATAAATACACAGAATTGAGAAAAAATCTCACAATAGATCCATTCGTCGTCCCGAGACGTAACATGCCTGAAACAAATAACAATACATATATTTAGCTTGAGTCACGTATTGTCAAATAATTTAGATAATTTGTTGCAAAACTCAACGAAAAATTCAAGTTGCAAGATGAAATGAAACTTAATAAGAAAAAGAGACTTTACCACCACATTCTGCTTATAAATTCTATTTTCTTTTACAATAACTCGAAATAAGTCATCGACATATTCGTTAACCATTATCAGTGGAAACGTTGGATCGGTTAAAGAGACATTTAAAGTAGTCAACTTGCGACTATTAATTTATTTTTTGTGTATTGAAATTCTTTTTCAAATAAAGAATTTCGTGAATATTGTCTTTCATTCTTAATTCATAACGGAACTCAAAAATTATTACCTATAAATTTACATAAACTGGTGATCATTTTTTAGGTTTTGTAATTGAAACTTGGTAGAAATTCTTTTTACTTATATAATCAATTTAAATACATCGAATCTATTTCATACAGTTATATCATTTTTAACACTAAACCTACCACGACCGGTCAAAATAGCCGGGTTTGGCGTACTAATTCCTACCTCTCTGAAGGGTTCGGTAGGTTTAGTATTAACTAGTTTAATAAGCAAATGAAATTTCCAATTTTAACCAACCTTGGATAAGGTTTCACTTTATCATGATCAAATTTCCGTTAACGCGAATGCGCGTGAAGAGGAAGTTAACATTGCGTTGTACCGTAATTTCTTGTATCGTTTGCTGCAACTTTGTACAAAGGGATATGTGAAACTTTCATTTTTCATTCATAGAACAGCAACAATTGCTTTCATTGGAAATTGTTGGTATCTAATCCACGTTAGATTGCTAACTTTAATACGTCAGTAATAGTGAAGGTGGTAGCTGGCAGTCATAAAAAATATCAGCGATCCATTTAGCTACAGGCAGTGACATTTTCACTTTTTTAATTGTATCTCAAGTATATAGGATTTGTAAAATACTTGAGATGTTCGAATATTAAATACAGATACGCGTGATAATTCTAGATTAACATACATATATAACGGGTGGGCTATATAAAATATTGTAGAATATTCTCTTTAAAATGATCAGAGGTAGTGAGAAATTCTTGTTTTACGCTCATTAGGTACTTCATACATGGATGTCCAATAAATTATGGTACAACCGAGAAGGAAGTATTTCTATGTGCAAAAACAAAACTGAAATATACAGTGAAATACTTTTTATACATGCTTTCATTATTAATCTTTCATAATAATTACAATTACAAACCGAGGATTAGAATCTAGTAAGAGTAATGGAAAATAATACTATAGTACCGTGAACGTTTAGGCAGGTGTAAGTGGGCGAATGATACGACGCGTTAGCCGCGGTTATATTCGACGGCATGCGTGCGTAATGAATTTTCAAATTCGAGTTTCTCGTGTACACTGAACTCTAATATGAAAAAAATTTTATTCTACATTTTATTATTTGTTTTTGCATGTAAACCACAGCTTATTGGCTGTACCAAGATTTACTGTGTATCCTATATAATAAGTATAATATATATTCAAATCATTAATTTTCCTCATATTTTCATACAATACATTTAGACGATTTTTTTTTGTGACTAGCATAGTTAAGGAAATTTAGTAAATAATGTTTATTCTAAAAGCATCACATTGGGTAAATGATATCAAGACCAACATAATGTGAATTAAAATCCACTTTATTAAGTTCCGAAATGATGTACATTGACTCGCAAATAGGTATCAATTCTTTAACTATGTAATTTCGAACATCTGACTATCATTAAAGTTAATCGTTAGTGTATAAACAGAATAAGTTTATTGTTATTTTATACTGTTCATATCTCACCAACTATGCAAGCCACGGATAATATTTTGTGGGTCAAGATTATTAACACTTTCCTAACGAGGTGTCCGAAATGCATACACGTTTCTCTGTTTAAGATCATATTTTGCGTAGTTAAAGAAACAGGAACGAAAAGAACCGGAATAACATCGAGATAAAAAGTTCGTTCTGTTACATTATCAGATGTTCGAAATGATCTGAATGAAAAAATTAACTATGGAAAATATACGTACACCATTTTAATTGTTTAATTCTAACAGCGGTTTTTAATTCACATGTTGGTCCTTTTTGCCACCTTACAGCTCATCCACTCTACATTATTTCGTTAACTATGCAAAATATGAAAAAGAAAGATATATTTGGAACAACTGTTACTTATTTTTAAACAAATCAATCGAAACATAAAAACTGTTATGCACTATTTAATTTTAAAACATGATAAATTTACTACGGACCCGTTCCCCCCTTTGAGGGTAATATAATAATGTCACCTCTAAAATAGACTTAAAACATATATGTAAGAAAAGAAAAAAAGAGTTCTATATCTATACCCAGCAGTTTCTGAAATATCTGTAACGCTTTACATGAGGACACCCTATATATATCAGAATCCTAAATCCACGGATATTGACCACCATACGAATCCTTCGCGCATGTGCGTATCAATTTTTCTTTTCGACCGATCAAATCGACGTCAATAACAGGTTACGAAATATATACGCATTACATAATTCGAGAAACAAAAAAATAAAAAAAAAATGAAAAAGTACGTTATGTAACGCACAAATAATACAGGAGAATTCGATGATTTCTAAATAGACGCTATTTACAATCTATATGATCTATAGATTGATTATACGATCCTCGTTACCCTTCCAATTTGTTGATGTTCTGTTATTGCTCGTCATTTGCATATAAATAAGTAAATAGATATTCACATAAACAATCATGTTGTCTTTCCACTTCTTTGCTCGTCAAGCTACTCTCCCTTAAAAACGAAAACAAAAATAATGGAACTTTATTTTTTCTTAAACTCTGCTCCGGAGTGGTGCACGGGCTGTTTATACTATATAGATATATTCTTTTTTGTCAGTTACGTTTCTCTTTCGTTTCATCTTCGGGGAAAGTTAATTAGTATCTGGTAAAAAAATATTATTGCATTCTGGACGAACTTGCGTTCACATGATTCCATTGCCGTTACGATTTCTACGTTGAGTCTCGTAATCGTTTGAGAATCACAATTCTATAATAAATCGCAATTACAATTACCGTTGAATTAACCACCTAAATTCGAATTTAAAAAGAAGAAAAAGAAAAAACGAGTCGAACAGAAATTCGATAAATTAGACTGTCTACTCTAAGGATCGATTAAATATATAATTAATGTTACTAATAGAATTAAAAATGTTTCGCGCCCATCGGCTCGACGATGAATTTTCACTCGTTAAATACTATTAATCTGCAATCGAATCCAATCGTCAATTATTGCACACTAATTACAAATTGAATGTACACAATAAATTTTTATATAGAAATTCGTAGTATTACAGTCCTGCCATATTGATTCTACAAAGTGCACCAATATATATTGCTAATGATCGAAAACTTTCAATCGATCAATAAGAAATTCAATTACTTATAAAAAAAAAAAAAAATAACAACAAGGTCTAAGTGAACAAAATTTTTTCGATTGTTTCTCCGATTCGCCTGGATACAATCAATTGCAAAATGCGAATTGGAAATTCGAATTAATATACAACGCTGCCCTCGGATGACTTGTCTCGCTCGGACAAATTGTTTGTGTGTAACAACACAACATCAACAAACAACAATAACAACGCGTCAAGTGCATTCCTGGTTATCGTTTGCTGTTGCAGCAGTTCGTCCAGAAAGAAATATAGCATTCAGTATATAAATATAATGAGTTATAAACACAACAGTACCTTGCACTTGTCACTCAGTTTGAGCGCAAGCGACCTGGTGGCTGGTGTTCCATCGTCGTGTGGCGACAGAGAGAGAGACTCACGCATGTGAACACACGAGTACGAGTACTGAACAAGTATCCAAAGCTGCTCTGAAAAGATTTCATTCCATTCCGAATATCGTTTACAAAACGCGTATCACGGTTTTTTTTTCTCTCTTGGTGTTTTAACATATTTTCTCTATTCCTTTAATTCCGAAGTCTCTGACCCGCACACATTTACCCACCTTTAAACGTTGGTGGGCGTGTTGCTCGATATTCGGTGGAAAAAATTTTCAGATAAAAATTGCATAGTCAAAAGTATATCCGTTGTAGGACAACGTGTGTTTAAAAACGAAATTAAAATTAAGCTAGAAACACACAGAAAGTTCCATAGTTGACTCTATTTGCACTGTTTTCACCCATGAAATGAAGAAACCGAAGATTATGTGTTAATACTTAAAATTAAAGTACAAATTGCAGTGACTTCTTTGAAGAATTATTCGATTCTGTTTTGTAATTTGGCGTTTATGGAATTACACGAATTACTCAGTGAAAAGTAACACCCGGTGAGAGAATTAATTATGTATAAAGTGAAAATAATATTTCTATATCTAAAATATAGCGGAGAACAACTTTTGAATATTGTTTGGCTCGTTACATATTTCCATTTGAGCTACGCAACTTTTCTCTGGAACCTTTTTCCAATAGTCAGTTTGAGAAAATTCATTTTTCATACAAACACAAAAAGTAGGTAAAACCAAAAAGAAATCGAAAAAATGTATACGTGATCCGAACAAGTATTAGCGAATAATTCAACTTTCTAAGTTTCCTAATGAAGACTCCCAGACAGAAGAATTTTAGAAACAATTTTAACATATCCCGTATACTTGGGGTATATTAATTATTCGGTCCGAAGTATCCAATGGCTGAAGTTTCTCTTAAAAGTAAAAAGAAAAAAAGAAAAAAAGAAAAAAGAACGAAAGACAATTCCGGGAGCCAAGCGGAATGAGAGGCTATAATTCTGCTTACGAAGAAAGATGTTATATAGAAAATATTTATTTTTCGTTCGTTTGATTGAGCCACGCCGAACATCGGCGCTATATATACTATCGCTCTCTATTTCATTTTCTCTCGCACTCTCTCTCTTTCTCTCTCCCTCTCTTTCACTCATTCTTTATAGTTTACAGTTTCTCTCATACATATATATATATATTTATATATATAATCTCTCTCTCTATCTATTTAAATATTTGCGGTGGTAGAATCTTGCTTATCCGAATCAGCGTTTAGATATTTTAATGTCTGACGTTTTCTGTTGATCGAACGTTCAAATCTGTATAAATGTGATTTTATTCTAGATACCGTTTAAGTCACACTCTCTAAAGTGTAATTAGTAATTCCCATGAATCATGTTAAATGAGATACAATTAAAAATTCGATTTGAATTAACTTTCATAAATGATAAAAACTTCTGTAAAAAGACACAGTTGTTGAAATAGTCTCTTTTATATGATTCGTATAAGATTTCTATTGAATGTGGAGTTCAATCAACGAAAATGTCCATATGAAAATACTTGAAGTTCTGTAAAATATACGGTTAATCAAGATCCTACTATTAAGATTCATCTATCTATACAGTATGGTTTGAATATGGACAATCAATTGTTTCTTAGACCATGGAAAATATAAAGAATGCATTTACGCGTTAATTGGATTGTTTTCGAAAGAAAAAGGTAACAATGAAGTTGAATTGCTTCTTCCATTTACCCTTTTAAAGATTTCAAGATTGTTACCTTTTTATACGTTTATGTTGTGCGTTCCGAGATCAACTAAAGCAGCTAAAGATTAATTTAATGAGAATATAGAGTTCGATTATAAAATTTAAAAATAACCTTGAAATCTTCGTAATTCATATACTACAAATATTTCCGTTCACCGTTACCCTTTTCCTTTAAAACGAAACTAATTCTACATAAACAATATTCGTCTCTCTTCAATAGCCCAATGAACAATTGAGTGTATCTGTTCAAACTAAATACACTGTATAATTGTTTACTACGAAAATACAAAAGTATTTACAATTTAATAAATAAGTCACCACTTGGAGTATCCACGGGTCATAGGTCCTGTGTTTACAAATCACAGCGCCTCACGTGTCAAGTCGATTAAATCTTGATTTCTTTGAAATTTGAAACGCTGACTTCGCGAAAAATATTTACTTTTTCGTCACCCCATCAATTCGCATACATTACCCACTACTTTTCGCCTCCCATGTCTTTAAAATGATATAAAAGTCAGTTTCGATTCAACTTTTCCGGAGATAATTTGTAAAATGGTATCCTCCATGCGTTATTTTTTACAAGAATATTATAATTTTTCATATAAAATTGCTAGTTTCTCATGACACTACATTTTATATTTCATTAACTATATTTATCATGATTTCTTTCGTTCGTTTACTTTTAATAGCCTACCTCTCTAATAATACGAAACAACTTTATCGTTATGTCAAATTCGACACCTTAAAGAGGCGTATAATTAATTTGAAAATAATACCGTCGTTTGAACACAATAATCAGACTACCGTTCAGCGTTTCATTTTCCAAAGCAAGCTGTTCCGTTATCGACCCAACTCACGGCTCAAAGCAACGAAGTCCTCCCTCACACCACTCCACAGAGTAAGAAAAAAATCTTAAAGAGAAAAATCGCTCTTTACTTTGGTCTAAGAATCCCTGCGGTCCTCTTCCTCCTTCTTCGTTTCAACGCCTTCATCTTCTTGGTTCGCCACGACTGTTGCTTCTTCCGAAACTTCCATCTTTTCACTGGGGACCACTTCCTGTACTTCAGTTTTTTGTTCTTCCGCTTGCACAACAATCACCTCTTCCGTTGCAATCTGTTCTTTCTCGTCAGCTGTACCGGAATCCGGCTCCTGTTCCTTCGCGTCCTCCGTTTCCTCACCGGATGGACTCACGTTTGTCCACCTGGATTTACGTCCCTTGTTTCGACTCTCCCGCTCCATGTTCTGGTTGTTCGGATGTTTAACAGTAACACTACTACCACCACCTGCACCTTTCTTCTCTCTGGGATTGTCTCTTTGCGGATGGTTCTCAGAGTCAGCGGACCAAGAGCCGCCAGGTGGATGTTCTTGGTTTCTCCACGGAGCAGCCGTGTCTGGAGGAATAATAGATGGCGGACCCATAGGGCCGAAAGGCGGTCTCCCATGAGGACGAATGTCATCGAACGGAGGTCGGAAAAATGCGTCCGGCTCACGAGGATCAAACGGTGGACCGCGAGGACCAAATGGCCTCATAGCAGGGCGAAGAGGACGAGGTCCAAGGCCACGTGGATGGAACATCAATGGACCTGGAAAATGAACGATCATTAAAGTTTGTTTTAATTCACGCGATCGTGCCTAACCTTTATGGTATTCAAAACTTCTGAAACCCCCCCCCCCCATGGAGAATTAGGTATGAAATTAATTGTTTAAACGTGAAAATTTCAATTCCTATAATAAAATAATCTTTATGAATGAATCGACATTTGTCGAACAATTATCTAATCTCATTGAGTGTTTAAAGCTCAGAACGACATCCTCAGATACTGTGTATTATTCGAATAAAACTCTGCCCAACTCTGCATGCAGCCCAAAAGCTACCTTTTTTTTTCTAAACATGTATTTCAGTTAAGTTATACAATTTCACAGTACTGACGAACATTGTGAGCTCCCATGAATCACCGCCATAAAAATTTGTACAGAACCATGGACATAGTCAGATTATCAGTGGGGGGGGGGGCTCAATTTTGTCTAGCCCTCCCACTCCCCCCTCTAAATCCATTTTTAGAACCCCTGGCAAAAATCTTTTTTTTTTAGAGTAATGCAAAAGCCACTTTTTTGTTCCAAGCGGGATGGGCAAGGCCTCCTCCTGCCCACCCCCCGCCCCCCGGACTACGCCAATGTAGAGAAAGATATACTTGTGTCTTTGAATAAAAAGGCCTTTGAAGATAAAATGCAGAACCGTCACGGAATCAATGGTGTCATGTGTGAGAGTTTGAAGTTTAACACACGAATAATTACATCAATTAAATGCTTGTCAGAATGAAATATTATGAAATCATCAGGGTGCAAAGTTGCTGTCGAATCATAAAAATGAAAACAATTAATGGATAAATTGTAATTGTAAGAGATGATTAATTTTTATTAAAGAAAACTTATTCTTACCAGGGCCACGGGCTCCTAAAGGAGCTGGACGAGGTCCAAACCCGTCAGGGTGCCCCGGTCTAGGCCCTCTGGGTCCCATAATAGGCGGCATTCCAAACATAGGTTCAATTCCAAAGAATTCTCGCCTCCTCGGTTCGAAATCACCGCGATCGTGGTGTCCCCTTGGATCAAAACCGTCCTGATGCCGTGGATCGAAACCATCTCGTCTGATTTCAAAGTCGAATCGTTCGCGATCGTCGATCGGTCTTCTCCCTCGTCCTTCGGGCCTGTCAAATTCCTCTCTACGGCAAACCAGTACGTAATTAACGATTAATTCACTTGAATTCACTTAGACCGATTTCCTTAAAGTGAAATACTTTGAATCAAATTACGACACTAGAAACTCTTAAACACAAAGTTCCTTATTGGAAAAAATTGCGGTCAATATCCTCGACTAATTTCTTTTCAGGTAATTTCATCGTATACAAAAATAAAAACCTGTTTATTCGTCTGTTTAAGAAACCCACCGTTGTTCCCTAGGAGGTCCAAGTCTTCCGAATTCTTCTATTCTCTGTTGCCCATGTATCCTATTATCGAATTCCTCTTGGAACATGGCCCCCTGTATCCTCGGGGCATCCATAAATTCTTCATGTATCTGTGATCCTCTGGGACCCCTTCCGAAATTCTGCCTCTCCCGCGGCTGTTGGAAATCCCTAGGATCTTGAGGATTTCGGAAATCCGGTGGTCGAGCTGGGAAGTCAGCTCTTTCCTGGGGCAATCCGAATTTAGGTAGGTCCATCAGGGACGAGATAGGCTCGGCGCGTCCTCCTGTTCGAGAATCATCGAAATTTCTGTCGGATCTGTCCCGATCTGGCCGATTACGAGGCGGTGGTATTCGATCGCCTCGATCTTCTAAAGGAAGCGTGCCATCAGCTAATTGACGCAGACGATCGGCTAAGCTCGGTTTATTGCCGTCTTTCTTCGGAGTGGAATCGTTTTCCTAAAACCATGTATATCTCTCATTAACAAAAACAACACTAGGATACGTTATTACGATACAATATACTACATCAATAAACTAGTACCTGGAGACTTTGATTCTGTGGATTTCCTTCGCGATTCTCTCTGTTCTCCCTTTCCCTTCTGTCGTCCCTTTCTCTGTCTCTGATGTCCCTTCTTCGATCACGTCCTCGTTATCTATCTCTATGAGACAAATGCGTTTCTCGATCTCGTCGCTCTCTGTTCTCGCGTTCCCTGTCCCTGTCCTTGTAATCCCGATGAGGTTGCTATATTAAATGATATTTCTATAAAATTCGTTTCGATACATTTTGACGTACAAAAGGTATCTTTGGAATTGAACATAATAAGAAATAAAAGATCATACATTTATTTTCCCTAAAACAAATAATCACCTCCGATTGTTGATCGCAGTCTGTTCTTTCCTCGTTTTGCGAAAGCTGTTGATCGGATAAGTTGCCCTTATTCTTCGTCCCGTTCGAGCTTTGCGGCATTGCATCTTCCATTTCTACGTCCATGTCGTCTGCAGAATGCTGTTGAGGTAGTTGCATTTGTAAGGGAGCAGAAGGTCCCACGCCGTAAGGTTGGCGTAACATTGGCAAATTTGGCATTCCCGTTTCCGTTGTCGGCGGTGGGACTCCGATCGGAGGAACATTATGAGGCATACCTGAAAATATTAATAAATTCGCTCTTTATTACCTGTTTTCTTCCACCGTCGCTGATTCGATCGTAACGCAACGTTAATTTCAAATAAACCCGTACGTACCAGTGGAATTAGGTTTATCCGAGGGTGCAGCAGGCGCTGGCAGAGGGATCTGCGTTAATAAACTAACACCCACGCCAGCTCCAAACGGAGAATTCACCGACGACGTTAGCATAGTTTGCATCATTCCGGGAGGGCCTAACAGACTTTGCATATTTGGGGGCGGCACGCCTATTGGTACATTCGGCATTAAACTGTGTGCCATCGGTAATCCCATTGGTCCAAGCATACCTGAACGACAAAGAAAATATGTAAATTTTCATTCTCTATTAAGGGGTCATGCTCAGACAGAAATGTTCAAAAAATTAATTTTTCACTTTCTACATTTTCTTTAAGTACATCTCGAGAAGATTCTGTGCAAGTTTTACGGTAATCCAATTAAAAATGACAGAGTTACAGACGTTAAAATCGGTGATTAATATTTCTCAAAAACTACTATATCAATTTACATGAAATCTTTTGCGCCTTATTTCAAATCAGAAAAACTTGGCCATGAACGATGGATTTTTTTTCGTTCCATACTTTTCTCTTTAATTGACCAAAAACGAGTGATTTTTTGGTGAAAATTGCACTTTTTCAGGAAAGTGTCCGCCATCTTGTTTCTAATCAATATTTTGAAAACCCCCATGTTCAAGGACAAAATTGGTTCTTCCATTACATAAATCTTACTGAATTTTTAATTTCAGATGAACCGTTACGAAATTACAGTGATCACGGCAGACCACTTTTTGTGAAGAGACATCCGAGAGATCGCTCACCATTTATTTACTAATAAATATTTTTAAATAAAGAAATTCACTTATAATCTAGAAACTGCAATCTTTTAAACACAAACACATTTTTTGAAAAAGGTCTTATAGTTTTTGAGAACAAAAATTCCCAAAGAACACTCTTTTTCGGTCTCCTGACTGAGCATGACCCCTTAAAGATTAGAACGTTACAAAACAAAAACAATAAATTACGAGGAACTCCTGGCATTGTAAAAGCGGGCGGCATCATCTGTAACTGGGTATTCGGCGGTGGCAGAAGTGCAGCTGACGTGGGCGGTCTAATCGGCGGCGGTTGACTCGTATCAATTACTTGCTGCTGCTGCTGGCCCTGCTGCTGAGTCTGCTGCTGGGATTGTTGCTGCTGAGCACTAGTCGTTGGCTGCATCACGTTCACAATGCCGTCTGCTAGACTTGGCATCGAGGCCGCTGCAACCAAAGCTTGTTGCTGTAACTGCAATTGCTGCTGAAGCACGTCTGCATTTGTTCCGGAATGCTTTAGTTTACCTATGGATCGTATTAATCAAAACTTGAAATACATGAGCAAATTTACAAGATCATTCGTAAACGATTAATATAATTATACAGAATTTCTGTTTACCTTTCAAACTGGGCGGCAGAGTATCCTCATCGATCATCCCGCCTTCTTCCAGTAATTCTAGGTCCTGGTCAGTAACGTTAATCATCTTATTCCAGGGAATATAACTCACTCCCAATTCAACTTCCCAATAGTCTTTCCATTCTTTCCCCTTCACACCTTTTCCCGGTGCCCAAGCTAACTAAAATTCAAAGAGACACTTCTATTACTCTAAGAATGCATTTTCTCATATAGCGTTTAACTGTCGAGTCGACATTAAGTTATATAACTTACAGTGATCGCTTTCCCTTGCATTTTATGGTTCTTCAGCTTAGTGAGAGCTCTGTACGCATCCTGTCTCCTGTTCATGCATATAAAAGCACAACCCCTAGGTGAAATTAAATCTATACTGACGATATCGCCGAATTCTCCGAAAGTGTCTGAAAGTTCTTCTTGGTGCACCAATTTCGATAAATGTCCTACCCATAGAGTAGTACTGCAAACTGTAAAAATCCGAAACTTTGAATACAGGAACGGTGTTGCTCTCGATAAATAATTCTCCGCTGTTACCGTAGACATTATTGTCAGTAGACTGAGGATTTTATGCATTTAGAGCCAATAGGACTTTGCGTAATACAATAGAGAAAAAAATTTCCGTCAGGTGCAATATGTTTTCTACTTTATAAGATATTTCAGAGAAGAAAGAAATTCCTACTTTTGCTGTTGTTTTCAAAAATTACTTTTAAAAATGTCATTTTGCATAAAAATCAGCAGCCTAATTAACAGATATAAATACAGTTATAATGATACGAAAATTACCGCTTAATTTATCTCTCACAATCGGTGGCAACCCTCGTTTACGTCTTTCTCTTTCCTTTTCCCGTTCTTCTTCGGTCATTTTTTCGCGACTATCATCGCGTTTCCTATCGCGTCCTCTGTCCCTCGAACGAGACCTGCAATGCGATTTTTGATAGCGAATGATAAAACTTAAATATAATGCATGTAATTAATAAAATACTGAAAAGACAAAACATTAGTCAATTACCTTCTTCTTCTAGATCTGCTTCTCGATCGAGATTTTCTATCTCTGTCTCGATCTCGGTCTCTATCCCTATCCCTGTCTCTGTCTCTGTCCCTGTGCCGTGGTGATCTAGATCGACTGTGGTGCCTGTATCGATCCGGTGACCTACTCTGTGATCTTGTACTATCGCAATTTACAATTTCTACGCTGCTACTATCTCTTCTTGCACCATTTCTGTAATTAAGGAGTTATTGACAATTAATTTTAACGTCCAATCAAGTAACATAATTGAATTATAAGAAAAAAAAGTTACGATCAAACTCAACTCAATGAATTATGGTAAACTTAAAATTAAGCTTATATAAAATTAAGTTCGCTACAAATCAAAACGAAATTAAGATCTTCAACTTTATGAAAGAAATGTCCGAAAATTGTTTACCCAGAATAATCTTGTGTGTCTTGTCGTTCATCGAGAAGCGGGCTCTTTTGATTTTGATGTGTCTGTTGATTGATCTGTCTCATATTCGACAAAGGTTGAGAGACATAAGGAAGTGCCGGTGGATAACCAGGTGGTGGTTGGCTCAAATCTTGTATAACTCCGCCACCTACATTCGCTGCATATGTATTCTGTTGATTTGGTTTCAAAATATCCGACGGTTTTAATTCACATTCTGACGCAAATGGTAAATTCTAGAAAAGAACAAAAAATCAACTTTCCTCAGTACAAATGTAATAGTATAATAGATATAAAATTATACTTTTTTTTCATTAACAACATACAGGAACAGTCTGAGCTAAATGTTTATCAAACTCCTCCTCTTGTTGCTTCATTTGCTGTAACTTTCTCATCTTTTCCTCCATTTCATGTTGCGATGAAGAAGCATTCCCTTGCATTGTTTGTTGTAACGTTTGTAGCTGCCTCAAAACCTATTAAAAAATAGATTTATTTTGTGAAAACATTAAGAGAAAATTGTTTCAATATCTTCTGTAATACATAATACTTATTTACTATGTTTCCTTTGATATATACCTCTGGATTTGTAAGGAGGAGGCCAAGACTCTCCAAACTATTCCCTGTAGAAACATTGTGCGGACCAGCATTTGATGCTGCCGTTGTTGCTGGTGAATTCGCAACAACAACGTCATCGTCCTCTTCCTCGCCATAATCAAAATCTAAGAGCTTCTTGTCGAATTTCACGGAACTTTTTTGTTCATTTGTTGCTTCCTGTTTTTTTAGTAATAATTGTTGTAAATGTTGCAATTGATCGAGAAACGAAGCATCCATTTGCCCTGAATTCGTTTGACCCTGAAAAGAAGAAAAATTTGAATTGGCAATACAGTTTAAATAGACGCGAAGAAATATATTTAAAGACAAACCATACCAGGAGCTTATTGGCATTAACTATATTTGCTGTTTCCATTTTCGTTTGTGCAAGCCAAACAGGATCTATTGGCTTCGCAGAGGAAAATAACTTCTGATCCTTTACTGCATTCTTTGCAGCCAAGGGAGGCGTTTTCGCAGCAGTACCAGTATTGCTTGTATTATTTGTCGAAGAAGCGTTCAATGTGCCTACAAGATAATAACAAATTCAGTTTTTTTTTATGACACTCGCCAAGCATGAATTCATTCGAATTTTTCTAATATCGTAAACATCGTACAAAGTAACATTCGTTTACCATTTGCATTAACTGCTTGTTCCTTGTGTATTGGATGATTCGGATCCGCAAGATCAAAAAGAGGCTGTATAACCTCGGAAGGAAAGACTGCATTCTTCTGCCAAAGATTCAAAACTCTTATCACCTTGCTCTTGTCTTCCTGAGGACATTTCAGAAGATTCAAGAAGGTGGTTTGCATGTTCTTAGCAAAGCGCGGAGCAAAAACATCTTTCTCTACTCCAAATTGGTGCCTTGACTGACGTACAATCGAATCTATAACGTATAGTCCAGGCACTTTGTACTCTGGCTTACACTGTAACATACACATGATAATTAAATGGCTATTTCATCCATGAGAATGTAATGAGGTAGACTTCTGAATATATATATATATACCTTCTGAATAAATTTCTCAACACTTTGCACAACATGCTTATAAAATTTGATTGCCTTTATAGCACCCCTAGTTAAAGAGTTCATCTTGGCCTTAGAAATCGGCGGTTTGACGTCATACAGAGCTGAAAGCTGCAACAGGAGAAAGATATTAATTTCTTATCTAGATAACCTTTTTAATTCAACACTGAAATTAATCTCTTGCTGTATCTCATCAAAACAATGAACAACAATTTGAAGAATCGACAAAGAGCAGAAGAAAGAAAATAACAAGTATGTATAGCATAATTCCTTAGAACCGCTTGATTTTTATAAAAATCATACAATTTAGTCTTTAGACTTTACTCGTCATTACATTAGACTAACATAAACAAGGCAATTGTTGTTTCCAAATTTAACCACTCAATACATCGTGGTAAACAAACATTAGCATGTTAAGTGTGAAACCTTATCAACTTTTTCCTGTTATTACTCTACACCACCCGTTCCTTTTAATAAATCTCCCTTTTACTCTTCTTCCTAATCCCTCCCCTCTTCCCCCCCCCCTGTTATCATGTACCTTTGAACACACAGTACAGACATATTTGTTTCTTCCCACGGTCTTACAGACGCTGTACATTCTCAATTAATAACAATATCAATCGTGTGGTGTATCACAAAAACACTCTTAAATCACAATAAAGCTAGTCGCTCACTGATCTCCCTCTTTCCTGCGTGTAGAGACAGAGTTTCTCCGTCTCTCTTGCACAGGGGGGACTAGAAATCAAAGCATTCGTCGAGCACGGGAATCACTTGAATCCCTCGCGTCGCGATCACTCTCGGGGACGTCGAGGGGAACGTATATCTTGAAGGGTTGTGTCTCCCGATACGTGTTGCTTACGACTTCAAAAACCGAAGGATCGTAAAGGAAGGAGGAGAACCAAGAGAGAGAGAGAGAGAGAGAGAGAGAGAGAGAGAGAGAGAAGAAAAAAAGAACAAGAAAGAGGGAGAGTCGGCGGGCTAGAAGGAAGAATCAAGGGTAAGTGTGTGCTCACCTCCGCGTTAAACGCCTTAACCGCCTCCATTTCGACGAAGGCCCGAAGCACCAAGAGTCTGCTATGTTTCACAGGAATCCGTGATTCTCGGGGCGTTCAGTGTTTTCGCGATAAATCGCATGTCTTTGCTCAGAGCGCACTGTCTAGCTGGGCCATGCCACTCAAGATGGCGACGCTATTTCCCGAAAGGCATCGCGGGGCGGTGATGCGTGACGTCATACACCGCCGCGGTGCGCAATCGGTAACATGGCTCGGGCACTCCACGATAGTCCGAGCATACGTAAGTTTCTGAGACCCACCAAAGGAAGCGCTGATGTCCTTTGCGACACCCATGCACGTATTTATGTCGAGTCTCTGTGTCTTTGTTGGAAGTTGCTTAGCGACTGTTAGCGACGATCGTGGCGCGAGAAATGGTATTTCTACCATTGCGTGCAAACTCGGCTTCCGCTAAGGGAAAAAGCGGCGTAAAAAAAGTCTTCTACCACATGGTAAATTTATTCCAGGTAGTGAAGTAAATGTTACATCCAATGTTAATTTGGCATGAATTTCAATAATTCCTAATACCAAATTTTAGGAAGCCCTTCTTCTACGTCACTTTTTCCCCTAGCGGAAGCCGAGTTTGCTCATCGGTGTACGGAAACTTAATTTCTATCGGACCGTTTGAAGCACTTAGAAGTTAAAGTCGTCAGATTTGGAGTCCTTGGATTACTATTTATAGACAGTATAGTCGGTTCTATGGGGAAATAAATTTCCATCATTATCTACCTAGCCGACCAGTACGCAATTTGAACACATCACAATTTGCGCTTTAACACATCTTACTACACTAGGAGAATTAGCCATCTATACAGGATGTAACAAAAACGTTGCAGGTTTCTGAAATGAAATACTCGTGAGGCGATTTGAAACAAGTTTTTCCTTAGCAAAAATTTTATCTGAGGCTTTGTTAACGAGATATTAACGAAAAACCCCGTCCAATCAGAGCACGGGTATAATAAGTCTAAAGTTTAGATTGATCGAGATCTAACCGTACCCAACCGTACCTTCGACCCCTTAGACCGCTAGTGTGAATCTGGCTTTATGTATTGTGAAAAATATATTCCGTAATGGTTTGTTATAAAATGACAGAATAACATGTTGAAACTGTGATATAATAATTGCAAGTTAAATGTGTATAAAATTACAAGGATCATATATAACAATTTTTCTGATTTAACTTCCTGATGACATTTCATCAAATACAATTTATAATATTAAACTTCATTAATTGAAAGAGAATTATTTCAAAGCTGCAAGGCAGAGGTGCCAACTTTAATATTCAGTCTATTAATTATTTAACTATTAAGTTTAAACTTGTGTGCCTCTTACAATTTTATATATCATATTTATATTTGGTTATGTTATTATTTAAATCAGGATCAAAGTAATACCATAACATTGTAATTGCACTAATGAAAATAGAAATAAATTATTGAAATATAAAAGGTATTCAGTACTTATTAATCATTTTGTTACAGTGACTTGCAAGTTTCAAATTAATACTTTTGAAACAGATCAATAAACTTGAAGTTTTGCGTTGACTTTATTTGAACATTACTTTCATAGTAATAATTTTATCTCACAGGTTTGTAGAAATCAAAATCATTATTTAATAAAATAGATACTTAAATAAGATAATACTTTAAAATAAATACTAATAATTAAAATTCATTACTTAGAAATGATAAAATTACTGGAAGAAATTGATCTTGAAGATCACATCCTGATACTTCCATCAGTGGCAGTTGGAAATGTTGGACAATTATCTGTTGATCTATTGATCTTCAATTTAAATCTTCAGAAAATTGGATCAATGTGGAATTCAATGTTTCTTCCAATTAGTGGTAACGATCCTTACAATAAGGATTCCAGTTCTCTTTGTACTGCTGCTGATTTTTATTTTGGATCTATTAATAAGATAATTCTCCTACAATTACGATCACCTTACACTGGCAATTCAAGTGACTTTTTTGAGGAATTAACACAATTTATTCAAAGAAAGAAAATCTCCAAGGTACATTGTATTTTAATACATGTATGTTTATTTAATGAAATTTCTATACTGATAATAAAATTTATTTTCCAGATAATAATTTTAACCAGTAGTTATGATTATGAACAGTCCGATAAGTCAGATTCAAGCTTAAGGTATCTTACATCAGATGATTCATTATTAAACAATGAAAAACTTCTCGAATCTCTTCATTGGAAAAAGCACACAAGGAAAGGTATGATAGATCACACAGAAAACTGTTATATCCCTGGTGGAGGATTTGCAAATGGACTTTATGATTACCTCAGATCAGTGGAAATTCCATGTACAGTACTTTTCTGCTACTGTTCAGAAGGCGACAATATTTCTGATGCATTAATATTAGTTAAGGGCTTGAATCAGTGGTTAAATATAATACAAATAAATTCTGATCTCAGCATTAATGTTAAATATCCACCATCTTGGGAATACTTTTTTGGCAATCCTCCTGCATCTGAAATATATTAAGCTACTCATCTAATCATTTGTTATAATTGGACTGAGGATGTTTATATAAAATCAAACCTTTACAGATTAATTTATAAAAGTAGCGAGTAAATGGATCTTCAAAATAAAATGATAATATTATGAATCTTATTTTAAAGCTTTCATTTCAATGTCTTTTTCATATTTTTATATTCTATGAATGTACAAATGTGTTCCACTTACAATTAATAAAATTCTGATTGTATCAAAGTTAACTGTAAGTAAGGGTTCATACTGTACAGAAATTAGATCATATTGAAGAACACTTAAAATTAAGGACAGAATTGGTGATATACTTACTATTAAATAAAATTGAATTATTAAATTAAAAAATTGTATTTAAAATAAAATCTAAGCAACAATAAATCATAATGTAGTTATATTATTCTATTAATAATTCAATACATGATTTCATTTTTACAATAATTTATTTGAAAAATTAATTATATAAAGAGAATGTTCAAGCTAGAAGCTTGTATTTGGAAGAGAAAGCAGAATAAGTAACTAAGGCTGCTAAAAGAGCAGCAAGGAGTTCCGAATTAACCCATGGTCCAAGATAAACTCCTGGATTATTAAGCACTACTACAACCAAAGGTTTCACAGTGCTGGGGTCCTCCCCATTTCTAACAGCTTTACGTATAGCTGCGTATCTTTCTTCATCATACAAGTTTATTCTATAATCTCCGGAACGTGCTTTTTTCACATCTTCTGTCCAAGAAACCTATAAAATTCCATTTTACCATGTCAGAACTGAACTCTAACTTTTTTTACATGTTTATTTATTATAAAGTTCGTACCTGGTACTTGTTATCGGAGCTTAATCTAGCAGCAGGCAGTGATTTTCCTTCGACTTCTGCGTACAACGTGATACCTTTCACGCCGTTGCTACACTTGAGCACAAATTGTGTCGTGAATGCAACGTTTGTCAGAATAGTTGCGTCCTCCGTGACATATGCAGACGCGACAACCTCTGGTTTCTGGCAAGTTTCGCCAGAAATTGCGGAAATTGCACAAACTAATAAAATACAAGCAACTTCGAGACGATTCATCTTATTTGTGGGTGTCACTTTTAATTGATAAATAGTGTAATAAGCTCAAAAATAAATTATATCGTCGATTCTTGACCTGCAGAATTCTACGACCGGTACGTTAAACCATGTTAGGTTAAGTGCAGTGAATGATTACAACTACAAATGAATCATGGCGACCTCTCTGCTAAGATCGCGTGGACTACGTGGTTACACGTGTTAAGTAGTTGGAAACAATGGTACCAACTCTTTGCATCAAACATTAAATTTCTTTTTCTATTTGAAATATATTTTTAAGTAGATAATTTATAATATCAAATACACCCATACCTCGCTTTACGGCCTAGATACGTTCCGGAAAATTTGGCCGTAAAGCGAAAAGCCGTATAACGAATCAATTATTTTGATACACACCCATACAAATTCAACTGGATCTGTTCCAATTTTTTATAAAATAATATGGTTTTTAATTCATAAAGCATTTTATTCTTTTTATTTCCTATGAAAATGCATTTTTTTGGCCGTATAACGAAACATTGCGGGCTGTAAATCGAAAAAGTGCCATAATTAAAAAAGGCCGTTATAGCAAAATGCCGTATAAAGAGCGGCCGTATAGCGAGGTATAGGTGTATAAAGTATTAGCTCAGAAGTTATTACATGATTTCCTTTTAAATTTCTTCAAAATCAAATCTTTATTGTAACAACAATATTATTTAATCTTCAATAAAACATATCTAGGAATTTAGAAGATTGTTTTTTTTTAAGAGTTATTGTTCCCAACATTATATAAAAACGTGATAACATGGTATAATGAACATAAACAAAGAAAGTAAATTTCTAACAATAGTATTGCAAAAATAGAATTTGTCTTAACAAAATATGTTATATAATATTTACTGATTAAATTCAATCATACAATTAGAATGTTAATAAAGAGACCTAAGACTTGTTTAAATACATTGGTTAAAAAAATATGTTTTATTTATCACAATATTACAAACAGTTATTATTAATTAATATAAATTAATAGCATATACGATCACTATAGATTAGAGAGAGTATTTGGTATTCTAATACTTAAAATATTTGTACACAGATAGAGAGTCTAGGCAACAACTTAGTAACTGCATATTTCTCATCCTCTTACACAAACTGTCTAAAGGTGTATTTACTCTGTTTTTACTATTAACATGTAAATAACATACTACATTCCAGATAATGTTGTCTCAGAATGATGCTATAGTACACTGATTTTTTGGTTCATTGAAAATTTTATCAAATATACTTTAAATATATAAATATATATAAAATCTTCGTTAGATTTATAAATAATCAAAGTTGTTGTGGTATAGAATTTTTATATCTTTAGATAATTGATATAAATTGTACAAACTATTTATTAGCTATATTAAATAAATATTAAAACTTATCACTTCATTGCAACAATTTACATGTGACATTGCAATCCTATATACTTTTATACAGTTCCTATAAGTTGAATAAAATAAAAATTTCACAGTATAAACAAAGACTAATATAATCTAATCATTCCATTCAAAATTCTATCAAATTTACTTCTTTCGTTACTGTGTTTATTGTTGTTGATGTTACAACTGAAGTTGTAAAGGAACGTACATGAGATCTGAAAGTTGACACAGGCCCCCATGCTTCATCTCTAATAATGCCCTGATTCCTTGGGTACATGAGCAAGGGATCTTTTCCTGTTTTTTTGCATAATTTTTCTTGGAGTACTATTAGACGTGACCTCCAATACTCATAACTGGCTTGCTTCAATGCATTCACCCACTGTTCTACCTGAGATTCTGAACGACCGCTCAATACATGCCTTTTATCGTGTTCATCTCGAAATGCTATACTAAATGCAAATACTCCTTCAGTGGCACTGTCAACATTAATACTATAATTTTCTAAAACAATCACTCCAGCTGGCTGCCTTTTATCAATTTGTCCTAATTCGTTGATATTAAAATAAAATAGTAAATTACATCTTAACTTAAACCATCTCTCTTTAAATCCTAGAAAAGATTTAACGATTTTAGGTTAATGAGACATGAAATTAACTCGAAAGAGTTTGGCCGATTATTCACTAAACTAACCTGACTTGTGCGCTCGTTTGTGATTTAAACGGCCTTCGAGATCAGCAGGGCCGCTACTTGCCTCTGCGAGTTCTTTTTCATTGAATTTCATAATGATAGAAAATTATTTACACTGCAAGCATTTCTACGTAACACGAGTGTTATCGCACGGTCATAATATGTATATAATTCATATTGTTGATTGTATCCAGCACATTCCTTCAAAAGTTTTGCCGCAATCCTGAAAACTCACTGCCAATTGTCAACCGCGGAATCGAACATTATGTACTTCATTTTTCGTTTCTCGCTTTTCACTAGCTTCAATGACCTCTCTTTATTTTAATTATGAGGTATTTTTAACCACCATTTCTGGTATGTTATCATCGAAGATCGAACATTCCGATAAGGCGGACACCCGAGCGTAACTGATCAACAACAAAGTTTGCAAAATACAAGAGTGAAATTTTGAAAGAGCGCGTTTTACTCTGACAGGGTGCGAAACATGTACAACATTCATTGCACCTTCCAGCAATTCATTATATTTACTTACATTTGTAATGGCTAATAAGGATTGTTTTACTATGCGCATAAAAGCTTTATTTCCTAAAGATTTTCTGAATTAAGTTTATGTTAATTTTGTTTCGAATAAACGAATTACTTGAATTTTGTAAAAATAACACAAATGGTGCGTAAGTGAAATTGGTCAACCTGCAAGATGGATATGCATTTGATTTCATACTGTTCGAAAGCGAAGGGCTGCAAGTATATAGATAAGTAATGCAAGTGTCAACTGGACAAATTATCTGTCAAATTTTACTGGCATTGTAGGATATTTGTTTATTAATGGTTATGATTCTCGTTGTCTACCTATTATTCATGAATTTATTTGAAAAATAATCACATGGTAGATTTGCGTACACTAGCGGCAATCATCTTGTAGTGACGATTCACAATTATTTATAATATAATTAAGTGATGGGATCGCTAACAAGTCGACAGAATGCTGGCGTAGAAGAAGTTGATATCGTTTCGAATCATGCATACAAATATCCTCCTCGTTCGGGTTTGTATGAATTTAGTGATGTTATTTAGTGTTGGGCATCAAAGTTTCAAAAATTTGTCTCAAATATTAAAACATAATAATAAATTAGTTTTTATTTCAATTAGCACTTGAATATTATAATCATGTATCATTTGTTGGAATTTATATTTTATTTAACAAATTGTGTTCATTAGGAAACTACTTTGGTAGTCACTTCATTATGGGTGGTGAAAGATTTGATACATCTCAACCAGAAGCATATCTTTTTGGAGAAAATGCTGATTTGAATTTTCTCGGAAGTCGACCCACACCTGTAAGATAAATATTATTTCAATTGTCAGATTATGTGAAAGATATCTAAAGAAAAGATTTAACAATACCATCTTTATTTCCAGTTTCCATACCCTCCACCACAAGCGAATGATCCTACTAAAACATTGAAAAGTTTAGTCAATATAAGAAGAGAATCATTGAGATTGATTCGTAATGTTGATCAGACCTCTGCTTCACCACAGTGTCATAGTGTAAAAAATTACAGCGATGGTGATATTGATAAAAAGCCAAATCGTTACAACATTGAATTCACGTTTGATTGCGATGTAAGGTGTGCAATTACAATATATTATTTTTGCACAGAAGAGGTCTCAACGAAGGGAGTTGCGTATGTAACAGATATATTAATAGAATAACATCATAAAGAATCTTTCCATGAGCTATTATTTGTGTATAATACAACATGTAAATTTATCTACAGTTATATGCCAAGGGATCCTTCGATGAATTCCGAAACATATTATTATAAGAAAGGTGCAAATCAATTATTTTCACAAACTTCGCATGTGTTCGATCCAACAGCATACAATGAAGAGGATTTGTTGTACAATCCTGATAGAGAAGTATGTATTTTTAAAATACCTCTATACTATATTTTCATGCCCCTCTAATTACTTTTTAGTAATAATTACAATTACTTACAGATAATACCAATAGCTATCCATTGTGTGGCAGAAGAAGGTTCAGATGAACCAAAACAGTCCCATACAACAATTGCAGTTGTTGAAAAACATTCTGACGGAACCTATGTATTAAAGGCACTTAAGCAGAAGCTTTACGTTGATGGTCTTTGTTATTTACTTCAAGAAATATATGGTATCGAGAATAAAAATGCTGAAAATGCGAAGGTATATTGTACAAATTCATTTTTATACCGAACATTATGTTTAATTGTAATTGTTTAATTATTATTAATTTATGTTCCAGCAACAAGGTAGTGACGAAGATACGGACGATAATGGATCAGAATGTGTGATTTGCATGTGCGATGTGCGGGACACTTTAATTTTACCGTGTAGACATCTGTGTTTATGCAATGGTTGTGCAGATTCTCTTCGATACCAAGCTAACAATTGTCCAATATGCCGTGCTCCTTTTAGAGCTCTTCTTCAGATCAAAGCACTTCAAAAGGCAACAGGAGCTATCATATCAAATCCTCCTCTACCAGAAGTCAGTATTTATATATATAAATAACTATCAATAGGTCTGCAAGAACTCGAGAATATTGGGTTGGGTTGAGAATTTCGCAGAATTCCGAAAGTATCGCGCTACACAAAAATATCGGGATTTCTACGATATCGGGTTCTTGCACACTTACACTTATTTTTATAAATCGCATCGTGTAATTTTAATAAATTTAGCAGTGTTTAACTAAAAAATATTAAACATTTAGGGAAGCTGTGAAAATATTCCATCTGCGTATGAAGCTGTATCGTTGATAGAAGCTTTGAATGGTCCGTTCATTCCAAGAACTGCTGCTCTTGCTCCAGAATCACCGGACACACCTGACACCGACACGACCAGCGCAATTCAAGCAGCAGAAGCATTAAATAGGTAGAATACTTTACGAACGATTTATCTTGCTTGACGGTTCAAGTGCATTGTATTAAGCATTTTATTTAATAGATCTGTCGAACGTACACCAGTGTCAAAACATGCGTCTTCGAAAGAAACAGATACATCTGCTAGGTCAAGTGGTACTGCATGTCCTACCCCAGAATTTCGAATGTCAGTTTTATTGGCTAGAGACGAACACTCGGGATCACAGAAAGACCTTCACAGTCGTTCTCCAGCGATGAGGATGAAAACTTCCGGGCACATACGTGAAAAGTCTTCCTTAAAATCGCGGGATACTCTTAGACTTGTTAATGAAAAGCAACCTGTTTCCCATTATGAGGTAATACGTTAATTTCAGTCAGTTCAATTCGTTTCCGGAATGTTCAACGTTTTAAACAAAATATTTATGGTATAAATTTTTACTATGGTTGAGTAAATCGGTAATTTACAGGGTCAAGGGCAAGATGAAGATAGCGAAGCAGAAAAGCTATCTCCTTTATTGAATGCAGCTACCAGTACGGAAACGCTTGATACTCACAATCGTAGAATATGTGACGTAGATATCGACGACGAAATTCAGAATACAGAAAACGAAAATGATACTGATGTTACATGTCATTCTCATTAAAACCAAAATATCGAATATGTAAAAACATTTCATTGAAATATCAATTTCAACATGTATATTTAATTCAATTGCCGTTTGTAATATAAAATTGCTTATATCTCCGTAAAATTATTTTAAATTGTAAATATGTAATACGTTGATACTTATAAATTGGATAAGATCTGAACTTATTTTTCTCTTGTTCACCGTAAACAAATAAAAGTTAATATTTATTACGTTATTCATAAAACTTTCTCTTTTTATAGTGACCACTGACATTATCTCATTCCACCTGTTTAAAACTTTTCAAATATTGAGATTTTAAATAATTTTAAAAGATTTCAAATATTAAAAATTTATCCTCACCACCGTCTGCTGTTACAATAGAGGAGTAATAGAGACGAAATTCTGAGCTTCTTTGTCTGTACGAAGGAGACGCGTGAGAGTACAGTGAACTGTAAGAACTAAACGAAAATACTTGTACTCTATGACGATATAATTTTAGAGATTAATTGAAAGTGGTACAGTGTAAAGGTGAAAAGACTGTGAAATAAAATCAGTAACACATACACGTTTGTTTAGAATTTCTTTAATGAAATTGGAGTCCAAAAGATTTTTTTTTGCTTAATTATCAGCAAGAATCTTTCTGAATTTCTTCCACTCTTCAAGAGGACCATGTTCAGGCAGATACTTGACATTGCAACCGTCTGGAGCAAGGCGGCCAGCCGTTTTCAAGTCTTCATATTCAGCACGGTCATATTTTGTAAATCCCCATTTCTTTGAGACATAAATTTTCTGACGGCCAGGGAACTTGAACTTTGCACGACGCAATGCCTCGATAACAGCAGCCTTATGACGATCTGATGAACGTACACTCATTATAGGTTGTCCAATGTGTACCCTAGCTACAGTGCCCTGTGGCTTACCAAAAGCTCCTCTCATTCCAGTTTGGAGCCTTAGAATCAGTAAAAAGAATTGTACCAAAATCAGTTACAATACTAGCATAACAGATATGTCATGTGCTAATTTATTTTTAAATTATTGTATACTATTTCAGAATATTTATCGTAAGTGTTTTAATACTATATACACACCTATCAGCTCCAGCACACGATAACATTTTATTGATGCGAATAACATGGAATGGGTGAAGTCTCATACGAATATGGAACTGATCTTTTCCAGCATTTTTCACCATGTATTTGTTTGCACAAATACGTCCTGCTTCAAGGGCTTCGGAACTGAGCTGTTCATACTCGTCTGACACTAAGTGCACGCATAATGGAAAGTCTTCTACGGAAGCTTTCTTTTTTCCAAGATCAAAGATACGAATCTTTGGGTCGGGTACACCACGACAAAATCTTGATTTTGGGTAAGGTTTGTTCTTACAATACCGATAACTACAATAAAAAACAAAAAAACGATTCATGTTAGACACAATTATGACTAATGTAAAGATATCACATGATCATTTCTAACCTATTATCTACTTAAAAAAAATATTTAAAAATCAATAAATGCAGCAATGAAAACATCAAAAACAATAAATACAGCAACAACGAAAACTGTATAAATTTAGTTTTTAAGTTTTATTAATACTTCACTAAAATCTATAATATAAATATTTTATTACATACCATCTAGCTGGTCGGCGCCCCATATTGGCTGTCAATAATAAACGAAAAATATTAAATAAATGATAAGAGAAGACTTATTAAGGTTGATCTCTTAATATAATATGATAGAAAATTGACGGATGCTTAATATATTTTCAGATATTTTTGGATTATAATGGATAAACGAAAACACTACCTTGTGGGTCCTAACGATGTTAATAAGGAAGAAGCTAGGGTCATGAACTTAGGCACGAGTTACGGTTATGAATTGGTGTAAGTAAAAAGTTACTAGTTAAGGATAATTCACAATTAACGACAATTTCAAGATATTATGAGAGTGCTTAGACTGCTCAGGGATATAGTTATTTAGAAAAATGGATATTTGTCAAAGAGTATGGATACAAACCCTATAGGGATACAATTGTATCCCTACTCTTTGTATTTGTATTATTGGAGAATTTTTAGAAAAAGAGACGTTATCTAAAAACTTGCATCTAAATATATGCATTCGTACAATATTATAAAATTTTAGAAAAAGTAATCGAAAATGAAGAATGACATTTTTTATAGTATGTAATACAATTACTGTTTTCAAAACAGGTGATCTTGAAAATTCAGTAATGAGACACAAAAAAAAGTATGGGCCTTTAATAATGTATCACCGTGTAGGTACAATTTAAACAGGTGTGTTAAACGTCACAATGGAGTCAGTGGAATTACCAGAAGAAGTTCCTTTACGTGCGCAATTTACGGTTGATGATTTAGATATTGAAATATTACCACTTATATATGAAATAATTCGAAGGTTTGTGCATTTATTAAGTTGACGATTAGAATGCCCGTTTTAATTAAATATGTATCTGTGGTACTACATAACCTATATATAACTGGGGTAGTACATAACCTATACCAGTGTACGTTTATATTGCTTCGGTTATTTTAATAATAAAGTTTTTCTTATGCATAAATTGTGTACGTTTTTAATTCCACGAATGATATTAATTACGCTTTCATACGTGTTATTTTATGTAATATCATTTCCTGTTAATTCACTGGAACGATAATATTATGTTTAATTATAACAGATAATGAAACAGATGTACTAATAAAGATTAAGAGTACAACGGTGGTTTGAACTTGTAAATTACATTACATTACTAATTGCATTTCTTTCATCTCTCGTTAATTATGATTTTAATACAGGCGAATAAATAGAATATTTTAAGTAGATTCTTTAACAAGATAATCATAGATCATATTATGATGAAGAATCATATTATGCAATAAGCATTTGTTATATATATGTGCAATTTATTTTTAGTGTTGAAAAAGACCCACATGATACCACACAGAAGGCCAAAGAATCTCAGGATACAAGTCATAAGATATTAGAGCTTCAGAAAAAATTAGATTCTGCAAGAGCACAGGTGAGGTATTCTAATATATTGAATACACAAAATAAATGTACAAGTAATCTAATAATGTATAATACAAAATTTAACGAAAGTTAAATAATAAATTTATCATGTAAAATTAGTTTGAACACACATATAAGTCCATATGTGTATCTTTTAAACATAATAGTCCTACATAGTAGAGTATAAAACACAACATTAACTTTTACCGGGCATCATTTGTTTAATACATTATTCGTACTTCCCAGATTAAAAGGTTGCCAGGAATAGAATACAGCAAAGAAGAACAATTGCAGAAGCTAGAAACTCTTCGCAAACAGCTCAGGCTTAAACGGGAGCTTTTATTAAAATATCGTAATATGTGCACATTTGAAGTTCCAAAAGTATAGACATCTGCTTCATTCCTGGTAAACGGAAAAAATCACATCAACATGCGTTTCTTTCGTTCTTTATTTATATACTTCATGAATAATGAACGGTTAATCAATAGACTGGCAGAATCGAAGCCAGTGAGGAAAGCTGCACAGTGTGTTGTATATTTTTTATCTAAAACAGGCACATTGCATAGCATGCCTCGTGTTTCAAGTCCTCATGAATTTGTTCAAGAATTGAGAAAAATCGCTCAAACATTCAAAAAGGACTTACAAAAAATAAAAGACGATATTAAGAAAAATTCACCAAACTAGCTCTAATAAAAATGTTGTTACAATGTTTGAGAAAAATAGTTGTTTATTGTACAAAAACTAATTTGTAATTATAACGGTCCAAATGGAAAACAGTAAAACAATATTCAATGTTTTGAACAATTAGACAGATTAATGTAAAAATTTGAATTTCAGTTTTGCCCTAATTAAATATGAAAACATCATTCGTTAAGAAAGTTTTTATTCTTTTATAGTTTAAATACACTGTAGATATAATACGTATAATATGTGTATTAAAACATACGAGTTTATACTGTATACTTCTGAAGCAAGTTATAAATGTATATCGTATCTAAAAAAAATGAGTAATCCTCTTCTGAATTTAACGTAAAATAAATGAACAATACTACAAAGAAAGAACGTCTGAATATATCTGTTATATTTCATAAAACACTAGTAAATGTCTAGCAAGTGGTCGACAAATGTTTTCAAAGGAAAGAAATATTTACACTTTTCGCACAGATTATATTTACTCAATATTATTTCAAGATACATATATGTTTATAAAAATAAAACACTTCATGAGTAACAACGTACACTTCTACATACGTTTTAGAAACACTTTTTTTTTTCAATTTTAATAATTTAGTCAAGATGTGAAAGACAATTTGTACTCTAATAGGGTTGAAAGCACGATGTCCGTTATAAGCAATAAATTCAGGGGTTCTTTCTATATTGTAGAACAGAGATATTATGTCCGAAGGATACAAGTGACCCCTTAATCCAGTAAAATTTCTGTCATTATAAAGTATAGTTTTTTTACATACTTTAATATAAATACTTATCAACATAATACACGTATTTATACAAACAAGATGCTTTAACATTCTTGGCGCTACGTAAACCGAGGGTGTTGCTCGAAAACATTCATAAACTTTCATCCAAATTTTAATCCTTGGTTTAGACACAATTAAAAAAAAATACTGAAATGAAACTAAAATACAAAATTCTCATTATTATTTTCCGAGAATTTTAAAGCAACTCGTATCTGCAGAGTGTGTATATATATTATGTACATGTATATGAATTTTGTACATAAACGACCTTTACACTTTTGTAGGAGGATTTTGTTCTGATAGAGGTTGAATAATACTGTTCGCAGTATTATGAGATCGTCCTCCTCTCCTCCCTCTACTTTTTTTATTCTGGCTCACGCCAGACTTGTGCAACAGATTCTCTTGTTTCGATGCCTGTTCTTCGAACGAAGAACTTGTTTCTGTTCCATCCAATGACTAGTACAATAAAGTAAAATTTATATATTTACCGCTACGGAAATATAAACGTCCTTTTTCTCCCAATTTAAGCGTGTTAACAACGTACTTGCATCACGGACGAAGAGCCCTGGCGACCTTGAGACTTATTCGGTTTATTAGATCTGCTCATCTGCATGGCAATAGTGTTCGAATATGGAATAAGTTTTAAAACGTTGCCCACAGCTTTAGTACGTCCCTCTCTAAACACCATTCGTTGCCCCGGCTTTATATATTCGGGATGTTTTATAAATCTGAAGCGTACCAAAGCTTTATCACCAGTTCTTAAACAATCCTGTGACATAGAGATTATGGACGCCGTTTGTCTTATGCTGCCGCAATGCACTGAAAACAACTTTATACAGTTACAAATATCAATGCGTGTCCAAAGTAAATGTTTGAAACGAAGGAAAAACGTACCCATCGCTTGATAACACGAACTGATTGTTGTCGGATGATGCAACACGAGAATTTCTCCTTCGAATTCCCAGCAAGCCTGCGGATTCAACGCTGGTGCCACCATCACCATACCCTTGCGTATCTGCGATCTCTTAATTTTTTTTAACGCGAAACTTGCAGTCTGACCGCCTCTCACTTCGCGAACAGGCATTCTCTTTCTATGGATACTCTTTACGGTAATTGGAATGAAACGACCTAGAGGATCAGGTCCCAATAATAAAGTGTCATTTAATCTTATGACACCTTTCAAAGTTGTTCCAGAAACCACAGTACCGACACCCTAAACAGAGTATAAAATGAAAATTGTCTTAATATAAAATAGTAAATGTTTTCTTTTTAATAATAAAATTTACTAGTATGCAAATGAATACCTACCGGTACTGAATATGTATCATCTATTTGAAATTCTGCTGGTTCATCGTCGTGACTAGTTATTCTTGCAGTCAATAGATTTAGAAACATTTTCAGAAGATTCAAGTTTTCCCCCGATACATTCGACACTTGAAAAATAGGGCACAACCTATACACAAATACATCGACAGTTGAAGTGACTTGAATATCATAAATAAAATGATGTACATGCGAAAGCTCACCGTTCGGATACAAAATTAGTAGCGCTAACGACGACATCGTCAGACGTTTTTACGGTAACTGGTACTTTTCTGCAGCCTGGAGACTTTAAAATTCTTATCAACAATCTTAAATTTTCTTGTAATATGTTCGGCGGACACATATCAATTTTCGTAACTACGACGAATACTGGCACCGATAAAGCTAAAGCTAACCCCAAATGTTCCTTTGTCATTCCAACAATGCCAGCGTTTGCTCCGACCATTAGCATGCCTTAAACATATTCGTGTATAAGAGTTGTGGATATGAACATGTTTGCGTAAAACAATTACTAAATAGCCTTACCAAAGTCTGGTGCATGCCCAGTCATTCCAAAAACAGTTGTTTTTAAGTATCTTTCGTGACCAGCGAGATCAATAAATGTAATAACTTTCGAAGATTTTTCGCATATTTTCACCCAATCCAAAGATCCATGTTCTGGTTTATTTACAACATTGCCTGAGTATAAGATTCGATATGTGTATACGATTTTATAAAGATTTCTATAATGTATAATATTAGACAAAACATGAGTATCGTACCGACACTATCAAACCCAAGTATATCATTTCCAACTGAACTAGTACGACCTGTTTCAGCCTCGTGCTTATGACGAAATAATTTCTGACGGGCCAGACCTCTGCCATTATCGAGTTCTCCATGTGTGAGTACACCCAATAGTGTTGATTTTCCAGCATCTACGTTACCAACAACAGCCACCCTATGATTAAACTCTGTTAAATTCATTCTTTTTACGTTTAGCTTACAGATAAACACGATAGTTGGTCTCTTAAGATTTTGATGAAATGTGGAGGGATGAATACAATAAGACGAACGAAATATTTCACATAATGGTATCATTCCATTTTTAGATTCATTCCTTCAAACTTCATGAAGGCTCATTGCAGGACCAACCATTGGGCCTCCTTGTTACACTATTTAAAAAAAAATAGACACCTAATCTCTAAGAAATCCTGTCTGTCTAAACGCCTTCGTACTAGGTACTGTCCTACAAGGCCTTGATCTACTTTACTTTGACGTAGAAGCACACAGTCTGCCTCTAATGTTGCTGCAAGAGATTGCAAAGTGGCAACAGATGCTTCATACTCATCCTCTTTCAAACCATCCTCTGAGCCATCTAAAGTGATACTTAAATTATAACTACATTTATCGATAGATCCAAATCTCTGAACATTTTTAGAAGTTATATACAAACCTTCACCTATACCAATGTCAAAAATTGTTTCACTGCCTCCATCTTGAATTCTCTCTTTCAAGCGTCTAAGTAACAGTTCATACTGATCTTCTGATGGACTTACTAAAACACCCTACAATCAATTACAGATTGATGTTATTACAAAATAATGGATATTTTTATTAAAATTAATATAAATTTGAAAAGTATACCTTTCCCCTTATACTAGAATAATCTACATTAGATATGGATGCATGATCTTTCTCATGCAATTGCTTTATAGTTGGTGTCGTAACAGTTCCACTACCTGCCATAATTTATGTTTATATGTACTTCAATGGTTCAACAAATTTCTTTTATCGATCACACAACTATTTGTATATTCTTAAACAGTTTGTAGACACATTAATGTCTTGAACATCTTCCAGTATTTAAATCCAAATCTTCGTCTATAGATCAATTGTATTAGCATATGCATAACTGTCATATGATGAGTTTTATATCAATATAAATTATTTTATCAAGAGTCTGTGCATTGCAAATATTTTACACACATTTTTTACAGTGACTCTGAAATAAAGCCAAGAGAACTATTTCAAAATTCGTAAATATAGAAAAATGTTTTATCGATGCATAAATAAAACTGTCAACTTCCGGAATCTATTTCTAAAATTCACTGTATACGTACGTATAAGGCGTTCACAGCAACAAGAAATTTTAGGAATAAATGTTTGATCGGAGCAATAAGACTTAATATAAATCTTAATTTAAATAAAATAAAGTATCATCGTTTTTACTTTGAGGAACTAACTTTCTTTTAACGCAACAAAATATTTATGTTCATGACACACAGAATTTCGAGTTCTTCCTTATCTTTAGGGAAATATGTTGCTAACATACTGCAAAGCCAAGTTGTCATATATATAAACTTCGAATACAAGAATAAACGGACAATATGAAAGTTAATAGTTCCGTTTACATAAGAGTGGTCACATTCGTTTACCTGCCACGATATGTTCACGTTATGCACTATGTGCGTAATCGCAGAATAAAACTTTACGTGACAGAAAGCACTGATGCACTTACGAAAAATCTGTCAACGATTGCGCGATCTCATTCCATCTCATTCTGTCCGAAATGAAATATATACTTACTATAGCAACTGTTGGTGTCGTATTTAGAGAGTGTAAACCATCGATTAATACTTATCGATAACTTAAGCAATACGATATTCTCGATAATCTTGACGCGGTCGATCTTACATATCAATATTTCAAATTTTTAATTAACATTTCTATTTATACGTAATTTAAGCGAACTTCACTTTAATTATTTTGAAATACACAATCAATAAAAAATTATCCATTTCTTAGGATTGTTCGATTATCGATAAAAATTTTATTACATAACATTATGAAGTATTTGTTGTTTAATTCTGCGCTTTTGAATACGCACAATTTCTTATCATCGCTTTTAAGTGGAGAATTTATTAAGATGTATAATTGCTATTTTATTTATTTTTTAAAATTATTATTATTTCCAAGCTTATTGGAAAATTTAATATCCTTGCTCGATTCTTGTTATGAAAGCGTATTACCCGCAATCCGCAATTTGATACGAATACTTATTGAACGCACCACTAGAGGGCTACGATCGACGAATGATTCTCACAAGTTCTTCATTCAATTAGATGCGTATAAAAACCAATATCTTAACCCAAAATGTCCCCATGATTAAGTTTTGTCACGGTGATCGTCACACTTGAGTGTAATCTGTCAACCTCAGCAGAAAAACAAAAATTGTTTCTCTTGTCTTCCTTTCCTTCTTCAAAATTTAATTAGTGACTGCAAATTAGCACCAAACAATCGCCATTCGTAATAATGTCGTTTCCTAATAAATATATATATATATACTACAAGCACTTCCGGCTGATATAGTGATATGTATAAAATGTGTCATCTCCATGTATTTTTTACCCTTCACGGGTAAATATCCACAAAACAGCTGTTTGGTAGAGATGTTTATCGGAACGTCTTTGGGATGCGTTGAAAGTTCGATTTCTCTCGACTGTTGAGATGATAAAGGATAGTAATGTCGCGACCAAAATGATCATTGTGTAATTCCAATTCTTTAGTAATACGTAACCTCGATCACCCAAGTAGAACTTGTAGGAATTATCATGGCTCAGTGTAAGTTAACCCCTCGCGAATTTATAAGCAATGCCTTTTCACCGCAAATTGGTGCGGTCTGTTCAACCGCGGCTGATGCCACTTGTCAAAAAAACAATTTATCATTCGTCGAACTGCTGCAACCCTTCTGCAAATTAAATACCGAAGGTAAGAATCTCACGGTTATTTTTCATCATTTCTCTCGATGATTCTTAAGAAACTTCTGATGTATCTGACATCCTGGGGATTAGCAAACCTGAATATCTTATAAACGACATACATACTTTAAGTACTGCCATCCAGAAACCTATTAATAGGCTTTTGATTGACAGTGAGAAAGTGTTATTACATTGTGTTAATTGGATTATCTTATTGATTTCTGATTGTAATAAGTAATGTGTGATTAAGTTTATTAATATCTGTGGATATGTTTAAAGGAAGTGTGACAAGAATGTTTGATAAAAGAATGTATGTCTAAAGGTTCACAAAAGCACTTGTACCTCTTAAATTTTACAGAAATATTTTGTGTGAAAGTAACTTTCTATGGGGTTATGAAGGTTCCAAGATATGCTAGCAGGATTGTACTCAATTAATAAATCATTTTAATTAAGTAAGACAGAGTTCTTTTATTGCTTTAAGGTTGGCGAACAAGTTTCAATTTTCTTCAATGTAACATTTGCGCAAAGATATACAAGTGTTTTTACTTATTTCTTAATTTATATTAATGTGGTTTTTTTTATTTTTATAGGTCATTTTAAAGATCCACAAGGAAATACTGTGACTGTTAGGAATCTTCGACTTTTTATACAAGATGTTAATGCCCACCCACCCGAAGAAAGTGCAGCTAATAAAATGTTGAACGAAGCAGTCGGTTCAGTTATGTGTGAACATACAACTTCCATTCGAATTGGAACTACAGAGCTCGATATACCTGTCTCAGTTCCTTGGTTCGAAGCGTGGAGAGAAATGTTTCTGAGTGTTCAATTCCCATCAGACCATGAATTCACTAAGCATTTCCTTGCTTGTATGATAGTTGTTTCTACAGCAGAGGACAATCCGTTGGAGAAGATACAAAACATGGGTGCACAGTTACATCTGAGTATACCTGGGAAATTGCCGAAATGGTTCAATAATAATACGCTTAGATACTACATCTTAGTGCATGATACTGTACAGGATGACAGGAACAAGTACGTATTTTCATCTTATCTTCCAACTCTTTGTAAGTCAATAAGTCCATTTATTCTAATGACATTTGTGATCTTTGTAGGGCTGAAATAGTTTTTACAGAAATGAAAAATATTTACGGTGCTAATAATTGTTTTTTATTACAAATGAATTCAAGACCACCAGGTCAAATTGACGACAATACTCATTTGCCAGACCCTTGGAGTCAATTTTTAGCGAAGCCTTCAGATACGTCCGTAAGTAGTGGGCAAAGTAGCTCTCCCCGTACGCCTGCGGATATCGGTGGTGTTTCTTCCATGCCGAGTGAAGTTATTACAGACACAGAGAAGTATGTCACTAGATAAAGTGCATTACATCTCTTTGAAAGTTCTCCAAATGTATCTGTAAATTTTGTACTTTAGGACAAGCCAAGCTGGAACTCCAATAGCCCCACAAAGTTCTGTATTGCTTTCTCCGGATGAAAATAGTACTGTTAGTTTTTCTTCCGGAGTATCCGAATCAGTAAATACACATTTAGAAGTTGGACAAGAAGCTGTTTCCGTTACGGTTCATCCTTTAAGCCCGACTGTTGAGGATACAGAAAGTTTAAGTTCTGTTGTACATACAAAAGGACAAGCAGTTAGTGATACGCCGATCAATGTTAATGTTTGGGCAGATTCTCCTAGTTACGTAACTACCCAACATGGTGCTAGATTGTCTACGCAAGATCTCGAAAGACTACGAACATTAATAACGGAATTTTGTTTGAAAAGTTTATTGCCATATGTAGAAAAACAAATTGGTCTATTGAACGACGTAATATCGAATAAGAAAGGTGTCAGTAGATCACTTTTCAGCGCAACAAGACGATGGTTCGGGACAAATAAGCCTGGTATACCAGGACCCACTCCGTCGAATGCTGTAATGTATGTTGTTTTATAACTATTTACGTACCGTCCCTTCTATATAGTCCTAAATCATGTAGTGTGTTAGATATGAAAGACATTGTGAAAATTGCATATACAAATATATAAAGATCCAGCTTCTTTGGATTTCAGTTATACAACAGAATCTCCAGAATTACAGTTACGTCGGTTAGGTGACTTGTGTTTCATGTTCGGTCACTATTCGCTTGCTTACCAAGCGTATCATAGCGCGAAGAGAGATTTTGCAGCGGATCAAGCTTGGCTTTATTATGCAGGTGCTCTAGAAATGGCTGCTTTAAGTGCATTCATGCAAGGTGAAACGAATAGAAAAACTCTCGAATATATGGACGATGCGATATTGACTTATCTGAACAGTTGTAAAATGCCCCAGTTTGCGACAAGAGCAACGCTTCTCAGCGCTGAATGTTTAAAGGGCCGAGGTTTGTACGGGGAAGCGGCCAAACAATTGATTCGTATGACCAGCGAAAAATCAGACTTACGTTCCGCGCTTTTGCTGGAACAAGCAGCCTATTGCTTTATTGGACCGAAAATGATGCGAAAGTATGCATTTCATGCTGTTCTTGCTGGTCACAGGTTTTCGAAAGCAGGCCAAAAGAGGCATTCGTTACGATGTTACCAACAAGCGTACCAGGTATTTTTAATTATTTAAATAAAAATAATACAGTAGCTGGATCTTATTTTTCTTACACGTTTACGTATCTATTTATTAGGTGTACGATGGAAGGGGTTGGTCGTTGGCTGAAGATCATATACATTCTACTATCGGTACACAAGCAGCATTATTGAAACAAGTTGGCGAAGCAGTTAAAGCATTTGTGAAGTTGTTAAATGCCTACAGTAAGCAAGGAGCTCCGCAGCAGGCAAAATTTTTACATGATTTTTTAAATGTCCATAATGTGCGTATTTATTGCTACTGCTTGTAAATAGTTTCTTACATCATGTGCACTGAATTCATTCAATGTTAATCGTTATGTATTATAGTTATTGTTACAGGAAGGTTTATCAAATGGTCACGAGCTTCCTACCTTGCCTTTACCATTGGTAAATAGCGATAATATTAAAGTATTATATGGCCCTATAGCGAAACCATATGAAAATAAGATTCCAGCAAGCCATCTTTCATTTAATACCGAAGATTGCGACGATGTAAGATGGTATAAAATGGAGGAAATGTTAATAACAGAAGCTCAAGGATCGCCACCTATGATAATGAAACCATTGGTTGCGTTATATTCCAAAATAAGTAACAATACCGTGAAAGCAAACGCGGTTTTGGATGAACCGGTGCATTTTTGTATCGAGTTGTATAACCCGTTACACATACCGCTGCCATTGTCTAATATCACCCTGTTATGGTTGTTCACTTCTGCCGATGGACAAGTTACAAACGAAATAAAGCTGCTAGAGAGCTTGAAACCGATAGAAGCGCAGATAATAGAAACAATTATTTTGCAACCAACTTGTGGACAACATATAACATTGTATCTTGTACCAAAACAAGTAGGAGAATTAAAAGTGTTGGGTTTAAGCTATGATTTATCTAATCCAACGATAGCTGTTAGTGGAAAAAGGTTATTTGAAATCAGAGGGCCTAAACTAAAGAATGTTAAAGAAAAACCCGGTACAAATATGTACGGTGTAGATTATAGATTAGAAATGAATGTTATCGAAAAGGCACCGTGTCTGCAGGTAACACGAATACGCTTTATTAAATAGAAATACATCTTTAATATGTTTACACTCTCATCACAAAAATTCAATCTTTTTTTTTGTAGGTTTACTTCAGTAACTTAACCTCGAAGATATTATGTGGTGAAATTCAAAAAGTAGACGTTACATTAAGGAATGTAGGGAATGCACCGTTGACAAATGTATACTTAGCGTCCACAGATGCAAAACTATTTTCATTGGGCGAAGAGTACGTGAATACACAAGGTAAATTTAATTAATATGTTTTGCATTATTCTTACAGCGTTAAATAGAAAAACAATCGATAAATTTACATTAGCGTATTGCTTTTTATTTCAGAGTACGCGACAAAGAAAAGTAACAAACTTATAACGAAAATTCCGTTACCTTTCGATACCAATACATTAAATGTCGGCGAGAGTTGCACAATACCATTATGGATGCGTGCACCCCATGAGAAAGGTGATCATCGTTTAGACTTACTTTTTTACTACGAGAACATTGATTCGAAGAGCACGATAAAATACCGACTGTGCAGACACACATGGCATTTCACGGTTTTGGATTCGGTGCAGATCAGCGCGATCGCCACCAGGAGCGTATTATTTAAGGATGTTTCGCCGACACTGAACTTAATAGTGTGCGTTAAAAATGCAAGCCACGTTCATGATTCCATTACCAATGAAATCGTATTATCGAAAGTATTGTTCCAAAGTGACACGTGGTCTGTGTTCAGTTCGTCTGTCCTGTCAATCGAGATTAAAATACAGCCTCAGGAAATGTTTCATTTGATGCTCAAGTTACGAAAGAAGAGCGAAGGCGAGTCAGTATTCTCTGACGTGTTCCTCACTCAAGAACCCGACAGCGCAGCGTCGAATGCACAGAATTATCCATACATTAGTTTCATACAAAGACGGCATATACCATCGTTAGATGTGAATGAAAATTCGATCGATACACAACAGCCATTTCAACGGTCGCTACAAAATGCAGAGCAGCCGTTTTTGTCTGCTGCCGTGACATTAAATTCCACTTTAATCCTTAAATGGCAGGCGAGAGCAGTTGAAGGCGGAGTTGTTACGAGACACGTGATTGGTCAACATCATCTCGACCTCGAGTATTTGAATAAAACTTACAAGCATCCTAAAGAAATTCAACTTGAACCGAACGAATACGAGGGACGGTTGAAAATATTCGGACCGGATAGAAATGTGCCCGATTCGTCGACTGTGACGAATAAAGAGCAAACATTAGAAACAGAATTTTTGAAAAACATCATTTCCTTTTCGTTGAGTCACGCTAGGCAAATTTCGCATAATTTCGATCAAAATCGATTGTGCTTCGTTCCAGTGATAATGTACATACAGAACCATTTAGAATCGCAAATTGACGTTAAAGTCAGTACAATCGGCACTAGCAGGTAAATATTACTAACATTCTACGATTTTTTATAAACATCACGTGAAGAGGAATTTGATAAATATTCAAATTATTCTGTTTTTTTTTCTTCCTTTGCAGTGGCACGCATCTTCCAAATATAAAATCACAAGTATACTCACCACAGGCGTCTACGTTCTATAGATACGCATGTCATTCGGCGATTTCGTCTCATATTGAACCACTTGCCAGCAGTACTGTAAAGTTACAAGCTGTACTTCCAGCCTCTGGAACGTACGATTTAGCAGCGCGTGTAGAAGTCTCTGTAAGAGTTGTAAATACTAGGGAATTCATCTTACAGAAATGGAAAATGGAGAGCATATGTATTATTAATGGTGATAGTAAATAATTAAAACTACGAAGGTATCATTATTATGAATACTAAATAATGGAATAAATTAATTTCATTTATGTAATTTATAATCATTCCTTAACGTGATGTAAATATCTAATATAGGGTCAAATTACTATTATTATATCTTTAATTATGAACATAATGTGTATTATTTAACGCGTCCCATTTTTTTTTCTTTTGTATCTTTTTCAGATATATTAGAATATAAGTGAATTTATATATGTTTTTGAATATATTAAATATTTGTTACAGCGTGGTCAATAGTACCTGTACCAGATGGGATATAGTTCAGTCAGAAAAGATTGTTGTAGATTATATTATTATAAATCGATACATTAAAGTCGTTTTATGTACAAATATGCTCAGTTATGACCCTTCGAGTAAGTGTCGAAATTGAATTATGGAAACGATATCATAAATATATTTTTTGGACCAGCATTTCATATCTTTTAAAGCAGCATAGGGAGAACCATTTATGGGCGTATAATTACGGAATGCTGTGAACAATATATAAATGAAAATAAATGATAAATTTCTTACAATAAAAAATTTAAATCATTGAATGAAAACATATATTAACATGTTGATACAGTAACATTGTAGTTAAACATAAGAATAAATGTTTAAAACCCAATGAGTATCATATCAAATAATTAGAATAAATATAGTTATGAAAGTAATATGAGTCTATATACAGAGTTAAGTTACACAAATTGTATAATAATATCTCTAATTAATTATTCGCAGAACTTACAAAATAAAAATTTTTCAAAACACTGGGAACCATTAAAACACAATAACACTTTTGATTATTTCTTATGCATGGTAACTTATATTTTATACATTTAACATCACACAACAATCTTGCTAAACGCTTTTACATAAATAAATATAGAAATATAGAACACTGAATCGTGTAAGTAATAAGTTATAAATGTATAAACTGTTGTGTGTATAGATTACACATGGTCGCGCACACAAGCGCACATGCAACAATACTGACATTCTGACTTAGCATTATTTATACAGAATAATTTACATTTCGTATAGTCAGTATTAAATAACATTGTGGCAAGAAGGTTCCTGAGTTAAGTTATATGAGTGTAGTTACATACAGACAATTCGAATCACGTAAAATATATTAACTAAACAATAACATTGAGTGATAATGAAACAAAACAATTATATATATATATAAAACAAAACCAAATTAAATATGTTAAACAAATATTCCGTATTTTGTAACTTTCTACGAAAATGAACATTCTCTTTGCCCATATATATGCATATACTTTTCCATGTGTAGAAAAATTATAAATTTCTTTTCATTTATTCTTATCCATCAGATATTTTAAGATATATATGTATAATATAAATATACGCAGGTGTATTTGTGTGTAAATTTCGATATTTCTTATAAGTTATTAGTTTGTATATTCATACGTTTGCAATAATGGTTTCGGTAAATCTGTTTGTACGATCTTTCAATCTGCTATTTCGAATAGAAATCGTTCTATATAAAATTAATGATTCTTTTCGAAAACCATAGTGAGACAATTTGTACGTTTGTTCGCATATCCATAAGGTTTAGCAATTTTTGTAAACTTTCCTATGCTGATTTCCATATGCATATCGCTAAGTTCCCAGCGCAATACATATACAGCAGGTGTTTGAGCTGATAAGTTATTTCGAACCCGTAGCCCTCGCCCACAACAGTGTGCCACGAAGCGCCGAATTTTTTGTCCATTGTCTCTTTGATCATACGAGATACGCTTTCGTAATTATCTGCATATTTCTCCGCTGCAGTAACGCATAGCTCCATTGCTTCCTGCTTCATTTCATCTGACATATCACATTTCTACAAATATAACAAGTTAAATAAACATTGACTATATTCGGAAAAATATTGTATCGAAATAATACCATTTTAAGAATAACAATACAATAATATACTACTATATAATTAATTTGAGTAATTCTATAACACTTAAAGAATTCTGAATGTGCGAAAACTACCTATCTTCCGTGTGTAACTTCTTCTATTGATCAAACCTTGATGACAGTAGCTAAATTCATTTCTTTCCAATATATTTCGTAAATACACTTTGCGTGAATTTTATTTTACTTACTCTGCAAAGAGGATACGTATGCAAAATTTTAACCACATCATCTTTCTTCACTTCAGTCATTTTTTTAAACTAAAATTACATAAAAGACGGATCAGGTACTGTTGCTCCTATTATCGGGGACAATGTAGAAATTGCCGTCTTCCAGGCGCACGTTTCACCCCTCAGCCCCTACGCAGGGGCTCTCAATTGTGGCCTTCTCTTAGGGCTTAGGGGTTACATTTTTCAAATTTATTTATTCTACAGTGTAGAATCTACATATATAAAATATAGTTCGTATTTAGTACAATAGTTTAACTAAAAATAAAAAATTATTTAACTTTATGAGACAATGTAAATATTTAAAAACATGTTTCAAATTAATTAAACATTATATTTCTTAATATTCTTCATTCTTTCAAACGCGAGGAATTGTTGTTCAAGTATTATACTTCATATTTCCATAATTTCAAGTAGGGTTATGGTTTCAATTAGAAAAGGTGGGTGAAAGGTGGTGATCGAATCCGGAAAGTTTGATAATTTGTAAGATTTCTAATTACTTATACAATGTTAAGCAAATACAGTTTCTAAATGAATAAAAAAGGCATATGAACGTGATACAAATTGTATCAAACCTAGAGAAACGTCAGACTGAATTATTAAACACTTTTGACAGTTCTATATATAAAGGTTATTTCATGAAATCAAAACACTTAAATATTCGATAGTGTTAAACTGTGTATCTCTGTTTTTTTAAATAAAACTAATATAAAATATGCTTAATGTATTAATGTAATATTTAACTATTTCTTTCAGACAAACATGACATCGCGATTTAGCGGAGCATTACAATTAACCAATTTGGATGATTTTATCACTCCATCTCAGGTATTTCGATTAATTTTATTTCTTCTAATATGTATTGTTACTAATAGTTTATTTTGGTTTTTAAGGAATGTATTAAGCCAATTGAAATTCAAGTATCAAAAAGAAAGACTGGAGCAAAAATAAAAATAGAGGAAGATGGTACTCCTTCGGTGCTTAATGAAGTATTTTACTTTATTGTATATCTCTCTAAAATGGACTTTACATACTGTATCATTATATACTTTTATCTTGCTTTATTTATATTGTTTCCGTTAGATTGGGCTATCAGAAAAATTACAAAAAGTTGAAATCACACTTGCCGATTGTTTAGCTTGTAGTGGTTGTATTACATCGGCAGAAAGTGTACTAGTTACGCAACAAAGTCAAGAAGAATTACTACGAGTATTTAGAGAAAAGGTGTCTCAGTGTCAGGTAATCATCATTGAAATTAGCAGCTCACAATACATGTAACTCAAAAGTAATATTATTTATGTGCATGTTCCAGAGTGGGGATGGTACATGTTCTACATACATAGTGGTCAGCCTTTCCGTGCAAGCAGTCTTGTCCATAGCAGAACGTTATGATTTGAATCCAGAAGAAGCATTGCGCAAACTTGCGGGTTATTTTTATCAATTAGGAGCAGATGCAGTTCTGGACATGACTGTAGCTGATGATTTTGCTCTTCTGGAGTCTGCCAAAGAATTCGTAGAACGTTACAAGACAGCTAAAAGTGGTGTAAAAACTCAACTACCAATGTTATCTTCTTCTTGTCCAGGTAACGCATGCAGCGTTGAAAGTAATAAACTTATACTGTGTAATGGTTCTACGTATTTCTATATTTTTTAATATAGGTTGGGTATGCTATGCTGAAAAAACCCATGGAAATTTTATACTTCCTTATATAAGTATAACGAAATCCCCTCAACAAATTATGGGATCATTGGTTAAATACCATTTAGCTGAATCTATGGGTCTTCCACCGGAGCAAGTGTATCATGTTACTTTAATGCCTTGTTACGATAAAAAATTAGAGGCATCCAGAGATGATTTTTACAACCAAGAAAGAAATTCCAGAGACGTGGATTGCGTAATAACTCCAAGTACGTACTTGCTAGTGTGACTCGTAATACAGATGCATGTTATACTTATTTACATCAATTATTACAGTTGAACTGGAACAAATGTTCAGAGAATACAACATGGTATTAAACGAAGTAAACGAAAGAGAAATTAAGAGACCTTTCGGACCGCAAATTGATAATATGAAAAGTGACCTTTATGGTCATAATGGCTCAGGATCTGGTGGTTATGCGGATTTTATTCTCCGTTATGCCGCGAAACATTTATTCGAAGAGACAAGTATACACGTTGAATTTAAAAGTCTCCGAAATCCTGACTTTCAAGAAGCGTCGTTTCAGAAGGATGGAGAAACGCTTTTAACATTTGCTATCGTTAACGGGTTCAGGAACATACAAAATCTTGTACAAAAATTGAAACGAGGAAAATGCCCATATGATTACGTTGAAGTTATGGCGTGTCCCTGTGGTAAGTTTCCTTCAAACTGTAGTATTATAAAGGCAATATGGTGTATTCATAATTTCAATATAATTAATAGGATGTCTTAATGGAGGTGCACAAATTAGACCTTTAAATAATATTCAGCCACGCGAGTTAGCACTAAAATTAGAATCTACATATCGTGAACTTCCTCGGAATGATCCTGATAAAAATCAGGTTGTTAAGAATTTGTATAAAACTTGGCTTGGAGGAGAGTACACGGATAAAGCTTTGGCGTACTTCCATACACAGTACCATGAAATTAAAAAAATGAATACAGCTCTCGCAATAAAGTGGTAATTACAGTGGATATTCTTCATTTTACCGTTAGGTTATCACATAACGCTCTAGTACTTACAATATTTTGTAATATTAAAAGGAACATGAAATCTATGCTTTAAATATGTATATGATAAAGTTTTTGTAAATAACCCATGAAATAAAACTTTATTTATTAATAAGTAAATATGTAAACATAAATTCGGGATTCAATGATAGTAGCAATGGTAGTGTATTAATTAAACAATAGATTTATTAGATACAACTACTTTACAAAAAGTAAAACACAGCTCAGCCAACATAAACTATACTTTTTTTTCTTTATAAATAATCATCTTATAACTAAGTCTTTTCAGTATAACACTAAAATGTACAGCAAATATAAAATGGTACACAGTTTGTATACCAACTATTTTTTTTATCAAATTTACAAAGTCATATATATTTGTTAAAAATGCAAAAGATTGTCTTTCATAGTATTCCATATTCTTTAATGCAGTAATCTAACGTGACTAGTAATAAATATTAAAAAAAAAAACAATAGTCGTTCCAAAGGAAAGCAATATACTTTTTGCTTAATAGTGTAATTCTACTTTGTACATGTTATGAAATAATATTCTAAAATTTCTGCATGTAAAGGAATATTTTATCTTCTTACTATAATGTGTTATTTCCGAACTTACATACAATGTAAACGAATTAGTGATTCAACGTACTGTACTTTGTAGTTAATAATACTGGTGAAGTAATTATAAATAATCCAGACATGAAAGTAGAAATATCATGAAATAGTTCTACTTAATACAATGACATCCATTTTAAACAAGAGTATACTATACACAGTTACTATACACAATACTTTAAGCACTATTACGTTTAAACAAATATTTATTTCGACTTTGTTAAAGACGATTATATATTACAAATATTAACTTATTTTTATAGTTATAATTAAAGTAACACGTAACAGTTTTGTCACAACATCGTATTCAAAGCAACAATCAGTGACACATAATATTATCTATATTTCAACTTGTTAAAATTTCTTTTTTTAATTTAATAAACATATAATCACAATTAGAATATAACAAAACCACAGTTTAAACAAACAACCTTCTAGCATTATGTATTAACATAATCAGAATCGAAAATTGTTTTTTTATACATAAAAATTTATATGTAGCGTTCAACTTTTTCAATTCCCCGGAATGAAAACTTTCTGATCTATTGTTGCTTCCATTCTATATGTATTTTGGCCTGAAGCATCAAGTATATAACTTAGACAAATTAACATGTTCACTGCCCTAGTCTAGCATATACTTCCCACTTGTATATCCCACGAAACAATAAAGGTAACTTAAGGTATACATTGTATGTAAAGCAAGAACAGGAAGAATGGCTGTACATCACGTACGATGCACAGGACAGTGAACGTGTTAAAGAATTACCTAGAATTTTTATTATCTACAAATTCTTCATTTTCATTCATTTCTTTGGACTCCTCCTTTTTCAAGTCTACACCTGTATAACCATTTTCAATGTATGTAACCGAATCATGATCTGTACTGATCCCCTCATTGTTTGCATAAGTATTCATTAACCATCCTTGATTACTACCTACTTCTGTTGACACAACAAGAAACAACTCCTTCTCCTTGCTGTCTATCTGGTCCTTCAGATACAAGAGTAAATCATGATCCTAATAACACAAGAATCGTCAATTAAATGTAATAACGTATTATTTGTATCTTGCTTATCTTAGTTAGGCAAATGTGTTAGATATATTTTTTTTCCAACCTTTCCTATGAGTTGTGGAGAATCAAGCTTCGAATCGAGATTGTAAAAGGCACCATGAATTTTCTTCAAGGCAATCCAATGACGCCTTTTCAAAGGAAGTAATACGAATCCTAATTTATATTCTGTTGGTACATTCAATATGAAGCCTTCAATGTTGTCTAAACATAGACATTGTGGATCTCTGAAAAATCATTGCAAACATTGAAGAAACAAAAAATTCTATACAATGAATTAAAAGATTTGCACTATTCTGATAAAAAGTATTTTTAATTTTTTTTAGTACACAAACCTGCGTTTATCAAACCAAACTGCTTCTCGTCCTTTTTCTTGTAATGCTGCCATAATAACATTAATATCATAATTACCAAGCCCTAACAATGATTTATGAGGATTAATCCATACGTCTGGACTTAAATTGTAACAAATCTTATCTAATTCTTGTTTACTAAATCCTCTCTCTTGAAACAAGTTGTTCAATGCATGTAAAGCACAAAGCTCTTTTACCTGTGAAAGATACCAACAGAGACATCATACATTATGGATCAATATAGTTTTTAATATTATAAAATTATAATTAAAACATTTGATAAGTTACTTGTCTTTCATGGTATATGGATCCAGTCATATCAGCTACTGTATTTGCAACCATTTTATTTACATAATTTTCTTTCTATGTTATACTGTCAATTTTACCAGTGAATAAATTGCATTGTTCACTGGAACTTGTATCGTACAATGAAACTTAAAGTACTTTCCAATAATTGTACTGATAGTCTTCAGTATCTCGTAACTCTGTCAACAAAGTGAAGCAGTTATTCGCTAATATTTAATAGCAGACTGTATCAGTCATAAAATAATTATAACTGAAGTACATACTGCATCGGAAAACAAATACTGCCACTTCGGAATACAACACTATTTCACAACAAATCAATGAATACTAACGCCGACAAATATCGATATATTATATCTGTAGTTCGTTTACATTCATTCATAATTACAGTTTGTCGGATATATCACAAGACGGATTTACAATTACATTCACTTTTATAATTCGTAAACGCCAGTGTTCAATGACGATACGCAGTATCATATTACGATTAGCCAAGTCTACTGATGTTATGTAAACTAGAAAACGATATTGCTGATTGGAGATTCTTGGACAACTTGCTAAGATATTATAGTACCTACTTTGTAAACTGTTCGTAGTATTCAAAACTTGCAATGTAATCTTTCCGTAAAGTAACTGATTTTTAATTATATATTTTATTTCACGACTGTATTAATTGTAATGTTACCGATATTTTTCCACTGTAAAAAATTGCGCTGATATTGGTCAACCTGTTAAACGCGAGATGTCATATATTGTATGGTTAACTCAAATATCCATATAGGAATATGAACTGATGTGACTTGTTTGGAATTTAAATGTAAGATCTTCTAAAGATGCTACACCATTGTTATAGGAAAATTGAATTATTAGAACAGTTAATATCTTCAAAGCGTTTTATGTTTAAATGACATTTTTCCCATTAAGCTTGAAATGGATATTGAATATAAACTCCTAAGAGAAATAGATTGTAAACAAGGAGCTGTCCGAGCTGTACGATTTAGTGGTATGTACAGTTTTTAGTCGGTCTGTTTATGTTTGGTATTGATTTTTTTACGAAAAAATGTATATTTATATCTAACATTTTCTAGTCGATGGGACTTACTGTTTAACTTGTGGGTCTGATAGAAAATTAAAATTATGGAATCCGCACAGAGGGGTTACTTTAAAAACATACGGAGGACACGGAGACGAAGTAATGGATGCTTATGCATCTTGCGATAGTAGTCAAATTATTTCTTGTGGATTGGATAAATCAGTTATTCTCTGGGATGTAGCAACTGGGACCCCTGTTCGTCGTTTTAGAGGACATGTAGGTCCTGTTAATACAGTAAGGTATGCATGAATAGCATGAAATGAGTAGTCCTATTTATCTAATGAATAGTTTGCCAGTATTTTCAAATTATATACTAGTTAATCCAAATGTAATGAAGTCAATTTTCATTCTAATATTAGATTTAATGAAGAATCTTCTATGGCTATTTCTGGATCAAGAGATAACTCAGTTATGTGTTGGGATGTGCGTTCTAAAGTTCAGGATCCTGTGCAATGTTTAGGCGAAGCTAAAGATTCTATTTCTGGTGTCAGGGTGTCGGACCACGAAATTCTAACAGGCTCATTTGATGGCAAAATACGCAGATACGATATCCGTGTTGGTGAAATGTATGCAGATTATATGGGAGGTTGGTAAATGTCATAAAATGTGCCTAGGCAAAGTATAAGTGTATCAAATATTAATTATAATTATATATAATAAATACATTGTAGATGCAGTCACATGTGTTAATTTCACACGAGATGGTCAGTGTATAGTGGTCAGTTGTGCAGATGCTGTAGTCAGATTAATGGACAAAGATTCGGGAGAATTGCTTGGAGAATTCACAGGTCACTCTGCAGATAATTTATGTCTGGAATCAAGTGTTGATGTTCAAGATACTCGTATTCTCTCTGGTTCAGCCGATGGAAAACTATGGATCTGGGACCTAGTTTCTCAAAAAGTAGTCGCCAAACTTTCCGGTTTTAAACCGACTAAACATCCTCTAGTGTCCTTGAGTGTACATCCACAGACTAATTGTTTTTTAGCTGCGAACGGACCCACTGTCGTAATGTGGAGCACTGAATCTTCAGTGCAAGAATAGTGCTTTATAAAGAACATTTTAATATGTGTATTATATATTGTTACGCTGTGGCGTTCCGCCACACGACATAACAGTTTTATTATAGAATACAACACAACACAACGTTTATTTATAACTGTACAACTGTACAACGTTATTTATATATAAATATGTACAACTTGATTATAGTACATTTGTTCTCTTTCATGTCATATCAGAGACTCTCTTTTTAAATATTCGCGGTTGTCAGCGTAACGATCGACTGATTCACAAATCGATCCTCGGAGTCAGAGGCATCTTCAGTTATAACGCGAAGCCAGCTTCGTAGCTTCAAACGTCACAACAATATTATAAGTAACAATGCTATGTTATAATAAAGTTCCTCTACCACGTCTTTGCTTTAAGCAAGTAAGGGATATTTAATAAAAACAATTAATGTTAGTGTGATATACACGAGAGAGAGGTGTGGTTCCACCTTCGGTAAATTATAAAAATATTATGTAAAGACAATGTTGGTTGAGGTGATACAGCGGGGTTTGACCAGTAGCGCGGCGAACCTAAACATCGCGTGGTTCGAATCCAGCGCCAGAGGATCATTTTCACGGTAGCAACACTATTTAATAGTTTCAGTTTTGCAGCATTTTATTATTTAATATACGCTACGCCTAACAAAGAAACCACAGCTTTCCTGTAAAATATCATCGCGTTACGAACGCGTAGCGTTTCTCCGGCTGTGCATGAAAAAGATCGAATATGGGTTAGGTTACGCTGGGTCGAAGAAAACAGGCTACGGTACGCACGAGCGTAACGTTACGTGCGTTCTAGAAAGAGAGGGTAGGAGATCGGTGTACGAAAAGAAACGAGAGGAAGCACCTGCGCGCGCAGGTGGCGCGATGTCGGTGCGTCAGAATCAGTGGTCGCCACCATCTCACCCGGGTGAGGGAGAGAAAAAGAGGGAACGGTGTCCGTATAGCCGTGAGAGAAATAGAATAGGCTGCGCAGGAGTAAGAAAGGCCGACGGATTCCGTACAGCGAATGAAAAAGACGGAAGAAACGGGAGAGAGAGAAAGAGATATACAGCAGGAGAGACACCACGGAGGTGCTCGCACACGGGGCGGGCCTGCCAGTCTCAACCACTCCGTGGAGTACACTTTTTATTCTGTACTCGAGTACGCAACCACTCTCAATTGTCGGCTGTTTTGCACCTACCACAATCGAGGGAATCCGTGGCTCGCCCGATGCGGGAGTGGAGGCTGTTGGACCGCCGCGTGGTCTTGCCAGACTTTTCCCAGTAATCATTCAGTACACCGTGAGTGAGGATTGTTGTTGTTGTTGTTGAGATCGATCCCCTTCCCCCCTTCCCGTCCGGCTCGCCGGCTGTCAAAGTCACCGGAAAAAAATCTAAGGCTGTATTTCTGTGATCGGGTAACGGTTACGAACCGCCCAGAGACGAAATCGCGAAGATCCGACGGTGTCTCAGTGTTAGTGGTTGAAAGAGTGGTGGGTGGCGGATACGAAGAAGACGGGTGCGCGAGGAACGAGGGTTGTTATGGGGCGAAGCTGTCTGGTGGTACTTTCGCCGCTGCACTTGCTGACTATATTCGGCTTCTTCGCGGCGGCCAATGTTTTCTCTGACAGTAAGTTGCATTGTTTTTCTTTTCCTTTCGACGTCCAATAAGAACGAAATAGAGAAAGGTGGGTTGAAGGTGGTGGGGAACGGGTGTCTCGTTGAAAAATGCATGCGATCATGCAACATTTGTTGAATGACAGAGAGAGTACATTATATGGGATGTGCCTTGCACCGGTGTGTCGCTTACATAACCGACATATTTCGCATGCATTTTCGGCGGAAACATTCTTGCTGGTCGGTTAGACCGTAGAACGCGGGAAAAGGGTGAACATCGCGCCGATATGAAAGAATATCTGACGCGCGGAGCTCGATATCTCGGCGATCGCTACGAGGGGGATGCTGGTGGCGTGAGAGATACGTTGCTCTGTAAATGGGGGAAGACCGCGATAGATGGAAGCACGTGAAGACCTCGGCACACTCTTGTGCTTTTGGTGCGATTCTGGCGCAGTATTGGCCACGTTTTATTTAATATGACAATAAAGTAATGAAGTCGAGCAATGCATACTAAAATGAGAATAATGAATCCTCGAATCAAAAATAGCTGACTTATAATATATTTCATCGGTATTTAGGAATTTTATATTGAGTACAATGAAAGCGGTTCGTAAGTTACTATGTTTTATTTTAGAGAAACGTTGGACGGTGCGAATGGGGGTGGGGGGGCATATACGGGGAAAGAAAGTGTCAAATAATTTATAAGCATAACATATTCTATCAATATAAGTTTACAAATTAATTCTGAAGGAGATTATAGGTACTTTATTTCATCATAGATTTACAATGCAGAATACCGAACGTTCTTGAAACCATTCGACATTTTTGGAATATTTCAAAATCTTTCTAGTTCCTTCCTAAGGAAATATTAAATTTACATCAAAATGGAAGGTAGGAATGCAGAATATCTTATATAAATAATATATTGACTAAATGTTCCTTGGCATGGAGGTGCCTATAACGTTGACGCAAACACGAACAAAAAGAATTTTAATAAAAAAAAGGAACGTACGGTACTTGTTAACGTCATCAATTTACACAGTGACTCGAACTTATACGTAGACCTATTGGGTTGCTGCGTAAATTCTGTTGATTCAGTTTTTGTAATGTATCGTCGAAAGTGTCCAAACTTTTCGAGCAACCCAAAATGTTAACGGTTCCGGTATGAACGAGCCAAAATAATACACCACTTTCAAGTCCGGACATCCTTGGAAATCCGAGGACAAGCATTCGGTGTGTACACAATTGAAGTTTTCGTTTCATTTCCCTTTTCCCGATTATGCAATTATCACAAACAATACGGGAACTCACGCAAGAATTTATTTCCTTACTTTCAAAGAAAACCGATCCTTTATGCCCACCCCCCTCCATTTCTTTCGTCTCTTTTCACGTCAGAGACGTGGTATCAGATGTATAACAGGAAACTTCTTTGGAAACACGACTTGTACTGAGTAATTTTATTTTCAGAGAAAAAAAAATCACAGATGTGGAGTTTTTAAATTTGATTAATACGATCAAGGGATAGGCTGTACGGCATAGTTTGCTTTATGTATTTGGGCAGATTGTCACCCTTTGTTGTTTTGAATGTATTTAGATAACGGATAAAAAATATGTCGGATCGTACGTCAAGTGTCACTTTTATCGATCACCATTGTGATCATCGGATCAAGGGGGGCGGGGGGCTACAGTCCTCACTTTGCAGGGGGCTGCAATCTAAGCCTTCCATTTATGTAAAAACACATATTGATCCTTGATATCCTGCATCCCTATTTCTGTCGGTGTAACGTTGAAAATTTGACGCGAAAAGCCACTTCGCGATCCCTTTCCTTCCTCCTTGCTACTTTAGAACTCGCCATATCGCGCAGCCCTGAAATATAAAAGATTTAGAAGTGTATTATCAGTCGGCTAATCAGCTGATTAGATCGCGAGACTTGTTTCATAATCCACCACTTGAATGGATAAAGTCGTCCACTTTACGAACGTGGAGGTAATGTTACTTTTAATACGATCTATCAAGGAAGTTGTACGGAATATCGTATTCATACATTCATGCGGACGCTTCTTGCGTCTCTTCATTTGGGATATTCGTCTTTTCGCGTGTGACGCAGATGGCGACACGTTCGATAGTATAATCAGGTTCCTTTTACGCGTGGATGACACTTTTCGACGGTCGAAATGAATTATTTACAATTAGTAAACTGCCGAGTGGCATTGAAGTAGGTACTTGTGTTACACTGGTGTTCAAACTTGACGTTTTGAGGACTTTTTGAAGAACGACTTTTCGAAGGTACCTTTTCAACGTTATTCGAGGGGTAATCTGTCTTGCGATTAGCTTTGACGAGTCTTTTGTATCTATAGAAGTTACTGACCATTCGTTTGAAATGTCAGATACGATGTTTCATTACGGTAGGAAATTCAGAAATTTAAGTACTAATTGTCGTTTACATCAGTGTGAATTATGATTGACGTACTTTTGGTTAGGATGCACTGAATTGTGAAATTGTACATTGTTCGGTTCAAACAAAGGGACGTTATTTTACGCCGCGTTACAAGAAACAATATTTAATTTATACAATTAAATTAATTATTACCGTATGTTTGTCTGATGTGCGTAGATTAATCTATCCTTTTTTTTGTGAAATTCGGTTTGCACGTTCTTTCTATCACTGTCTGAAATAGACGTACACAGAGTGTTCGACTAATGTTAGAAAATTTACAAGGTGATTCTACATGTTAAAGTAAAACGAAAATTAAAAATGACGAAATTGTGAGGCATTATTTTGAAGATATGAACAATGAAGAATTGGGGTCAGAAAAGCCTCCCGCTGTTATTTGTTGCTCGACCAGATCGTCTTCGCTGTTATTTTTGGCAGTAAACAAGCCCTCCCCCATTTTTTTCATTACTTTTTTGCCCTTTGCATTGGATTCGAGTAACGGTTCCTTAGTACGGTGGAAGTCGTCAATGACAGCACATCTATTTAGTCTCCGCGTATTGTAGCCCTCGTAGAAGAGTAACTATCTGTTTAATAGCATTAATTTAATTTATGTAGTGAGTTTTAGTTTAAGTTGGTTTACTTAATATTTAGTTTGCGTGTGTGTGTGTATGCTGTGGTCTTCCTCGTGGATATGAACGAGTAATCAGGACCCTCTTATTCAATTGAACTATGTAATATTATTAGTGAAATTTTACAAGTCACAAGCTACAAGTTATCAGTAAGTAATAAATTCTGTTGTACAATTGCAACAAGTAATTTTTAATAAAACAAGCCGGGTTCCACAAGTAAATTTTACAAATTACAAGTCTGATTATTCTATTTTACATTTTGAGGTTATGTTTACCTTGACAGAAGCGAATCGGTGATTAATGTAGTCAAGTGTGTTCTCTTTTATTCGAAATAGGCTAACGTGAAGATAAATGCAAACTAATGTACTTAACGTGCATACGAAAATTAAAGAGCATACAAGCTTATTGTTTGGACAATTTAGCAGTGAATAGTGGGAAAAAGATCAACGTGACTGATACATCTAACAATGAACACAAACAATAAAAAATTCACTAATCAATAGTCAGAAACATTATCCTCTAAACAAAACTCAGTCTTCGAAGACTTGTAAAAATTTTACAAGTAGATTGAGTATAACTTGTAAAATCCCATTCATTGTGCGATGAACACTTTTAAAATAGCATTAGTCACTCAACTTGTAAAATTGCAAAAATTGTTTGTGCAACACAAGTTCGCAAGTTACAACTTATAACTCCACTATTATTAGTCGGTAAATTATTACGCAAGAGGCTTTAGGTTTAATGTCGTGTACCGATACGTGTGCTTTTTTTTTACGAAGCGTCATAAGAAGATTACTCAGGCTTGCGTTCAGTCGTTATACATCACTTTTTCGGTTACAAAGGTAAAGACGTGTTTTTTGTTCAGGCGACACCAGTGTACGCATCGTCACTGTCACCCTCTATGGCCTCTATGCTTACCGCTCGTGCACAACGGATTGCCTGGTTTCAGGCGTTTCTGACTCCGAATCTTTAACTGTTAATAACTCGAGAACAAAGCTCTCAACAAAATTTCGTCATTCTTGATTTTCGTTTTATTTCGACTCGTATAGTCAACCCGCAAACTTTCTGACACCAATAACCGGACACCCTATATATTTTCGCAAACATTGTATAATTTCTCAATTGAATGCATCGTAATCCAGAGTATATCGGTCAAGGTTTACATAAATTACAACTTTATTACAACTTCTGAATTTAACATTAAAAAATACGTAGAATACGTTAACCTAAAATTACAATTTATATTACCCTTGAATTCGGCCTTCAAAAAATTCGAATTCCATTTTTTTTTCTTTCGTGTGTTGATTCACTTTTGGCTTCTGGGGAGCCGCGTGAAAAATTCCGATAACAGTTTTGGGTGACAATCGGCGAACGCGTTAACAAATTACACCATAATTCACACATAATTCATCCATCGTTTTCGGCGCGTCCGGCCTTTTCGTTCTCACCGTCGTCGTGGAGGGACGTGCAATTGACGTTTCGCTCATTACGTCGAATGTCGGCCATTAGTTGAGCAACGATTACCCCGGATGTAACGTGCATGGTGTTTTAAGGGGCACTACCTTGTTATGCAACGCGCGTCAAATATGGCAGTATGATCGATGGACGGAGAACGTGATCGAATTTTGTTCAAATAAGAAAATGTTTCGAGCTAGTGATGGCGATACATTTGAATTGCATCGATATTTGGTATCAATACGTGTTGACACCTAGAGTATCAATACACATATATCGGGAATAAAATATCGATATTATCGGTATCGACACTTGCAATTCAACTAGAAGTAATAAAATCCAAAACTGAAAATAAATTATTTATTTAAGCAGGTATGTATTAAGGCAGATTGTCAGGTTACAGTGTGGAAAACAAATCAACCAATCGCAAACCCTATGGGGAGCTTGTGATTGGTCTATTTTCTTTAAGGCTAACGTTAGAAATTTCAATATTTGCAGGTTAAGTATTGATACTGGAATATATCGTCACATGAAATATCGACACTGTATCGGCCATCACTATTTCGAGCAATGTTGCTTCTTGGCAGTTGATCATTCGATCTACAAAAAAAACTTATTACAACCGCCGGTAGGTAATGTGTTAAGTATTCACACGTGTTTCGAGGAACGGGTACCATTACCATAAATTACAACTGCATTGAACAAAAGACACGTAATATCGTACGTTGACGTTAAAATCGTCGCCTAATAAAAACCGTGGGAAATCACAAGGCAGTGTGAACGTGTCAATAGGCTATAGAACTTCAAAGGAAGATTATAAACGTTAAAAATACATCCAAAAGTCATTCGTTACTTTGCATAGATTGGCAGATGGTAAGGAAGATCGATTCCGCGTAGGTCCAGCAAAGTTTAAACGAGTGGGGGGCAGTCGTTTCGGCGCTTCGCACACGAGGGGGCGCAGGGAAACAAATAAAATCCATTTTCGTGTGATAGAATAAAAGTTTATTCGCAGCTGTTCTTGTTTCCCGCTCGAAAATCAGTCGTGTCTGCGTTGCATCCGGCGAAACTTTCTGAAGTTTTGAGGACAACAATAATCGTAGGCAACGTTTGTGTGAAATCTATGGATTGTTTCTGTAGTGAATAGTAGCCCAGATTATCTCTGGAAGGGTCCACTGCATTGGAATATCGTATTCGATTATCTGCACGAACACGATAGTATATTGGGAGTGTTTCCAGAGTGCGACTGTCCCCTAGAAAATAGCGACGCAACGTGGGCAATAAATTCGTGTTCGGTTGAACAGTATGCTACGGGGCTACCGTACGGCACGAATCATTACTGCGGAGGGGAAATAGGAAAATTGGTTATTTGGATAAAGGGGATTCGAATGAAAATCAGTTACGAACGAAAAGTTTTTTTTTATTGTTACCTGAGGTCCATAAACCCCCAGGTTAACATTAGAACTACCGAAGTAGACAAAATTACTGGCTAGTTCTGTAAATATTGCTTTTAGCTGGAACAGTGCATTTTTTGAAGTTTCGAACGATTTCCATGTAACATGTAAACGGAGAAATTAATTATATTCCTTACAGCTATGGTAGATACAGGTGTACAATATTTCGTTACTTGTGGGTAGTTCTACAGGGTGTCTTATTTAAGTGGGACCCCCGAATATCTTTTTTAATCGCAAAAAATATTTTATAGGTAATTTGAATGGTATTAAGTGGTCGGTATCCTGAAATTTTCAAGGTCATCGGTTTTTTTTCCAAATAACTACAGGTCATTTAAAGGTCATATCATAGTACGTATCTGAATGTATTTTCTCACGAGCTACGCGATGCAACAGGAAAAAAATATTATTTGAGAAAAACCATTGATGACCTTGAGAACTTCGAAAACAGAACTTTTAAAAAAAACATCGCCTGCAGGATACTGACCACTTACTACAATTCAAATTACCTATAAAATATTATTTGCGTTTTTACAATTAAAAACCATGTTCGGAGGGTCATACCTAATGGAAAACAGTCGATAGTACCTACTGATGTCTCATTTCTCACGTAATGCTAGATATTTCGAAAAATCTCGATTACTCTAATTCGCATAATATTCCTGAAATCTGAAGATATACTGTTACGAGCACCCCGTATATAGCGTGAAAGGGAATGAACAAAAAAGTTCCGATGAATCGTAATGAGAAAGTTTTCCACTGATCCTCCGGGTTTCGAAGCTCTCGCGAATTCTTTTTTTTTCGTTCTTTTCTACAAAACAAAATTCCGCCAAAAGTTCCGGCATCGAAAGAATTTTCTCCCGACCCTCGTCGAATCAGTCGCTGATGATGAGACCACTTAATCGACGAGAGAGTAGGTAGCTTTAAAAATAGCGGGAATAATTATTTCAGTCGAACGGAGTCCGGCTTGAAATGAAATTGAAAGGAGGCAGGGCGATCGGTGAGATCGGATATTTTCATCGAATTATTAGCCATGCTACGGGCTGATGGAATTCGAATTGGAATGACGAGAAGGGGGGATTTATTGGTTCACCGTCCGCCATGTTTCTTTTTTCCGGGTGTCACGGAACGATTGTCTCGCCGCGTCAATTATCGCCAGATTGAACCCAGAATCGTTATTTCAACGTTATTGGACAAGAGAAATATCCAAATCAGTGGCTGGGCGCGTGACGAGAGAAAAGGTCGCGCGCGCCGATTCAGACAGCTCGTGGAATTTGAAAAATTTTAAGAAGCGCGCGCGCGAACATCACTGCCGTCGTGTCGTCATGTCATTGTCTCTTTCTTTCTCTTTCCCCGTTCCTTTCATTCTCTTTCTCTTATTTCTGTAAATTTTCTTTTTTTGATAAACTTGTCGAACCTCTTGGATTTCAATGACCTTCAAATATGTTGTCAAGGTCATCATTCTGAACAACTTTTTCTACACATATAATAGGCGATCTCTGTTGGTTTTCAAAATATTTGCAAAAATATTTGGTAAGATTTCCTTTTAAATTATAGGTGAATATTTACAATATTTATATATTATGTGCCACATATATGTTAACGAAGTAAAAACGTGGGTTCCTCCCCTCCCCCTGAACTCATCACACATTTCATTCATTTACTGTATCTGTATAGAAAAAAGTTGTTCAGAATGATGACCTTGACAATATATTGGAAGGTCATTGAAATCCGCGAGGAGGCTGTTATTCGACAAATTTACCCTTTGTTTTTACCCCGCCCCTTATTTTTGCACGATTCTCTATTTGTCTTTTTATATTTTTTTTCTCTTCTCGGCGAACGCTTGTCTCGTCGCTTTTCCTGGATCCGACCTACACATTTCATTTTCTTTTTTCTTATTTCGTTTCAGGCAAGCCTTGTAGTTTAAAGCAATTTCGATGTGCGAATGATAGATGTATACCGATCTCGTGGGTCTGCGACCATACAGCCGACTGCCTAGACAATTCCGACGAAACCGAGGAGGAATGCAAAGGTGAGCGATAAGACGCGGTTATATTCAAATTTGTATCGTCGCGTGGCACTTTGTACGTACATCGGGATTGGGGTATCCGATACTGAACCCTCTTTCCGTATGAAGATCGAATAAAATACGGGTACTCGTGTCTCGGCGTTAAGGAAAAAAAACAAAAGAAACAGAAAGTGGGATCGTGACGCGATCTATATTGGACTTTCGGGTAAAGCAGGGTATATATCTGGAAATTTGTATATTTATTACATATACATATAGACAGGATGTCTCATCTAACTTTATCACGAGAAATATTTCTTTCATGTTCAAAATATCATAAAAATGTTTCCTACAAAAGTTGCATTGTTTGTCGGTGCCGGTGTATAGTAACAATAGTTTCATCCCGTTGGAATGGGTTAATGAGATACAAAAAGTGTCAATTCTGTTATTTTAAATGGAATGCTATATTTTTTTCTGTCGGTAACCAGATAGCCACTTTACCGACGAGTTTAACGACCTACAACAATCCGTCAAGATTAGTATAAGTTATGTTAGTGAAGAAGCGAAGCGTTCAAAAAGATTGAAAGCATTTAACAAGAAATTGTGTTCGTACAACCTTCAATGACATTGATGGATGGTGTACGAGAGGACCATGATTTTCGTTTTAGTGAAAAAAAATCATTTCTTGGGAGAGAGGAGACTTTTAAAGAAAAGCGCGGAGAAGTTCTCAGGGCTCGTCTTCATAAATATGGATAGCCGGAAGTTATATGCGAGAGTAGCTGGTTCTCTCGGATATAAGCCCGGAATCTTTTCCTGCACACTCGTGATGACGTTCCGAGGAACTTCGAAATGACTTTTCTGTCGCCCGAATGGAAGGATTAGTGGTAATTTCTCTTTGTCGGTGCGAGTTCGTCCGTGTTATTGATTGCACAGAGGTGTCAGGTCTCGTTCGCAAATTTGTTCACGGAAGGCGGGTTTCATTTGACCGAATTGCGTGCCGAACTGCGAGGGGTTTTATTTCAAAATCGAGAGGGACGACCAGGGATCGTTAAAGGATTTAAACATTGATTCTTTTACAAAACACAATTAAATAGACAGAACAGTGACAGTTATAAGGACACTGGGATTGCTCGCAGATTTTAAATAGTTAATAATTAATTCTTTACAATTAATTTGTAAAACTATTTTTTTTTAAATGCAAGAGATGTTAAATAATATTACCTTCCAAGCTTAAAATAATTACAATCTTAAGGTGTCCGTAATTGGGACATCTACCCTAGATGAAATTAGGCTCGCGAAAATACACATTTCGCAATTCTCTTTCTTTGAACTCTCTTGCGCCCCCGGAATTCCTTCTTCGATTCACGTTGTTTATTAAATGAACTATTTGGTTAGCAAACAAGACGCGTATACGGATATTTACTTCACGCGACATTGATGCATGTACGTCGTTGCGCGCAATATGGGACTATATTTAAAGCAACGTTAAATATAGTGTCCCTTGGCCGTAAAGATACGAGACCTCGACTGCCGGGGATTAATCAGCCGGGTTTTGTTTACGGAAACTGTTATTATCCGTGCGGAACTCTGGTAATTTAACCCTCTGAACGTAGACGTCTCTAACTACTGTACAAAACTAAGCAATAGTTGGCTCATTTTGACTTCTACGCACACATTGTTCAGATTATTTTGGAATGCACTCTTCTTCGAGAGAGGCTGGCTGCAGCTCATTAACCATGTAGTTCCTATGGGCACCCACAGATGGCACCTTCTATTCGGCTTGAGACAGAAAGAAATTGAAAGTGTGCAGGCCTTTGATTTGATTTTGATGATTACTCCTGTGATACATAGATCCATGGTCTTGAGTAAAGCCTAGGGCCCTCAATAAATACATACATACAGTATGTATAAGAAAGAAAAAAGAAAGTATGCAGGGTCTAATGCATCCTAGTGTGCAACTTGGTATCTATTTCATTGTAGTTCAGGAAACAGCTGGTAGGGGTTCCAGTTTCATCCATCTGTCATATGTAATAAAGTCGGAATAAACATTTTGACGCTAAACTCTCGTAACGATATTGAGGGGAATGATTTTTGCACTTGTCCAATCGATATCAGAATCTTTCTTCTTCGTTACTTAGATTTGGAATAATCTTAGTATTTCCAAATCGTGCCCAATTGGGTAATTCTTTAATGAATTAAACGAAAGTTAATAATTAAATGGTAATGAAGGTCACGTATCGATATGAAGTCTAGTTTTAGAAGAAAAAGAGGATTCCATCGTATGTATACGATGGAGCTCGAGCGTCCCTCGCTCGAAGGTCAATCCATCGAGTTTGCAATAATATTAAAAATTATTACACTATCATTCATGCCATTGAGCGATCCACGCGCGGATAAGTAACAGAGCAATGGGTCAACACTAACAATAATAAAGTGCCAGTCATTCCGTTAAGATTATCGCGATTAGAAAAAAAAACATGTAAAAATAATGTTTCCATATTAAAAATTGTTTTTAATAATTACAAAAGTGATTGAAAGTGTACGCGAGTGAGAAGTTCGAACAACTTCAAAATCCGATTGATTCTAGAATCTAGAACGATCAAAAGCAGTATTATCGTCTTTCATTATTTCCATAGCTAAAATTGTATCTTAGAACGAAGAACGTTTCAGTCTTCTGCCGGTAAATCAGGTTTATGTTAGGTACTTTTGAACCGTACCGTGTACCTCGACAAATTGAGGGCAACTCTCGCGGTGTATTCTGGAGCTGGAAGTCTTGACTACTCGAATCCTTGAATTGTTTAACGTCGTTGGTGTATACTATTCTTGGAATTTCTGGAGCACGAAAAGTCGAGCGCACGTTGTTGGGTAATATTGTTCTGTTATTTATCGAAGTTATTTCCGAGACGATCACGTTGCCACCGCGCATCGATCTGACGATGCTCATAATCGGCCCTGAGTGACGGACAGCAGGCACGGTGGTGAAGATTCGATGCAACGCAATTACAGAACTTTCTCCGTCGTAGCAACTTTATCGCAGGCCAGTTACTCAATCCTCCGGATTCGTTTAACCGATCTCATGCAATTCGGACCAGTTTGTTCTCGCAGTTCTAAGATTACACAGAGGATCTCTGTTTTCAGTAGATGTACAGAGCAATGTGCCGAGAAAGAGACCGTTTCAATCTAATCATTTTACACGGAAACGTGATCAAAGCAGAATGAGATAAAAGTCGGTTTCTATATCGATCCTACATCGATACAGGGAAAGGGCCTCCTACCACTTGGTATTTGGAATTACTGAAATGTATGCCAAATTAACATTCGATTTAACATTTATTTTACTATTTGGAATAAATTTACCAAGTGGTAGAAGACTTTTCTTCTACGCCGCTTTTTCCCCTAGCGGAAGCCGAGTTTGCTCATGTGTGTCCATTTCCATATACATATTACCAAAATCAAACTGTTGAAACATAATGGAATTGTATGCTATTTGTGCGATTGCCAGGATAGAACATTAAGAATACTTCGACCCGCAAGTGGTTAATTTCCAACTGAATAATTCTCCAGAATGGTTCATGGAAATCGAAATTTGCATAAACCGTTTTTGCCGTTGAGTTCATTTGCACATCATTACTCTGATTTGTGTACTGAGTACATATCGCTATATTTTCCTCTTCTTCACGTAACTTTTTGATCTGTCTCTTGTTGACCCATCGTGTGCCAGCTAGAATTTCTCAATCGAGACTTCGATTTTCACTAGGAACTTCGGTTTCCCAGAGATTCTAGGGTAAGTGCCGTGTGTGCGATCCAACACAGTCCTCTTAGCGCAAGACACCCTTGTCTTCCTCACTTCGTGGCCAAGCTCCTTCAGGAGGAACAATGTCCCTATTCATGTCGGCCTGCTTGCCATATCTAACTTTGATCTGTTTCGAATAAAAAGTCCTATGACAGTGAATAATCGAAGGACCCAGCGTGGTCAGAGGCGTCGTGTGACGTTATCATAGGGCTGTTTAATCCAGTGCCCTCTCTCCCGAACCTCAGATATCTTAACCTCCCTGTCATAAATTTTTAAATACATATTGCGAGGAACAGATAAAATCCATGCAATTTAGCTCAGATTCGCAATTTTACCATTGGACAGACGAAGTACTTCGAGGACAAAACAATGCCAGGCCACATATCCGCCTCGACTTTATAGACATTCAAATATATTAATACGTGTCAGTGTGTAACAACTGTCGATGAAACGTTTTTCCATTAAAAAACGAGAGGGTACGAGGGTCGAACGGTCCACTCTAAATAGATCATCCGGTGTGTAATACGACGTACGCCGTGACCTCGTGTGCCCGCGGCGGCTATCGAAGAAAAATCGTTCGCGGTATCTCGATGACCCATTATTGGCCGCGGACCGTGTCTTCGATTCGTCGGGATTGATACCACGGGCTCCTTGTTAATTTGCGTTGGCATCGTGCGCCACGACCCTATACATCGATTTTACAGAAGCACGGCTAATTGTCGGGCTCCGAAGATCAGGAAACGGGCGCAGGCGTCGCTGGAACGGCGCGTGGAACGTACATATACATAGAGGTTAGCTTCCTAAAAATTGAAAAATTCCTGAGATGTAAAAAATTATTATCCAAACGCTAAAAAAGATTGGAAAATTAAATGTTGTTAAAGTGGATTTTGAAAAATATAGTTTGCAAAGCTCGTCACGACACATTTTTGAATTTAACTGATAGCAGTCCCCTTGAAACAGTGTGCACAAAAGCATTCCAGTTCCACATTCTGGTATTACATTTAACCCTTTGGGTACTGATTTATTTTAAACAAATTTTGCATATGGAAAAGATTTAATTTTTGTTTTGTACAGCTGATACAAGTTACCTACTCTAAAATGAACAAGAATGTACATACTAAATGTTGTCTCAACTCGAGTGACCAGTTAGACTCGTCATTTTACACTTAGGCAAAACAAATACATGTCGAGTCTCAGGTGTGTCAAATATACCCAAGGGGTTAATGTACTC